AAATAATAACGATAGGGTCTAGAATCTATATATTTTTTACATAGAATCTAGGCATAGGCCTGAAGTAGACATGTCGACTAACTCAAAGTATTGTATTTACGTTAATCTTGTTCAACCCACAAAATACAAACCATTGTGATGACCATGAAATCCTGCACAAATCCTCAAAATTTAAGATCGACAAGTCCCTAGACTCCAGAATAACCCAACCACCTGTCTCGAGCTTCTTTGTAATCCAATGACAAAGCCACACCCACAAAGCACATGGTAGTTATTTTTAGAAGTGACACCCTTTCTTTCTTTTAGCCAATCAGTTTCACGAATTTTACAGCGCGCATATACAATATTATGTCCGCCATTTTCATAGAAAGTAGTAAACATTGAGACTAACCACCTTATAGGTCATAGGATACCGCCGAAGATTATACATTATCTATATATACAGGTTAGTAAGATTAGTAAGAAGTTCTATATCTAAATGCTTAAATATATCTAGCGCTAGTACAGCAATTCATTTCAATAAAACAACTTCTTCAACTAATCATTTTATGATTTACTAATGAAAAACTATCAACTTGTTTGACTAATGTTTGTGGATTTCTAACTCAGTACACTCGGGATCCACCCAATCTCGTCAGCTGTAGGCCTAGGTCCTAGGTAGAAGTAGATCTAGATCTAGAATTCTTAGAAATAGATCTAGATCTCACTAAATCTAGCTAGATCTAGATAGAGTATGGCTGTAATCGTAGAAGGGCTATCGTAGAAGGGCAAGTGCCGCTAGTCTAAGATGCGTTGTAAATCTAGATTCTAGATCTATTGTTGTTATTTTAATTGTTACTAGATCTAGTACTAGATCTTGATCTAGACTAGATCTAGATTAGATCTTATGGGTAAAATCTTAGTTTAGCGTCGTAAATTCGGCCAAAACTAGTAATGTGGGAGAGAGTGAATTAATGAATATGTCATTAAATATGAGTATATTTTCGTATATTTTAATAAAATATTATAAATAATTGAATAATAGATCACCATTGATGGTTAAATCAATTTAAATATCCTGAAATTAATTTTTATCGACCCTGTTCGAGATAGTAAATTTGCTATTAAAAACAGCAGCCATCTTAAGAAAATGTTATTGAGAGTAGCTTCCCTTTCATTTCTATTCATATGAAAATGTATTTAAATATGATCGTCTTGTTGTATAGTCCGTATTACAAAGCATTTTTTTAAATGTGAATTTCCTAACAAACAACTTTATTAATTCTAGAAGCATTGTGAGATGCAACTTGTATCCATGTATTAAATCACGTTTTTTTCTTACTCAGAGGCGTAGCGACCCTTCCCGGGACAAACTTTTCGATTTGCACCCCCCCCCTCAAACTTTCGATTTGCACTCCCCTCAACCTTTCAATTTATTTTTCCAACCCATTTTGGCGCCCCCTAAGGTCGGCGCCCGGGGACATATGTCCCCCCCCCCCCCCCCGTCCCCCTCGCTACGCTACTGATCTTACTATTACTAAATAGTTGTGAGTTTTTTCTTATTGTTTCATTTCAGGTTTTTCTTTTCATCAGTTAGTAATTCTATCGTAACTTATGACATTTTTTTTTTACTTCTCTTTACCTTAATTAAACCCCAATCTCCGTCATATTTTTGTCGTCAATGTCACAACAAGTCATAATGTAAAAAATTACGCTTCACTCTGCCTTATCTAAGATCTCTAACCATAATTTTGACAACATTAAATGTTTGTCATCATTTACATATACAAAGAGACCAAATGTATTATCCACCAGCTTCCCTCGTAAAACATCATCTAAAACAATGAGCCCGTCCACCCCTTAAGCGCGTGTTGTCATTATGGTCGATCCCAAGTCTCCACCTGCCAGACACATTTTGGTTATCCTTTGTTGTCAAATCGTCAATATCAAGTACACAAGTGAGTGATATGGGGTTGTCCATAAATGATGTCACAATGATGTCACATATGATTTGCTACGGGAGTGAGTGAAGATTTGTGACGTCAACTCAGGCGGCTTTGCAATTTATGACGTGTCGGTCTCATGAAAGGAGGTGAACGGGGAAAAATACCTAGGTGATTGATGGAGAACCTCTATAATGCTTTGTTCAATCAAAATAACGATAAATAAGCATTAGTATACGTATACCTTGCTTAAAACACAAATGTCGCAAGCCTGCTAGTTTAAGACATTCGGCAAAACGTCCGCAACACATTATCCCCGTCAAAAAGGCTTGCCACCAAATGCCTGCCGACGAATAAGCCGTGTCTAATGCGGGGCGTTAGGAATACGGCCATTAGCATGGGCCACGTTAGAGCACCAGTAAGCTATCGCGCTTTGTAAGATGACGTAAATAGGCCTACTTAAATTCAATTTCGCTAAACTGCGCGAAAATTTAGTAATGTTCCATCGTTTGAGGAAATTTATTTTCTTGGACTTAAATTGAAATATGTTGACTGTCTGGTCTGGCTCTTAATTTCCGAATATCACTTTTAATGTATCAAGATTCAGAACTATAATTTACTTTAATATAAGTGTCATCTTATCGTTTATTGTGGTTTTTATAAAGCGCAGAGCAGCTACGAAATCGGACGGCCATCCTGTTTTCACCAAGCTTCTTTTGGAGCTTAATATGGGTAGTCTAGTTCTATACGGTGTGAGCTTAATACATTTTTAAAGGGCCGAAAGTCTCAAGACAGCAAGCTTGCAGAAATAACTACGTACGTTTAAATGGACGAGTGATAGATGTGTTAGGGGCTGTTTAATGAACACCAACTTATGTAATCAAACTAAACGTCGCGAAAGCGTCAAAAAGGCAATGCTTATTGTTTTTTTTTTCTATAAAATTAGCCTAACGGTCGGCGGTACCGCTACATGACGTCACGTGCGAGCGTTAACTCGGTGACGATGTGCTAAGTGGGGGAATGAAAAAGGTAGGGTTCAAGAAATGCGACTCGGCAAGCTTTTGACATTTCTTGACCTTTCTTAATAGTTTTTTCGTCCTCACTGAGAAAATGGATCACCAATGAATGACGCGTCATACTTCTACAGCTGGTCTTTCTCCCACAACCATCCCGTTTTCACGAGAAAAAAAACCTGACCAGTCTCCAAAATCACATCGCTGAGTTCTTCTCAACCTCTCCCCACCACAAATCAGAATTTCTATCTGAAACAATATGTTCATATGTTTGCTCTGTAATAATGCACGCTGTCATTACTATCTTGAGAGCGACGTCATTTATGAGCGATCTAATATTGATTTGCTTACTGCAAATAAAGTGTTAAAAAGTTCGACCTCCCAACAATTGTTGTGGTCTTGGATGCACACTATTAAGTCTGAAATGGTCTATTAGTCATTCATGTCAACTATATTTTTAAAAAAAGAAAAATTACTATACAGGGGGTCATCCATAAATGATGTCACGCTTTTTTTGACGATTTTTACCTCCCCCCCCCCTCCCCTCCGTCAAACGTAGTCACAAAAAGCCAGACCCCCCCCCCCCTAAAATGACGTCACACCTCAGCCTACACCCCCCCCCCTCAAAATTGCAGTTGAATTTTTTTTTAACAGCTATATTTTTCCAAAATCTTGTCTGAACTCTGTCAAAATAGAGTATTTTAATCAATTGTTATTACAATGTATTAAAACAGTTTTTTAAAACGCAAAATAACGTCTAAAATTCGTTTTGTAACATTGCTTTTTTAAAATGCAAAAGTGTGATGTCGCACCATCTGAACCCCTCCCCCTCCCCCTCACACACAACGTCACAAAATTACGGGCCCCCTTCCCCCCTACGAGTGTGACGTCATTTATGGACGACCCCCGGCATATATTAAAACAATACAAAACAATCATATTAAACCACAAAATCAACACAAAAGACATGCGAATAGACAATTTATTGTTTTTAAAACATGGCCGCTGCTTGTATTTACTCATTGTTGTCTCGAACGGGGTAGTTTAAAGTTTATTCCAGGATATTTATGACTGGTTTGGTCTTGGATTGTGATTTGGTATTCAATTATCTGTTATATTATGTAAAATATGACATAAATATGGCCAAATGAAAGAAATATTCATTAGTTACCTTCATCGCACATTACTAGCTAAGTTGGAATTTACGACGCTAAACTAAGATTTTACCATCTTATGTTAGTGTAGGCTAAGTGTTTAGTCTTAAGTAGTGTACTCTTAGTCTTAGATCTAGAATCTAGTGTATCGTTGACAATATGTCAATATGACATTGATTTTAATATTTTATCTCTAGATCTAGATCTACCATTTAAACATCATTTTAAAAAAAACAACCTAGGATTATTAGCCGCATTATTAGGGGCATAATATTAAATAGGGCCTATAGTCTGTATAGTCAATAATAAAAAAATAAATATAATAGTCTAACTTAGTAACTACTAGATCTAGATATCTATCATATATATTCAAGTCTTTTGTTAAGCATTGTTTCTTCCAGACTTTTTTCTCCGGGGGGGGGGGGGGGGGGCGGACACTGTTAAAAGTATATATTTTCTATATAAATTTCATTTCGCTCGGGGGGGGGGGGGGGGCGGTAAAAAAATTTCGGGGGGGGGGGGGCTTCGTCCCCCCTCCCCTCCCCTCCCCCCCCCCCGAAGAGATCTAGATCACTAATTTTAATTTAATTACTAATCTAGATCTAGTCTAGTAAATTAATAAATTAGCTGACTTGTCACTAGTAAGCTGGAGTCTAGACTCTAGAGATTACTCTCGATCTAGAAGATCTAATCTAGATTCTAGAATCTAGCATTTAGATTCATCTAGATCTAGATTACATAATTTACAGTGACTGCTTGCTTTGGCACAAAAAAAATAGCCTTAAGGATTTATTTTTTTTTTGCCGCGGAAATGCGCGTGCTAGTGAAAATTAAAAAAATGACGGCATTTCATGTTGGCTATGTCATCATGAGGTGCTTGTGACGTAATATCCTCACTTTTGAGAATCCAATCAAGCAAGGAGCCATTTTGGTCTCTAGACCAAGAAATGGCTCAGCTTGCTGATGAGTTGAAATCTGTGTCATCTCCTGTCAAATATCTTTTGGCTAACACCACCAATAAGTCCAATAGTTACAGGTACATCTAAATAAGATAGTACTATCTAGATTCTAGACTATCTAAAATCTAGATCTAGACTAATCTATTATCTAGATTTCTGATTTAGAGATCTAGAATTCTAGAGATCGATTCTAGATCTAGAGATTAGATCTATATTCTATATCTAGACTAATATCTATTTAGATCTAGAATTCTACTCCAGTTCTTAGATCTAGAATAGATCAATATTCTATTTAGAATCCAGATTTAGATCTAGTGAATTATCTGGAATCTGGCTAGCCAGACTTCAGTCACTTGTAGACTATTTTAGATTATTCTAGAGTCAAGCTAGCAGCTAGGGTAACTTTGTAGTAACTTAATTTTTAATGTAGATTCTAGTTCTAGGATAGATCTAGATCTATTATAAAAAGATGATGATAATACTAAATTTGTAGTAGGCCTAACTAATAGATTCTAGATCTAGATATCTACTACTAGATCTAGATTTCTAGGTCAAATAGTAAATAGATCTAGAAGTCTAGTAATTTTCTATTATTTATAGAGTTGCAGATGTAGAATTATTTCTATAATCTAGACATACTTATTCTAAATTTTAAGCTATTCTGTAATAGTCTATTATTAGATAATGTAATTGTAATGGTAAACTCCCAGAATAAGGTCAGAAATTAAGCCTGAAATGTGTGTAGTTTTTATTTAACTCAATGCAACAAGCCTGATGGTTGGTTCTGCCAAGGAGGGAGAATTTTTATACCAGTGTCAGATAATTTTAAAAAAGGGTGTTAGGTTACTGGTAGTTAACTAATAACTAAATACACACATTGCTGGCTAATTTGAATGCTAATCCTGTCCCTAATCCCAACCGTAGTCCCTAACCCCAAGTTCTAACAAAAAAATTAGTCGAGATTACAATACTACAACACACTATTTTATGGAAGTCTATTATCTGACATCAGTATCTGACTACTATCCTGTAGCTTTTAGAATAAATCTAAGTTCTAATCCTATGGTAATACTAATTGGTTCTAAATACTAGACTAGTTTAAAAGAGACTGGTAAAGTTAAAGTAACTAGGCTTATCTACTATTATTTACTATAGCTACACTCCATGGTTAATTTTTTATACAGCAGGTCTGACAGTTTATCTGTTGGCAGCAGTGAAGATGAACCTGATGACTTAGAACCGATGGACCATGATTATAATTTACCTCAAGTAAAGATTAAGAAGTTTATAAATCGGGGAAAGTGGTCTAAAGAAGAAGTAAGTCATTGTTTAGCATTTGTTGCAGTTAATTTTACACTGTTATTCAGTGGGGAGGAGGAGCATTAAGGTTCAATTGTGTGGTTAGTTATTTTGGTTGGATGTATTCATATGCTCTATCATTAAAATTATGTGTACATTAAAAAATCCTTATTTTATTCCTTTAGGACGAGAAGTTGCGTAAAATAGTTGAAGCTAAAGGCTTTCATGACTGGAAAGTGGTGTGCAGTTTTTTTGCAGATCGCACAGACATTCAGTGTCAACACCGCTGGCATAAAGTTTTGAACCCTGACCTAATCAAAGGACCTTGGACAAGAGAAGTAAGTTTAATGTCTTTACATTGTAATTACTAATGTTCTAATATTACTGACACTATTTCTAAAAATGTCTTAATTTAGCAGCTGTACAAAACTGTTGTGTTTTAGCTATAAAAATAAACTGTTTAAAAACTTGACAGGAAGACAATCGTGTAATTCAGCTTGTTAATGAATATGGTCCAAAAAGGTGGACATTGATCTCAAAGCATTTGAAGGGGCGAACAGGAAAACAGTGTAGAGAAAGGTGAGCTATGTTAACTGGCTTGATATTGATTGATCCTATCTGGATTGTCCACAAATCTGGTATATTTTCTTTTAGTATTGAAACATTGCTGATATGTGTTGTAAAATTAGACTTCAGCTTTTCAACAACTAAAATAAATAATTAAATTGTTATTATATACTCAGGTGGCACAATCACTTGAACCCAAGTATTAAGAAAACTGCTTGGACAGAAGAAGAGGACCAACTTATTTATCAGCTTCATCGTCGCTTGGGAAATCGTTGGGCAGAAATAGCTAAATATTTACCTGGAAGGTAATATGATGTAAATAATGTAGCAATCATACTTTAACTATTCATTTAGTTGGCTTGGTCACAAACTTTATTCGCATGAAATTTCTTTAAAGTCAGTCAATACTCCTCTTCTACTAACCAGAATACAAAAATCTTAATTTTAAAATGGTAGTGTTGCTGTTTTTTTTTTTTTTTTAACTTCTGCTGGATAACACTTACATGATCAAGACACCAAAGTTTTATCAAGCTTCCAGATGTAGTAGAAGTCACCTCATCATATATTATGATAGTATGGTGAGGGTGAGTTCTATGTTCACAAGCCTTTACTTCAGTTTTCATTGCCCAACATGAGTTGGGCACCCATTAGTGTGATCCCATCAGGGAGATCTCAAGTCTGTAATAATTTAAGACTATAAGTTTAAGAATATTTAAGATCAATTTTTTGGCACTAGTACAGTTTTAACTAATTTGAGAAACATATTTTATAAATGTATTTTAACTTAGTTGCAAAAAAGGGAATGGAAACAATTAGTTATCAAAATTGCTGGTGAAAATTCTGAAAAATAAGTAATGTTGACATAGTGGAAATTATCTGGATTACAGAACTGACAATGCAATAAAGAACCATTGGAATTCTACTATGAAGCGTAAATTCGAGGGTGAGGAAAACAATGACAGAAAATATATAAATAATGGCTTGTCCCTTTACAGTCGACCAATAGTTCCAAGTGGCTCATTAAAAAATCTTAATGTTCAGCCTGTGTGTTTATTTTCAAATATGGTGAGATTTGACTTACGTCCAACAAAAGGAAGCATTCACTTTTCTGGTTCATTGTTGAGATTTTTTTTACAGTTGTTTATAAATTGATATTTTATGTTTGCAATGTTTGGTTTGAAAATGCTTTTTAAAGTTTGGCTTTCATTTAGTTGCTGTTTCAGTAACATTATATATCTTTTTTATTTCCTCTACTTTTATTACCTCTCTCTAAATATTTAAAAAATAGATTCCTTAATAATTATGTTTTTTGTTTGAAATTATAACACTATAAAGTTTGAAATTATAAAACTATAAATTATAATTATAGCTTTGTTGAAACAAGTTGTATGATGGCAGTATTCAAGTAAAATATTATTCTTGATAATGCTTTTATCTAAAATAAATTTACAAATCAATAAATATATATCATATCAGTGATGTGTGGTATCTATTTAATTGTTTCTAAAACTGATGAACACTTTTGAAGAATTGTCACTTGGTACAGTATTGATTCTTGTGAAGTGTAATCATTTCTAACCAAAGAAGTTAGAGGTAAATAATGCTACAAGTTTGCATGTTGTTCTTGTTTCTTACATCTTATAATAGTTTACTTTTCCTCTACAGTATAACAACAATGAAAGTATAAATTCAGGTAAATAAAGAATTGCATTTTGGATTTAAAATCACATTAGCTTTTACAATCATCACCTATACATTTCTGATGAGCTAGATAGTTGTAACAAGCCCAACACCTTTTTATAATTGACTGTGTTGTACAATAAATTAGTAATTTTTTTGTTTGCTTCAATATATTTTTTGTATTGTACTTCTGGTCTTGTTAATAACACAAAACCCAAACAAATTTCTGTTATTTTACTTAAATGTTTTTGTATTCTGACTCAAGTTTGATGAATTAAATATTGGTTTCAGAGCTGCTGCCTAAAGAAAAGTCACAGAATTGTGTTTCACTAGCTCATAACGAAGAATCAAATAGTCCTCTTAAGTATGTTTATCTGTTTGCTTATTCAAAAATTACTCAAGTCTTTAGTCCAAAATAGTTTAAAGAATATATAATAAACATTATTTATTCTTTTTAAAAAATGTTACTAAGACAATTAAACTAATTGGTTGCTAGGTCATTAGCAGATGTTACTGATGCAATGATGGATCAGCCAGATTTTGGAAGTATGTCTTCATTAGATTTAATGACTGGCATGGATGTTAACCCAGGGTGCACTCCAATCAAGTTTATTAAACAGGAAAATGAAGGTAACTAACTTGGATCTAATTTAAAAGATACACTTTTAGCCCCATATAAAATTTATTGGAGACAGCGTAAAGCAGTTATGATTCATTTAAGGTAAATTACCACACAGAAAGCCACATTCTGAATATAGATAATAGAATTATCTGATAAATAGCATTTCATAATGTTGACAGATAGTTATGAGAAAAAACCAAGCCCAACTCTCTTACAGTCTTCAACCTTTCCCCAAAGCTTAAGCTCAACTCCATCAATTTTACGGCGGGGAAAATACAGGAGGGTTCGTAAATTGTTTTTATTGTATTTCAAAAAGTTTTTCCAAACAGTACAATACTTGAATGTTAAATATCAATAAACAAATTGGTTTTTTTTATGTTGCCACTTGTCTGTAGCGATTTGTAGCCAACGTATATATATCATTCTATTGTAGAGACAAGGTACAACTTTAGCAGAGGAATTGGAAAATGTTTTACATGAGTTGGAAGAACCCTTAGATGGGATGTCCTGTGATGACCTTGTAGCTGATGCACAACCTCCTATGGCAGCCCAGCCCCTCCCTACTACACCCATCCGCATACCTTTTGAAAATCTCCCTTTTTCCCCATCACAAGTTAGTACATAGTTTACTGTGCCAAACTTTAGAACTTTGTTGACATGTATATTTTATTTCAATCATTTGATCTGCACCATTTTAAGTTTTTCTTGTACACCATTTAACAGTTCTTGAACAGTCCAAATCAAACATCTGCTGGCAAATTGACCTCTACTCCAATGTCCAGTCAGGCATCTTATGGCCATCTGCAAAATAATGGGTAAGTGAAGTAATAGATTGCAGTTGTTGTTTTTTTTTTACTTTCTCGTATATACGAAGTATAGAGAAAGTCATGTAATCGTGCAAAAAAAAAAAATCAAGATTATTAAGTAGTACTTTACGCTATTTCCGATTTCTCAAAAAGTGGATATGAATTTATAAAGTACTAGTATTCTGCACCATTATACACATATTATATGCCGTTCACTTGGTGTGCAATTCTTTATTCTGTGAGATTCTATTCTATTTTTTAAAAGTTTAAGTATGTAAAAACTGATTAAAAATCATGTCTATATACCGAATTGCCATCCCTGTAGTGTTGTATAAGAATTTTCTAGAAAGTTTAGGGGAGATCATTTTCTTTTTGTTCTCTTTTTAGTGCCAGAGACTCTTCTCCAAGAACACCAACTCCATTTAAGCATGCTATTGCTGAGGTTGAAAGGAGAGCACAAAGTAAAACCTGGGTAAACTTGATTTTCTTTTTTCAATCTGAATACTTTCATGTAGTGCTAGCCTCAGTCCTGGTGCCTCAACATTAACTCTTCTAATACTAGAGTCCAAGTGATCTTGATGACCTTGGTGAGGTGCTGAAAGACTGTGATGCCGGCTATGAAGCTGATATTTCATCTGGAATCAATCCAGCATCACATACTAGGCTTTCCAAAAGAAAGCCAAATAAGGAGGTAGCTCATGTCAGTTGGATTCACAATTTCACTTGTGATTTTATTTTTATTGTTTAAATTTTTAATTTTGTTTAGCTTTCTTTTTTAAATCCAAACGTTCAGCATTTATTTTTAGTTTATGGCTGTTCTTCTAGGCCCACTACTGAAAATTAAAACAATTTTTAATCTGATATGTGCCAAGTCTGCTTTCTTTATTCCGTCCCTTTCTAATTGGTTTTGAAGGAACATCAACAAATATTTAATTACAACCAAAAATGGCACTACTTTTATTAACCTGCCATATAAATCAAAACTTTTCTTTTTTTCAATGTTCACAATATGTAAATATTCTATATATTATAAAAATTGAATAATTAAAAACATAAAATTTAATGCATTGTGACCGAAGTGTTAAATTTGTTTTTGTGAGATTTGAACAGTTCTCTGGGTCTCTAGAACAAATTGACCAAGGCATCATTTCATCTAACAAAAATAAATTATTTAATCTGTACCCAAATAAAGTATTGTATCTGTAACCTAAACCTTTATTTTTTTAGTATTAAACATTCTTCTGTACATTGTTGATGTTTTTCAGCACATCCAACATAACCGTCGAGTTCGACAGTCCCTGGAAAATAAGTTGTGTCAAGAGCAAGATTCCACTACTGAATCATTATTTCATTCACCAGAGACGCCTGTAAGTGAGGCATCACTTGAATTTTTTGCATACTTTATTTGACTGCAGGAGACACATTTTCAATTGTTTTGATATATAGATCATTGTGTGGGAGGTCAATCTTTCTGTTGTCAGTTATTGTTTATGGTGTTTCTGTCTTGGCATGTTATTTATTGTTTGTGGTGTTTCCATCTTGATGTTATTTATTGTTTGTGGTGTTTCAGTCTTGACATCTTATTTATTGTTTGTGGTGTTTCCATCTTGACATGTAATATTGTGTTTGGTGTTTCCTTGTGTCCACAGAGCAAGTCACTGGCTGGAGATACCAGTTTGCTGCTTTCCCCACCTTCAATAATCAAAGAAACACTCCCTGAAGAGGTCCTTGAAGAGGTTTTTAATCTACCACAAAAGGTAAATAGCTTGCTGCTTGGTAGTATTGTGCCAACATGACATGCCTGAATCATATTGCTTTACTGGAAAATAGTGGTGTAGTAACATCTAGACACAAAGAGTACTAGGTTTATTAATAAATCAAATTTTGCTTGTGACCAGTCTAAACTTAGCTCATTTATATATATAATTCTTTTCATGGAGACCATACGAGACACTACGCAGCTTAGCCGTTCCTACCCCGCTTTCTAGGCATATTGCTACCACCCCTATCCCCACCTGTCAGGTGAGCTGTGGTTCGCCCCGAATGTTTACAATAGTAGAGCCAGTTCGAATAAGTGACAGCTATTAGGGGCAGATAATTTAGCTCTTTAACTATTTGAAACTAAGGGGAGATTATAAGTTCTGTTTGGTATTTTCATTGTCGTTTGTAAATGGCTGCTTTCATGGGGGGGGGGGGGGGGTAGTGTCTAATTCACAAATTATGAATTGTTGATAAGTAGAACATAAAACAACTAGATAGTGGCGTATGCTACGTCACTGGTCAGCTCGTATTAGAGTATTTGTCTAGTTAACATATCTTTATTATTAAAACATTGGCAAGTTGTAATGGGCTTTTCTTTACCATTATGGATAGACTTGAGCATAGTACACCTTGAACCATTATGGATACCCTAGACTTGAGCATAATACACCTTGAACCATTATGGATACCCTAGACTTGAGCATAATACACCTTGAACCATTATGGATACCCTAGACTTGAGCATAATACTCCTTGAACCATTATGGATACCCTAGACTTGAGCATAATACACCTTGAACCATTATGGATACCCTAGACTTGAGCATAATACACCTTGAACCATTATGGATACCCTAGACTTGAGCATAATACTCCTTGAACCATTATGGATACCCTAGACTTGAGCATAATACACCTTGAACCATTATGGATACCCTAGACTTGAGCATAATACTCCTTGAACCATTATGGATACCCTAGACTTGAGCATAATACACCTTGAACCATTATGGATACCCTAGACTTGAGCATAATACACCTTGAACCATTATGGATACCCTAGACTTGAGCATAATACTCCTTGAACCATTATGGATACCCTAGACTTGAGCATAATACTCCTTGAACCATTATGGATACCCTAGACTTGAGCATAATACACCTTGAACCATTATGGATACCCTAGACTTGAGCATAATACTCCTTGAACCATTATGGATACCCTAGACTTGAGCATAATACTCCTTGAACCATTATGGATACCCTAGACTTGAGCATAATACACCTTGAACCATTATGGATACCCTAGACTTGAGCATAATACACCTTGAACCATTATGGATACCCTAGACTTGAGCATAATACTCCTTGAACCATTATGGATACCCTAGACTTGAGCATAATACTCCTTGAACCATTATGGATACCCTAGACTTGAGCATAATACACCTTGAACCATTATGGATACCCTAGACTTGAGCATAATACACCTTGAACCATTATGGATACCCTAGACTTGAGCATAATACTCCTTGAACCATTATGGATACCCTAGACTTGAGCATAATACTCCTTGAACCATGCAGTCTGGTCCTGGCAGTGTTTTCTGTATAAGAACCAATTTGACATAATTAAGAATGTCTTGCTTTCTTTAGCAAGTGAATAATTTGTATTGTTGAATTTCTTAGAGCTGATGACTTTTTTAAAAATTATATTTCACTGTCTATCAATACTTTGCCACTTGTGTAGTAATTGAATGGTAAGCAAATGCGATTATTTTTTACAAATATCAGACCTTTCTCTCCTTTTTTGATGTAGTGTTTGAAATATTCTTTATGTAGTTGAGGTTTGCACTCTTGTTGTCATTGTAAATTCAAATGTATTTGAATGTTAACTTGTATTATTTAATAGAGGCATTTACATCTGTTTCCATTTACATTATTCCAGTTTTACAGAACGCATTAGTTTAGCCAGTATGTTAAAACTGTTTGTAGAGGTAGGGACATAGCTGGTCTAAGTAAATAGTACTTGTAGAGCCAGGGATCTGACTGGTCTAAGTAAATATTACTTGTAGAGCCAGGGATCTGATTGGTCTAAGTAAATATTACTTGTAGAGCCAGGGATCTGACTGGTCTAAGTAAATATTACTTGTAGAGCCAGGGATCTGACTGGTCTAAGTAAAATTGTAACTGATCCCTAAGCAGTTGACTACCTTAGCACCATAAGGAGGAGGCAATTGCTATAGGTTTGTTACTCTATTATAAGCCATATATTCCTGTATTTTTTGGGCTTTAAATGTGCAGTTACTTTGTAAATCCCTCGTCTCTTGTGATCACTCTTGTAATATTTTTTATGGACCAATATATATTCTTTCTTCTATACATTATCTGAAGGTGTTGGTTATTTCACAATACCAATTCATTTGAGCTTGAAAATAGAAAACTTGACCATTTTTCAGAGCACAGTAGGCTCTGTTTATTTTGAGTATGGTAAGTTGAATACTGAAAGTGGTTTGAGTATTTCAAATTTTTGTTGCCATTAGTTATTTTTAGCTTTCATGTATTGAATTCAAATTATGTGTATTAAAAAATGCAATTTTCAGAACTCTTTGTTAAAATTATCAGTGCTTCTTTTTTTCTTTGAGGGGGGGGGGGGGGGGGTAATGGTACATTATTATTGTTGGTGGTTCCTTATGCAATACTATATAGAGCTCAATATTTATTTATTTTTTTATTTTTATTTATTTTTTGTTATAAAACTTATTAGTGATTTTTATGTAATTTGATTACAAACAGCTTAAAGGTATTTTCTAAAATGGAAGTCATTTTGTATCAGTAATATTATAGGCAGACGGGATGTTAAACCATATGTTTTATATTATAACTGCACACATTTTTATAATGGTCTATCAATTTTTTAAAAACTTTTTAATAGTCTTTTATGTTATTCATTTCTGATTGTCACATACACTAATCATTTATATATTGACAAGTCACCTTGAAAAATAATATTCACTTTTAATTCAACATATGTGTAGGTATCTTTTAAAGCTAAAGATTACTTTAAAAATAAAATTTAAAATCCATTAGAAAATGTAATTTTTAATGGCATGTACAAAAACATCTTAGGGTCAAGGTAATATAATAGTTTTAATTTTTTAAATTAAAATTTTCCAACCTTTTATTTTGTAAAGAAGCAGTTAACAAAACAAAAAAATTTTTTGTGCCATTATTTCAGCACGGGCAAGAAAAGAAAGTTCAGAAAAAATCTGTGAAGAAAATAATATTTACAGAATCCCCACAAAAGCAGGTGGCAAAGGTTAGTGAAGGCTGCTATTTCTTTCTAGTTTCACTACTTCATTGTTTCTTTCTAGTTTCACTTTTTTCTATTCCCAACTGAAAACTATTTGAATAAACATTTCTCTTGTCTAGATTGACCCTTCCTTTCGCCAAGTTGCGTGTGGACTTACCAAAGACCAACTGGACATGATTCAATTAGCCAAAAGTTATTTACAGAGCAGCTGATACAATCTTTCCTTTTTTAAAGCCTTTTTTCCAAGCCTCGACAATTCAGCTTTGAAATGGAGATCGACATTTTGTTATGAGACATTCTTATTTATATCATGTATAACTGGGGTTTTCCAGTCAAATATAGTAAATATGTAACTGTTGTATAGAATATCTTATAGCATAGATTTGATTTTATGAATCAGAAAATTAGTTTTTAGATCACATTAAAAGCTATTTATCACTATGTTTCTTACTATTTGGTGATTTAAGTTGCTAGTTTTGTAGAAAGAAAGTAATAAAAGGGTGGCCACTAAGTTTTTTTTTTTTCCCATTTCAAATCTCACCTCATACTAAGCTGTAAATCAATAATTGATGGCTTTCATTATCTTGGTGTAAAATGTAACGGTGTTGATTGAAATTCTCAATTTTAGTGTAACTTGTTAAGAACTTGTGATCTTAGCCTCATGTCAGCTTGGTTGCTATAGATAGGTGAAGTATTTTGTCAACAACAGCTTATTTTTAGCATACAATACATTCTATTATTTAATGATGATCATTATTTTTTGATTGAATATATTGCAGAAGGCAGGACCTGGGTTTAGGCGGTTATATGTACATTGTTTCAATCTATGCATGTACATTAGTTTACTATGTACATAAATATTTATTTCATAATTCCAATTTTTGCCCTTGACTATCTGTGTACGCCTAAAAGGCATTCCTTGTCTTTGTCTATTTTGATTTTGCCAAGGCACAGAGTAAACAAACTGTGTTAGTGAACGTATACATCAAGTTAGCCTTGTGTGCTGTACATATTTTGTTTTAGATTTAATTTTTGTCTCTTAACTACTCAGCCCCTTAAATATCGACTCTTTTATCTGATCTCTGTCTTAAGAAAGATTTTTAAAATTGTCTAATCTCACATGCCATTGTGTATTATTTAGCAGGTAAAACTTAACAAATAAGATATTATGTTGGTTTTAATATGCAGCCTAGCTGGTTTAAAGTTAGCCACATTTTTAAAAACAGTACCAGGATTTTTTTGTCAAGTTTTTGTTTCATGTTGGTTTATTTATTTTGTTTGTTAAGTAAGTTGGCAGCATTAAGCAGAGAAATGACCAATTTGTTGACACTTGAATGCATATTTCAATTGTATATGATGTTAACACTAAATGTTTGATTGATTCACTAATCTTCTTGAACAGACTTGTCATGTTATCATGATACATGTTGACCAGTTTCTTCACCTCAAATGATTTTCAAAACGGTTATGGTCACAATAGCTGTCATAGTTTGATTTGATGGATTAATAAGATCTATAAATATACAGTTAAAGATAACATTTTGACAATTAACTGTGTGCCTTAGAAAATATATTTAAAACATTAGATGCTTAAAAATGAGTTATTTAGTCAAATGTTACAGTGACTTCTTTTAAATTGTGTTGTACAAAAATGTCTTTTATTTGCAAACAATAATTTGTCTTCTTTTACTTGTCAATTCTTATTAGTTGACAGTCAGGAGTATTCTATTTTCAACTCAGTGCCATTTTTCTTGAAATTTTGGAATGAAAAATTGGATGGTGATTTAAGTACAAAAATATTTTTACTTTGTATAGTGTAAATTTGTTGTTTTGTTTGAGTAGTACAGAAATATTTTTACTTCATCTGTATGTGTAGATTTGTTGTTGTTACAGAAATATCTTTACTTTGTCTGTATAGTGTAGATTTGTTGTTACAGAAATATTTTACTTCATCTGTATGTGTAGATTTGTTGTTGTTACAGAAATATTTTACTTCATCTGTATGTGTAGATTTGTTGTTGTTACAGAAATATTTTTACTTCGTCTGTATAATGTAGATTTGTTGTTACAGAAATATTTTTACTTCATCTGTAAGGTGTAGATTTGTTGTTTGAATAGTACTTAAATCAATGTCTATGAAATAACTGGATGATAGTTGAAATGTTGCCATTTGTTTTAGAAGTGCCTTTTATTCCATGACATGAGTGTGACATTTAGAGCCACTGATTGTTCTTAGTGTACATCTGAGTCCTGTCTGGGCTGTACATCAGATTGGATGAATGCATTCCTCTACTTGCTGTGCCAGTTTTGTTTTAAATTAGCTTCAATTACAAACCTGCTTTTTTTATGTACCATTATCTAGTGTATTCATTCAGCATACTGTTCATGCTTGCCTTTGACTATCTTCATTTTGTGATAACTTATTATTTAAGTACCTGAACAATATCTACAGACATAAACAGATAATGTGTTGGGTTTGACACTTTTAGAAATGATGATAGTAACGCTGGGTGGTCTTGTGTATTATTGTTTGCCTTAAAGAACATGTATTGTGTAGTTTAGGATATTCAAAGCAAATACTTTTTGTTTGTGGTAAAGTATAGCTTGGTCCTTGGATGAGTCTTTTTAAGTCCAGTACTTCAAAAATTGCTTTGATTGCTCAGCTTATTGGGTTCTATTTATGTAGATGTTCTCTTGTAATAAATCATTGTATTGAGTTCACCTGATGTTTGTTCTCTTTATTCTAATAGAAAAGACCTAATATAACCTGGTAGCTAATTAACCCATCCTGTGTCAGCATTTGTTACGCCTAACATCCCACTAGAGCTAGTACTAGTAGTAGGTCTACTAGGCTGGAGTTGGTACCATACGTGATTTGCTTCCCAGTGGCTGATGATATCTGGGAGGTAATGAAGCATACCAGCATCGTATGTGTCCATATACTGACATACTTAGCATAGCTTAAACCGATCAGAGAGAGCAACATGTGTGCCAGAAAAGATTTTTTTAACTAGCCTTCACATAGCACTTGACCCACTTAGTCGGCAGTACAGGTGAGGTAGATGTAGCACAGCTCTGGAACAGCTGACTGTACTGTTAAAAAAGGGAAATGTTTGTAATGTATCAAGAAGAAACTTGTCAGGTGTAAACACGACCAATAATGCCGATGGAGCAGATAAGTTTCCACCACCTAGAGGTTCAGTAGTTAGACAATGCTTTGCGTCAAATTTCCTCCCCCATCCCCCTCTTATCATTATCTGGTGTAAACTGCACGAGATCATCTGACTCATTTTCTGACCTGTCCAAAAGAACTCTGGTCAATATCGCCTCGATCTAAATAGGGCCTAGAGTTAAAAATAAAATGTAATAACTGAGTTTCTAATTTTAGTTCATAATCAAGATTGTAATGTTTAGTTTGTGTTGTTTTGCTTAAAAAAGACCTGTATTGATCGATTTAATATAAACCTATGATCAAAGGCGGAATTGTTTATGTTACTGTTAGGTTTTTAATTATTTCCCCTCCATCTAAATATTATTGTTCAAAAGTTAACTACTTTGTCGTATATAAAAACATTTTGCTATTAGATGTAGATTCTAGATCTACGTACTGAAAGAGAGGATGAAAGAAAAGATGAATAGGAAAAGGTCGCCACCTAACTCGAAATAAACTCCCGCACTCAGTTTTCTTAAGTGAGTAACAAAAATATAGTAACGTGTGCAACGTGCCCAATATGTCCAAAAGAAGTTCACCAAAACAAACGTGATGTGTGCAAAAGTCCGCGAAAGAGAATTCTTGCTTTCGAAGAGAGTGGTGTGCAAACCGGCATCTTTTATTAATTTCAACGTCTGTCGTTCTTACCAGTCATCCCCGACTTAACACTATCAGCAATCCATCAGGTAAGACTTCTTATTTTTTATCATTGTAAAAGAGACACATTTAAGTTTCCTTGCTAGCTTCAAAAGTACAGCTAAGAGTTATTCATTTTTGACTCACGAAAACTAAAGTTGTCCCTCATACTCATATTATTAAAAAGCTTTAAGAAAATTCATGTTTGAAATGTGAAAGAAACTAAGTCATAAATATTATCTAATCTTGAATAATATTTTTATTCAGCATACATGTAAATGTTTATTCGAACATATTTTTAAATTACTGGGTTTTTTTTAGGTAAAATTATAATTGTTTATTAATCTAGTGGGTCAATTTTGTTCTATGTATTTTCATTTGTTTCAACCTTTATTAGTTGTCGAATGAAGTATAGGCTACTTATACTTAGTGCTCTTTCTATAAGCAAAATATTTTAATGAACTAAATTATTGGTTAAATATAACCTACATATAAATGCCGCTTACACATTAAATGTAATTATTTAAATGTTGACTGTTGCAAAAAAAAAAGTATAGTAGATTCCCGCCACCAAAAAAACCTGGCAACTTTGCGCTAAGTTTTGGTTTACCTTAGAAACAAGTCCATGAAGCTTACAAAATACTAATGGCTTACATCAATTAAATTACATTTTTATTTGTTGCTAGAATTATTTTAATAGAAACAGCATACTTTTTTTTCTGTTTCTATTAAAATATAAAGAAAATCTGTACTTTTTTTTTCTACTGAACTGGAGTCTATAATCTATATCCATTACTAGAATCTAGCTAGATCTATAACCTTTTTGACTCTCTTGCGGGTACTGAACCCCTCAAGCTTCATATAGGCCTACGCATTCACCGAACCCTTCTTAATTGGAAAAATAAAATATAATTATTGAGTTAGTTGTGTGTCTTGACCTCTGCCGTACCCCTGATACTGACTCACCGAACCACTGAACCTTGGTCAATAGATTTATATAAACTTGAGTAGAATACTACACTACACACATTTTATAGTTTATTATAATTAAGGCTTCGGGCGGCCTATTTTTCCCACGTTTTCTTTAACTTGCTTTCTCTGTGTGTTTATTTGTTTGTCTTTCCAATCAAATCTTGCGATCGAAATTTCTGGCACTTCCCAGTTAGCTAGCGCGCTGAAATTTTCAGGGAAGCTTTCTTTTGGATGACCATTGAATATTCAATTGTTATTATTACTAAATTGATCAATGGAAACATTTTATTGAGCATTTTAGACCGCTATATAATCTATATATATAATTCTCCTCTGCTAGCCATTAGAAAAAAAACCAGCGACGCGTACCTCGCGCGCAGTGAAGCGAACGATCACATGTCGCCACAGGCTTAGGGGCAGAGAATTTAGCTTGAACCGAGTTTAAACTTACAGGAGGTAGGCCAGTTTGGGGGAGACGATATGGTCGAGTGGTTGGGCACACGATTGCTATCCCACTCGACACGGGTTCAAATCTATGTGTTCTAGTCAGTAACGAATTCAAACAACGTGTTTTTTACGAGTTGTCTTTTTACGAGTTGTCTTTTTACGAGTTGTCTTTTTACGAGTTGTCTTTTTACGAGTTGTCTTTTTACGAGTTGTCTTCGTTTACCCAAAAAAAGTGAAAAGATAAAATCGATAGCAAGATTTTAATGCAAACAAACAGACAAAGACTAAAAAGTAGAAAATAATAATCATTAAAAAAGTTTTAAAAACCCACGTTTTCTGATTGAACTAAAAAGTAGAAAATAAATGCTATAGGCCCTACATCACAATAATGCAAGCGATCACTCTACTATAAGCGAGCAAAAACGTGGGGCGCCGTGATTTTCTTACAGTTTCTAATACTGTTGACTCTCTACAAGCTCCCTAATAAAAGTCAATAGTATTATCTAATCAATAGTAATATAACTTTTACTTCGGCGCCCCACGTTTTTCATCGCTTATAGTAGAGTGATCGCTTGCATTATTGTGATGTAGGGCCTATAGCATTTATTTTCTACTTTTTAGTTCAATCAGAAAACGTGGGTTTTTAAAACTTTTTTAATGATTATTATTCCTTATGTGAATTGAACAAGTTACATTTTATTTTATTTTTTACCTTTAAACCGGTTTTTTAAATACACGCTAATTGATGTAGGTGAATTATTTTAAAGTAATCAATATAATTAACATGAAATAACACTCAGAGTATTAAAATAATGAATGGGGCGATATGACTGTAACTTAATCCCCATTCCGCTCCCCCTCACCCCCCCCCCCCCCCTGAGAGGAATTTTACTTATCATGTTTGTACGAAATATGTCCCTACTGGCTGTTTATGCCTTATTCTCATCTAAGGATAAACCTACTAAGTAACCTATGTAAATTTTTAGGTAGTTTTTTATAAAAAATATCGAAAAACACCTCATTTATGAAAAAAAAAACCTTGATCGGCATCAAACAGATTATATACCTAAAAACCTAATAGACGCACTCAATACACAAACACATTATCACAGCTGTACTGTGGCCTTAACTTTAGCTCACAGTACCCAACACTCACAATACCCATCACACAACACCCACAGTACCCATCACACAACACTCACAGTACCCATCACACAACACTCACAGTACCCATCACACAACACTCACACTACCCATCACACAACACTCACACTACCCATCACACAACACTCACACTACCCATCACACAACACTCACAGTACCCATCACACAACACCCACAGTACCCATCACACAACACTCACAGTACCCATCACACAACACTCACAGTACCCATCACACAACACTCACAGTACCCATCACACAACACTCACACTACCCATCACACAACACTCACAGTACCCATCACACAACACTCACAGTACCCATCACACAACACTCACAGTACCCATCACACAACACTCACAGTACCCATCACACACACTCACAGTAACCATCACACAACACTCACAGTACCCATCACACAACACTCACAGTACCCATCACACAACACTCACAGTACCCATCACACAACACTCACAGTACCCATCACACAACACTCACAGTAACCATCACACAACACTCACAGTACACATCACACAACACCCACAGTACCCATCACACAACACTCACAGTACCCATCACACAACACTCACAGTACCCATCACACAACACTCACAGTACCCATCACACAACACTCACAGTACCCATCACACACACTCACAGTAACCATCACACAACACTCACAGTACCCATCACACAACACTCACAGTACCCATCACACAACACTCACAGTACCCATCACACAACACTCACAGTACCCATCACACAACACTCACAGTACCCATCACACACACTCACAGTAACCATCACACAACACTCACAGTACCCATCACACAAAACTCACAGTACCCATCACACACACTCACAGTAACCATCACACAACACTCACAGTACCCATCACACAACACTCACAGTACCCATCACACAACACTCACAGTACCCATCACACAACACTCACAGTACCCATCACACAACACTCACAGTACCCATCACACAACACTCACAGTACCCATCACACAACACTCACAGTACCCATCACACAACACTCACACAACACTCACAGTACCCATCACACAACACTCAGCTGGCCGCTTAATTAGTTCAGTTGTAACAAGTGGGGGGGGGGGGGGAATATAGTTTTGTTTATGTTTACCAGTGACTGTCAAACACTCGACATGTCAGAGCTGGGTACCCTAGGACCCGGATGGAACGAAAGGAAGTGACGCTTGTTTTAAACCGCTTCTGTTCGGATAATGCTGGCATCATCAACTTGCTTAGCCCGGCATCCTGTCCAAATCTAAGGCAGGACCTGGCCATCCATGTCTGACAGCTTTCCCTTTTTACCCCAGAGAAACATCATCAGCATGTTTTGCACAGGCAAGTGCTATCTGATGGCTACAGTCTTACTCACCTTGACCTCTCTGGTATGCAACTGTGTGTTTTTCCCCCAAGCTCCAGAATGTGTGCTAAAAATAGATGATCGAAGGCATTGCCAAAATGGTTTTTTCTCAAAATAATCTTTCGGAGCTCCTTGTGGAAAATAGGATCAAGTGTTCATGGGAGATTCGACGTTGGCACAAACTGAAATAGATTCATAGATTTGATAAAAAATCTGAAATAGATTCATAGATTTGATGTCTGCACAATTTCGAATAGATATATGACAGATTTGATCATTTGACATCTCCACAAACAAAATAGATCTAGATCTAAACCTTCATAGTTTGTTTTCTAACTTATTTCATTGACGTCATCAACTGCTCTGACGTCATCAACCGTCGATGACGCGACACTCTTAACTGATGCAACAAAAACTGTATTGTTGTGAGCTGCAACTATTCACTGAGCAGATGCTGTTATTTTATAGGGGAGATGATGCTGTGATAACCCATTATTCTGTTGTTTATAAAATGTGTATCACAACGTTTCTGGCGTACCCGTCCTTCTGGTGCTGACGGCAGAAACATGAATGCGTTTAAACGAAAATGTCTACAGTTCGTAAATCACTTCCTGTTTTTACTTGGACCTGATGGCTCCATTGAAATTTAAAAAAAAAAACATTTCTGGCTTGGTTTCAAAGAAAACAGCAGGCGGCACGGCGGTACGTCATTTAGAACCTGCTAGGTGGTCGCATGCAGCCAATTTATGACGCTTGGTCGGCAGTGTTTCTTCCAGACTTTTTTCTCCGGGGGGGGGGGGGGGGCACTTGAAATTTTCGGGGGGGGGGGGCGGTAGACTTTCTTCGGGGGGCAGACACTGTTAAAAGTATATATTTTCTATATAAATTATATAAATTTCATTTCGTTCGGGGGGGGGGGGGCGGTAAAAAAATTTCGGGGGGGGGGGGGCGAAGCCCCCCCCAAAGAAATGCCTGGAAGAAACTCTGTTGGTCGGTAGCGTGTAGCTAATTGTTGACTACTAGAAATAACCCATAACGTGAACCGTCACTGCTTGAGTTGGGGGGGGGGGGTGTGTGTAGGGTGTTATAGATTGAGGTTAAGTGCAAATAACGGTCTCATCTTATTTTTTTAACAAATTGCGCGCGCTCTCTCTTTATATATATTAGATCTATATATGTAGCTGTGTGTATGGACTAAACTTAATGTGGCCCGGGGACAGATGTACCCCCGCCCCCCCCCCCCCCCCTCCCTTGCTACGCCTCTGCTGTGTATGAACTAAACTTGATGTGGCTGTGAAAAAGGGGAGGTAATGTCAACAATGACATCTCTAGAAATAGGCGGCTACTTGAGCACGAGTGCTTGGCGCGCGAGCCTCTTGTTCTACGTGTCATGTAGGAAGTGGGCAGACCCCAATGTATCCCAAGCTGCACTCTGGTGAAAACTTTCTGTACCACTAGTGTTGATAGGATGCGAGTCTATGGCTTTATAATAGGATGCGAGTCTATGGCTTTCTAATATGATGCGAGTCTATGGCTTTCTAATAGGATGCGAGTCTATGGCTTTCTAATAGGATGCGAGTCTATGGCTTTCTAATATGATGCGAGTCTATGGCTTTCTAATATGATGCGAGTCTATGGCTTTATCAATCTTTTCATGTTTCCCCATAATGATCTCGACATATGCAGGCAGAACCTAAAGATGTAGAATAGATTAACTAACGTTTGATTAGTGTTCACTAATTGATTATCTAAACGGATTATCGTTAATTCTAGTTGGCGCACACTTGATGCACTTGCAGGGCGAGTAGACAGACACATATTTGGAGCAGACGAGGCGAAGATGGTGATGGGGGTGGCAGCGCTCGGGTACATCTGCTGCTAGGGGTTGGCATGAAACCCCAGGCCATGACCTTTATACTACTTCCGTTATTACCTGCTTCTTTTTTAGCACCCGGGGTTGGGTGAAGTGAGGTTGGGGTAAACAAAAACACACCACAGCTTTTATCTGAGTAGAGAGGGTAAGGTAGTGCGGCTGTGTTCTGGCCGTCCATCTCCGCTGCCAAAAAATAGTTCGACTAGTTCTTATTTCCTGTGTTTCTCTAGGCTTCAAAGCTCGCTCTAAACTTTAAAGGAATGTTGTTTTAACGCAATGAGTATCTGACACAGTCTATCAACTTGACATTATTTACAATGTTAAAAATAACAATAATTATGTGTTTCTATTTATTTGTATCGTGTTTATCACAAATGGAGAGAGAAAAAAGTTAAAAACATACAGGAAATTTTATTAGAGTTTTTCGAGAAAAAACGCAGCTACCAGCAGTTTAAAATGTGTGTATGTGTACAAACTGAACGCAGAAGCCAAACAAAATCTTCAAAGGCGAGCACAAAATTACCTGAGCGATAAAACGTTAATAAATAAATTGGTTGCAACATCACAGGCAACCTGTTGGAGGTGTGATTATGTCGGTTGGGCCCAGCCTTCCAGTGATGTGGGGGCACATCCTATACCAGTGATGTGGGGGCACATCCTATACCAGTGATGTGGGGGCACATCCTATACCAGTGATGTGGGGCCCACCCTATACCAGTGATGTGGGGGCCCATCCTATACCAGTGATGTGGGGCCCACCCTATACCAGTGATGTGGGGCCCACCCTATACCAGTGATGTCAGGGCCCATCCTATACCAGTGATGTCAGGGCCCATCCTATACCAGTGATGTGGGGCCCACCCTATACCAGTGATGTCAGGGCCCATCCTATACCAGTGATGTGGGGGCCCATCCTATACCAGTGATGTGGGGGCCCATCCTATACCAGTGATGTGGGGCCCACCCTATACCAGTGATGTGGGGGCCCACCCTATACCAGTGATGCGGGGGCCCACTCTATACCAGTGATGTGGAGGCCCATCCTATACCAGTGATGTGGGGGCCCACCCTATACCAGTGATGCGGGGGCCCACTCTATACCAGTGATGTCAGGGCCCATCCTATACCAGTGATGTCAGGGCCCATCCTATACCAGTGATGTGGGGCCCACCCTATACCAGTGATGTGGAGGCCCATCCTATACCAGTGATGTCAGGGCCCATCCTATACCAGTGATGTGGGGGCCCATCCTATACCAGTGATGTGGGGCCCACCCTATACCAGTGATGTGGGGGCCCATCCTATACCAGTGATGTGGGGCCCACCCTATACCAGTGATGTGGGTGCACATCCTATACCAGTGATGTGGGGGCCCATCCTATACCAGTGATGTGGGGGCCCACCCTATACCAGTGATGTGGGGGCCCACCCTATACCAGTGATGTGGAGGCCCATCCTATACCAGTGATGTGGGGCCCATCCTATACCAGTGATGTGGGGGCCCATCCTATACCAGTGATGTCAGGGCCCACCCTATACCAGTGATGTCAGGGCCCATCCTATACCAGTGATGTGGGGCCCATCCTATACCAGTGATGTGGGGGCCCATCCTATACCAGTGATGTTGGGGCCCATCCTATACCAGTGATGTGGGGGCCCATCCTATACCAGTGATGTGGGGGCCCATCCTATACCAGTGATGTGGGGGCCCATCCTATACCAGTGATGTGGGGGCCCATCCTATACCAGTGATGTGGGGGCCCATCCTATACCAGTGATGTGGGGGCCCATCCTATACCAGTGATGTGGGGCCCATCCTATACCAGTGATTTGGGGGCCCATCCTATACCAGTGATGTGGGGGCCCATCCTATACCAGTGATGTGGGGCCCATCCTATACCAGTGATTTGGGGGCCCATCCTATACCAGTGATTTGGGGGCCCATCCTATACCAGTGATGTGGGGCCCATCCTATACCAGTGATGTGGGGGCCCATCCTATACCAGTGATTTGGGGGCCCATCCTATACCAGTGATGTGGGTGCACATGGTGGTCCTTTGCTTAGCCAAAACTAAAAGAGCTCCAACAACATGCTGTAAGCTCAACAAGTCCTACAGTTTTCCTGTCATGTTTGTCTTCTATGTGTCCCTAGCAACCAACTAGTCAGCCATGCCTTTCATGTTTGTCTTCTATGTGTCCCTAGCAACCAACTAGAGTCAGCCATGCCTTTCATGTTTGTCTTCTATGTGTCCCTAGCAACCAACTAGAGTCAGCCATGCCTTTCATGTTTGTCTTGTATGTGTCCCTAGCAACCAACTAGAGTCAGCCATGCCTTTCATGTTTGTCTTCTATGTGTCCCTAGCAACCAACTAGTCAGCCATGCCTTTCATGTTTGTCTTCTATGTGTCCCTAGCAACCAACTAGTCAGCCATGCCTTTCATGTTTGTCTTCTATGTGTCCCTAGCAACCAACTAGAGTCAGCCATGCCTTTCATGTTTGTCTTCTATGTGTCCCTAGCAACCAACTAGAGTCAGCCATGCCTTTCATGTTTATCTTCTATGTGTCCCTAGCAACCAACTAGAGTCAACCATGCCTTTCATGTTTGTCTTCTATGTGTCCCTAGCAACCAACTAGTCAGCCATGCCTTTCATGTTTGTCTTCTATGTGTCCCTAGCAACCAACTAGAGTCAGCCATGCCTTTCATGTTTGTCTTCTATGTGTCCCTAGCAACAAACTAGTCAGCCATGCCTTTCAAGCCACCAGAGCAAGCCAAATGCCCCAAGTGTGGCAAGGCTGTCTATGCAGCTGAGGAGAAAGTGGCAGGTGGCCACAAGTTCCACAAGGGATGCTTCAAGTGCAGTAAGTACAAGCTGAAACAAGATGCATTTTTTAGCTCTTTTTTGCAATGTATATTGAAGTTTACTCAGCCATGCATAGCCATGTTTTAAAGAAGCTTGTGTCAAAATGTACTGTGACAAGCTTTAACAAAACAAATACCGCTGTGTAAAAATGTACGGGGTGTTGAACCAGCTTACTTGCAGTATTTAACCATTATGTTTGTTGTATGTCACCTTGGAGAGCCAGTGTAAGATTGGACCATTACATTTGTTTTATGCCAGAGTGTAATGTCTCTATTCTCCCCCCCCCCCCTAGACATGTGCAACAAGTTCCTGGAGAGCCAGTGTATGATTGGACCATTACATTTGTTTTATGCCAGAGTGTAATGTCTCTATTCTCCCCCCCCCCCCCTAGACATGTGCAACAAGTTCCTGGAGAGCACCAACGTGAGTGAGCACAACTCTGAACTCTACTGCAAGCAGTGCCACGGCAGGAAGTTTGGACCCAAGGGATACGGCTTTGGGGGTGGTGCTGGTGCCCTGGGCATGGACAAGGGAGAACGTTTTGGTAACAAGGCCTGTGAGATGGAGTAAGTTGTACTAGCCCAGTGTGAGATGGAGTAAGTTGTACTAGCCCAGAGTCCCCTGTGAGATGGAGTAAGTTGTACTAGCCCAGAGTCCCCTGTGAGATGGAGTAAGTTGTACTAGCCCAGAGTCCCCTGTGAGATGGAGTAAGTTGTACTAGCCCAGAGTCCCATGTGAGATGGAGTAAGTTGTACTAGCCCAGAGTCCCCTGTGAGATGGAGTAAGTTGTACTAGCCCAGAGTGAGATGGAGTAAGTTGTACTAGCCCAGAGTGAGATGGAGTAAGTTGTACTAGCCCAGAGTCCCATGTGAGATGGAGTAAGTTGTACTAGCCCAGAGTCCCCTGTGAGATGGAGTAAGTTGTACTAGCCCAGAGTCCCATGTGAGATGGAGTAAGTTGTACTAGCCCAGAGTCCCCTGTGAGATGGAGTAAGTTGTACTAGCCCAGAGCCCCCTGTGAGATGGAGTAAGTTGTACTAGCCCAGAGTCCCCTGTGAGATGGAGTAAGTTGTACTTGCCCAGAGTCCCCTGTGAGATGGAGTAAGTTGTACTAGCCCAGAGTCCCCTGTGAGATGGAGTAAGTTGTACTAGCCCAGAGTCCCGTTCAGTTTTTGCTTAGACTGGCCATTAGTGATGTTAACAAATGTGTAGTTGGTGACTAGAGTAGGGCATCCAATGTACTTTTCTTTGCTCCAGCAACAAGCCAACTGGCGACTCTTTCACTGGATCATCTCTGACTGGCTCTGACTCTGGCACTGGCCCCAAGTGCCCCAGATGTGGCAAGACTGTGTATGATGCAGAGAGAGCCATAGGCTCTACAGTGGTAAGGAATTTTCTGTTTGAAGATACATTAGTTAGTAGGATCTAGTAGGGCAATCAGGCTCTAACAGAAACTTTAGGTTCACCCTACGTGAAGCATTATGTAAAGAAATGACATCTACCTAACTTTAGGTTCACCATATGTGAAGCATTATGTAAAGAAATGACATCTACCTAACTTTAGGTTCACCCTATGTGAAGCATTATGTAACTTTAGACATTAAATTGACAAAACCAAATCTTTCAGCCCTGGCACAAGACATGCTTCAACTGCAAGAGCTGCAAGAAATCTGTCGACTCCAGCACCATGGCCTTCCATGAGCAGGAAGTTTACTGTAAAAGTGAGTGTTTTTATCTTTTTTATTCAAGAGTACAGTTAACAGCAATGACAAAAATATAATTTAATCAACTCAGTTATTGCTATTCGCTAGTGAGCAGGAATTTTAGCTTCAATGTCACCTTTAATCCTCAACTTTTGTGACCCTTAATCCTAAAGTTTTGAGACCCTTAAGTCAACCCACATACCTTTGCCCTGATTTGAATCCATGTCTCCTATATCAAATCTTATGGATTTAGCTTGGGATTTTAAACAATTCAATGTTGGAGGTAACTTATTGACAACAAATAAGTAACAAAATAATGACTAGGGTGATTTTAAACAAGTTTATGTCAAATATCAGCATTTAAGTCCATTATTTCAGCGTTGTGTTATATCTGTTAACTTTTATTTCCTTTATTGCAGATTGTTATGGAAAGAATTTTGGACCTAAAGGTTTTGGATTTGGACAAGGTGCTGGCACCCTTTCCATGGGTTAAATTTTTCCATTCTATTTATAGTTCTCCACCAGTTCAATTTCTAGAACATGAACAAAACAAAATGTCTAAAATATACAACACACAACTACTTGCTTTTGAAACATCTGAAATTTTGAGTTAAGAATTCAAGTTAGAAAAACATTGGTGTGAATGTTACACCTACACTTTAATTTTGTAATAAAATACAAAACAATGTACAACATTAATTAATGAAAAAAATGATTGTATTTTAAAATTCTGAATCTATTGTTCTCCACTATTGTATAGTAAGCTTGTACAAAAATGTGTAACTCTGCTTTTAGGGGTGCATGTTGCTTTTGTCTTATTTGGTGTCACTATTGACATTTTCTATTCCACTTATTTTCTGTATTTGACTCATATCATCAGTATTGTTTTTAAGTATCTCAGAACTTCATTTTATTTGTATTATTCTTTTGATCTGTGATAAGCTAACTTTTTGAACGAACTATATTTTATACTCTTGATAACAAAGTTTGAAAAAAAAAAGCCTGAATGTGAACAGAAATGAACTACTAGTTGCCAGTCATTTCATAGGGTTGAATTTTTCAACCAAATAGTTAGAAACTTTGGATTTACACCTCCATGAGAAGTGGATGTAGCAGCCCTACAATTCCTCGAAGTCTAAAAATCACTTGTCATGTATAGTCTCATCATGCACCTAGTCCCTGCTGAATGTGTGGTTACTGTGCGCCAACTCAACATGATTATAAACCCAGTTACACATTATGTAGTCGCCTTCCCACCCTTGTCCTTGAAAGTTTTCACTGCAAGCCCCAGATTTGTGCCAGTCAAACATGGCCTGTCAAGAAGCCAAGATGTGGATTGTTTCAGCAGCTTATTCCCATATTTTATTTGTCTACATTTGCTATTTGTATTAAAAACATCTGTTGCAGGCAATTCATGAGTTGATATTTTTATCTTTACTGCTTGTTATCTAAAAAGTTGAATTAAATAACAGAGCATGGTGCACCTACATTGCATTCTCAGCTTTAAGCGCTCATACATTGCAGTTATATCAGAGAATATGTCTTGTTACAGAATATGTTCAAGAAGAATCCAGTATATACCCGTACTTTTAATGCTGGTATATGAGCAGTTGTAAACAGACAGAAACTAGCTATTTACACACAGTAAATGCTTAATGTATGACACCCTCCTCCCCCCTCCCCAAAAAAAAAAAACAACATAAAATTAAGTGCAGCAGAAACAGTACTGCCAGTGTATTGTTGCTGTAAAAAAATTCTATGTAGACTAGGTATGCATTGATTAATAACCAAGACGCTCTTCAAAAGTCATCCCAAAAATGGATCATCATCCATATTCTCAGTCGCCCCACGTACCATGGAGTAGTTTCCACCAGATCTGGTTTGGTGAGAGAGTAGTCAATTCCATTTCAATACCGCAACAACAAAGTCAATACTGCAACAACATAGAATTGTTTGCCAACAAAATACTCCCAGGTAGAGCTGGCTAGTTCAACTGTAATTGAATCTATTGAGACATTCTCACACCAAGTTCAACTAATTGAATCTATTGAGACATTTAAATCTCACACCAGCATAAACTTTGTAACATTCCATCAGTATGTAAATACTAAAAATGAATTTGACTGTTACACAGGACATTATTCCCTCCTTCCCCACACTACAAACTGCAGTAGGAAGATGGATATTATGTATTGAAGTAGGTAACAACTGGTGGGGTGGGGGGGGGGGGGACAAAAGGGATGTCCTAGACCTCTGCCACTCCTGTCTATCACTTATTCGTTTTATTTCTTTTGTCAGCATCTTCTACTCAACATTCTATTTCTTTTGTCAGCATCTTCTACTCAAAAAGACATCCAATTCATTCTATTTCTTTTGTCAGCATCTTCTACTCAAAAAGACATCCAATTCATTCTATTTCTTTCGTCAGCATCTTCTACTCAAAAAGACATCCAATTCATTCTATTTCTTTTGTCAGCATCTTCTACTCAAAAAGATATCCAATTCATTGCAAAGAGAATTATGATTTACCAGTAAGTTTTTAAAAAAAAAACAGCTTCCCTATAAAAATGTCTAGCACAATTCTTCACTCAAGTTTTTTCTGAAATTTAAGTCGCTTTCAAAAGACTAGGTGTGTAACAATTATTTAAAAAAATTTAATACTTGATAAACTAGATATTCAAGTTTCATCTAGATAGGAATCTACTACACTGTGAGTTTACCTATGTTGCGATGTATAAGGAGGCTTGTGTAAGAGATTTGTGATGTGTCTGGAATCCAGGTCTAAACAAATTTGTTGAGTGCTGATGTGAGCAGCTCAGGTCTAAAGAAATTTGATGAGTGCTGATGTGAGCAGCTCAGGTCTAAAGAAATTTGATGAGTGCTGATGTGATCAGCTCAGGTCTAAAGAAATTTGATGAGTGCTGATGTGAGCAGCTCAGGTCTAAAGAAATTTGATGAGTGCTGATGTGATCAGCTCAGGTCTGAGAGATGTGTGATGTGTCTGGAATCCAGATCTAAACAAATTTGTTGAGTGCTGATGTGAGCAGCTCAGGCCTAAGAACAAATTTGATGAGTGCTGATGTGAGCAGCTTCAGGCCTGAGAGATGTGTCACACAGGTAAAAACACCTGCATACTCTCCCACCTCATGTCAGCACCTGAATATGCAAGGATTGCACTTTAGGTGTGAGTCAGCTGCCAGCAGTTAAACATGTGTGCAAAAAATAAAAATTAAAGGTCACAACAATTTGGTTCTGTCATCAGCAGTGTGACATTAGGTACACTGGGGTATCTGTTACACATCTCCACCCACAAGCATTTTCAAGGGGGAAAAGTTGAACTGAAGTAAAAATACAGAAAAAGATCTGTGCATTGAATCTTAATATAAAGTTCTTTTAGTTTTTTGACAGGAGCTAGCTTACCATGGTTAAAATATTTCTGAATTAACCAAGATCTCAAAATTCATAATTATTATTCAACTAGACACAAAATTTAAAAAACAATAATTTAATGTATCAGATGAATACAAACAAAAAAAACAACAACAGAAGTGTGCTGACTGATTCTCACACTGGTTCTTTGTTCTCTAGATCTTCAATAAATGACCACTCCTCTGTTAAAAAAGTACATAAAAAATAAATAATTACAGGTGTGTATATATACATATATATACATACATACACACACCTATGTGTGTGTGTATATATATATATATATATATATATACACACACACACACCTGTGTATATATATATATATACATACACCTATTATTCAAATGGAGAGAAGGAGACATTTAAGTTTGTGTGTGTAGATAAAAAAAAACTGAAGAGCTTCACATGAAAAAATATCTAACCCTTTGTAAGTGGCTGTACAGAAAGTCTAGCTCTAGTAAACAAGCTCAAGTTTTTCAAAGGGCCACCATCTTGTACATGCTCCTTGTGAATCTTCTTCAGCTCAGCTAGTGAAATGTAACGTCGTAAGTGTCTTATGTACTTGACGTCAACCATAAACCATCTGGGCTTGTCCTTTTGAGATGAGCTGAAAGAAATTGAACATTTAGGCTAGTTTTGTATCTATTTTTATTTTTAATAAGCATTGACTCATTGAACATTAAAGCCTGCTTTAAAAGTATCAAAAAAGCTGCCTGTAAAAGAAAAGAAAAAAGTTTACACAACATTACAAACCTGTCATAATGAGGATCTTTAGGGTCAAACTGAGTGTGATCTGGATAGCCAGCTTTAACTACCTATGTCAGAAATAGTTCAAATTATTAACATTAATTATCAGCAAGAAAAAATGTTAAAAAAAAGTTTTTCAAATTTCAAACATAAAATGAAGATAAATGACATGTCTGATTTGAATCAGAGTCAACGGAAGATCTATCAATGGCAGCTCTCCTCACCTGGCAGACGCCAGCTATTCCAGGCTCTTTGCAGTTGCTGTGGTATAAGAAAACTTTTTGACCTTCTTTCATCTGATCTCGAAGAAAATTACGAGCCTGAAAATTGTAAAATAAAAGTTAAAACAGATAGGTGCTAATAGATTATTGATTTAATTCATTGAGGTAATTTGAAATTTAGTTCAGTTTATAATTATAAATTGAAATAAATTCTTATAAATCACATTGTGAAAATGTTTAAAATTGTTGTTGTTAAAAAATGTTGAAAAAAGTATGTTTAAATTGCCTACTTGGTAATTTCTCACTCCATCCCAGCATGCAGTTTGTTCGGGTGAACTTTTTAAGTCATCCAAACTAAACTGTAAAAAAAGGTTATTTTATTAAAATGCATACATTCAAATCAGTTAGTTGTCATTTATAAGACAGTGTGATATAGCTTCAATATAAGTTTAATAAAAAATACTATTGATTTAAGTATGTATTTTTCAGTCAAGTCTGAAACAGAAAAGATCTTTGTAATTTTAATTTTATAATGCCTATCACTAAACATGACACTAGTTGCCCTCACCTTAAACTAACCTCAACTTTTTCATCATTAATAGGAAAGAATTTGGCTCTAACAGTCTAAGCCCTTGCACAAAATTGGCCCTTCTAAGAAAATTTAAAAATACCTTCATGTCAATTCCCTTCTCAAACCTGGACTCAGGTTCTGACTTGACCAGCCAGAAACTGTAGACTGTTGCACATGTCTGCCCCTTTACAGACTTGTTTTTTCTCTCTACAGGTGTGGGGACCTGTTGAAGTTCTATTTTCCTTTTCTTTGCCACCGGTGCTTTTGAATCATCTGTACATAGCAAAACAGCAAGAGCCGTCTTAATTATACTGTATTATTTAACTGGTTACACTGTAATATATAACTGGTTACTACACTCTAATATATAATTGGTTACACTGTAATATATAACTGGTTACTACACTCTAATATATAATTGGTTACACTGTAATATATAACTGGTTACTACACTGTAATATATAACTGGTTACACTGTAATATATAACTGGTTACACTGTAATATATAACTGGTTACACTGTAATATATAACTGGTTACACTGTAATATATAACTGGTTACACTGTAATATATAATTGGTAAAGAAGAGGGCACTGGCAATCTAAGCAACATTCATAAATGACATGACACTTGAAGGGGGGCAGGTTCAGACTTGTGTGACAGTTAAGATATTGCGACCTCACACTTTAGCATTTAAAAAAACTAAATTCAGCTGTAATTTTGCTGTTTTTAGACTTTGGTAAATAATAATAAAAATTGAACAGTGCAGGCTACAGAATGTTGATCAGATTTTGCTGCGTAGGAAATGATGACAGTTAATGAGGTGGTAAATATTAAATAACCTAAAATGGGAATATGTTATACCTAATACCTAAATAATAGAATATTCCTAAAAAAATAAGGGTGTTAGGTTTATAACACATACACAGTGTTACCAGCCAACAAGAAATAACCCAAATCTAAGCTGGTTGTGAGACCTGTGAGTTAATATTATGTTGTGCTCCTGTCAGCAATTGTTACCAGTTTTCCCATGTCATGTGACCTCTGGGAATCTGGGTAGTGGAGCTTTGACTTTCTCAGAGGCATCACATTACGATCCCAGGCTGAAAAGGTCTTGTGACCATATGCTGATACAGTTATGTTCATAGAATGAGTGCATGAGTACAGATCTGGTATAGTAATTTTATACTATGTACTTATGCAGCATGATTTTGACTTGATATTTTTGAGGATATTCTTTCTTCTTCTTCGTTCTTAATTTTAGTGTTGGAAGGGCATAGTTAAGTATACATGTCAACTGGTTATGTGCCATTGAGGCCATTGACTCAGATTTCAGCCTGCTTTTCTTTTTGGATTTGGTTCCATAGCCTTTGTCCAACCAAGAACAAACTACAAGGCAGCAGTTGTTTGATTTTGGAGTTGTCTCACCTAGAAGAGTGGCTGTTCCCAGTTAACGAGCCTCATCTGCCGGAGGGTTTAAACTCGAGACTTTCTAAAAGTTTAGCAACCATGAGCTTTACCGATATTAATTAGTCTTAAAATACTTGTTGGCAGTAATTTATTAATTATAGTCTTATAATACTTGTTGGCAGTAATTTATTAATTATAGTCTTATAATACTTGTTGGCAGTAATTTATCATACTGTCCAATACCTGCCAATAGAAGTTATTCTATTGAGTTTTGTATTATCTATGACAAGGCTGCTAATTTTGGTACGCCTCTGCACACGTTATAATTTATATATAATATATGACCTTTTTTATTTACACTGTGTTACGGCGTTCTAGCTGTATATGGCATCCTTGTGTTGTCTTTATGTTTGTGTAGTCTACAGTATATCATTGTTTACGTCAATCAGTGTATGCAACAGCATGGCTATGCTTGGATGCATGAGATAAATTTGCTCCTGTTACCCAACAACTGTGCTTGTGTTGTCCCTCAGGGGCAGCCCCTATCCCCACTGAGGCACTGTTACAGATTACTAGTATCTAACTAAGTACAATTATTAACACTTGCTAATGTCAATGCTAACTCAAGTCCCACCACAAAAATAATTTTTCACATAAAATTAACCTGAAATCAAATACTAGGCATACTACTCAAAACCTAACACACATACTTTCAGAAGAATCTGTGGTTGTCATTGGTAATAGTAATATGTACCATTACTACGCAAACCAAATTCATTAGAACTTTTATAAAGTGAAAGATGGTTATGGTGGCAAACCTTGTAATTCTGTAGAGATTTTTCTGGATCTTGATCCCTTTTTTGGTGCCATTATTCATTCACTCACCATAAAAATAATAGGGCTAAAGAAAAAGGATTTTTATTAATTTTAATTAGGCCTATCACAAGTATAAGCCCTGCCCTATATTTTAATTATATAATTTTTTAAAATATTAGGTCTTGGAATACTATTAAATACTATTAATAATAATTTTTTTTTTAAAAAGCATGTCATATGTGATGTAATATGTATGTACACATGTAATCTCTGGAAAATTTGTAACTTTTTTCTTTGTAGGTGTACTATGATAAGTATAATAATAATAATATATAAGTATAGGCCTAATAATTGTTAGTCATTCCGACTAGTCTAGTTACTAGTAAGTAGTACTACTAGTAAGCAGTATTGGCAAATCTACCTAGTGTGTAATAATAATAATAAATACTAGGTTCACTACTAGAATCTAGTAGATCTACTGTACTACTTACAACTTGTGTAATAACTCAATAACAGTCATGTCATAATGTCTAGATCTACATTATATTTTAAATCATTAATCATTCGTTATAGTTAGGCCCTTATCATTTAATTAAATGTAGATTGTAGTGTGTAAAAGTGTAGTGTAAAAAATACTAAAAATTAATATTATTAAAGTTGAAAGTTCAACTTTCAAAGTAAGGTGCTCATTCATTAGTAATTAAGTATCTTTAGGTAGTACAGGTAGGTAATCTACTAATCTCATTATTCAATAGAACAATAATATTCATTATTTTAATATTTTATTCATGTGTAGTAGGACTAGTACTAGTAGGCCAATGACGTGTTTGACTTGCGAATAAGTGTAAATTTTGAATTGGCCTTTAGTTAGTAAATTGGATGATTGCTTATAGGGAATCTAGATCTAGATCTACCAGTGTCTGACAAATGTGTTCACCGAATGGAAAAAATAAAAAATTAATTAATTATTAAAAGGATGATCAAACTTCCCGCGAAGGATTTGTAAATTATGCATTTTATTTTACAATACAAAGATTACTGGGCTTAAAATTATGGCGGTATTTAATTAAATTAAGTCTACAGAAATGTATTGGAAAATCTAGGATTATTTAAAACAATTTAATTTAAACATAGGTCAGGTCTACCTTCAAGATTTAAAAAAATCAACAAAAATAATGTCATGTATGTTAATTACTTTGTTGCTAATAAACCAAATTTTTTAGGTCCATGGAGTCGATGTTTTTATGATAGGGAAAAGGTATTGCTTAACTGCGCATGCGTTTGTATATGGTATTCCAATATGTCCGCGCTAATGTTACAATTTCGTGCTTAGTAAAGAACAAACTTTTATCTTATGAACCATCAGTATTAATAATCCGCGAATGAAATATCCATAGAGGTATTTTATTGAAATCTATGAAAATCTGGTTGCTTCTTATTTCTGCGCCTCCTATCAATATGTATCACTTACGTTTATAGCTAACGTTTCGGTTGTTATGGACGCCACCATTTTATTAAATTAAAAAATTCGATTAGTTTTTAATGTTAGGCATTGTTAGATCTAGGTCTAAATAATTTTAAAAGCCATATTTAACAAGTAAAATAAACATATAAGTATTAAATAAAGTTTAGGTTAATTAAACTTGTAATTAACTTTGGAACCCTAACTTTTATTATTATAAGTTTTAAACAATTGTTAAAAATACTATAGTAAATAATACTAATAGTATTATAGTATTTTTAACAATAGTATTACTATTAGGCCTAAATAAATAGTAATAGTTAATAAATTATTTAAAATTTCATGGCTAGCCCTTCATAAAGGCATAGGCCTATTATTACTACTAGATCTAGATCTATTAGTTATTATTATTATAAATTCAAAATTTGTTTAAAGTGTAGTCTAAACTAATATTATACCTGTCACACACTCACACACATTTAAAATTTAAATTATTTTCATGCATTGCAAAGGTATCCATAATATAATTAGTATTAATAATTAATAAGTTAACAAAAACATTTTTTAAAATCTTGTTGTATTTTTTACTATCAATGCTTTTTGTTCCACCACCAGTATATTTTTCCAGTTCTAGGACTGGAGGTCACAGACTTTGCTCCATCGAATGGCTATGGTTCTCAACTGCCTGCCACTCAGTGGTTACAACAGTCAACAAAATCTGTAAGTTGGCCTGACAGTTTGAGCATACACAGCAACATATGTTGGCAAAATCTGTAAGTTGGCCTGACAGTTTGAGCATACACAGCAACATATGTTGACAAAATCTGTAAGTTGGCCTGACAGTTTGAGCATACACAGCAACATATGTTGACAAAATCTGTAAGATGGCCTGACAGTTTGAGCATACACAGCAACATATGTTGACAAAATCTGTAAGTTGGCCTGACAGTTTGAGCATACACAGCAACATCTGTTGGCAAATGGTTGTATTTTATGTGCTCATGTTTTAACAGTGTACACAAGAGCTACGTATGTTGGCAAATGGTTGTTTTTGTGTACATGTTTGTGTGCAAATTAATATCACAAACCATACCATAAAACTAACAAACTTTTTTTTATAGAAACACTACAATGGATTTAGAAAAAGAGGACTTTGAAAACAAATATTCATGTAGTTCTAGTGTGGGTGGTGATGTCAGGAAGAACTTGTCATCCAGCCGTCCCCCTAGTGCTCTTGCTAGGGGTGTGCAGATTACTGAATTTGCTGACAGCAGAGTTAACCCCACACCTCGGTTCTTAGATGAATCAGATATCTTACTAGAGCAGTATTTAAGTCCTGGAAAACTGGTAAGTACAGAAACATTTAAAACCGTCAAATTACGTCATTTTTGTCTCACATATATTATAATTATTTTTCTCTTCTCTTTTTAAAGCAACTGTTGACTGGAGTAGACAACTTAGAGACAGTTGAATCTTTGGAGTTGAAGGTAGATTCAAGGGAGACGAGTCTTGGGAATTTTGGCTCCCTCCTCCCCAACTTGCTGGAGTTAAAGCTCAGTGGAAGTTGTATCACAAGTGTCAGGTAAGTGTCAGCAATAGCTGACATCTTGTGTCGTTGTATCACAAGTGTCACCAATAGCTGACATCTTGTGTCGTTGTATTACAAGTTTCACAAATAGCTGACATGAAGTGTTGGTGGTGCCTGATCTGTATTTTTGGCAGATGTTCATCAATGAATGTCAGATTTTGAATGGGTAGATTCAATTTTATATTTTTTTATTCAAACAAAAATTCTGTGAATTCAATTTCTTTTTTAATTCAAGTAAGGCTTCAAACAAAACTCTGTGAATCCAACTTATATTTAGAATGAAGTAAAGCTTGAAACAACAACATTTTTATTCCCAGAGATTTGGGCTCCTCCCTCAGAAGGCTGCACGTCCTATGGTTGACCCGCTGTGGTCTTGAGGAACTGGATGGCATCTCCTCCATGCTAAACTTAAAAGAACTTTATTTGGAATACAATGAGATCTCAGACCTGAGCCCCCTCTCAATGTTGGAAGAGCTGGAAACCCTGGACCTAGAGGGGTAAAAACAACAACAAGCCAGATTTTAACAAATTCTTTGAACCAGACACAACAAGCCAGATTTTAACAAATTCTTTGAACCAGACACAACAAGCCAGATTTTAAAAAAAATGTAACCAAACTAATCAAAATGTCTTCTCAAAGCTAACACTAGCTCATTCTTCAGTAACCAGTTCCTAACATGTGTAATACATGAACTGAATTTAAAAGTCGAATGTGTAATACATGAACTGAATTTAAAAGTCGAATGTGTTGTTAAAAGTTAGTGTACACTTTCAGAAACAACATAGATGATATCACTCAAGTTCAGTACCTCTCATTATGTCCCAAGTTGAAGCGCTTGTCATTGGATGGGAACCCCATTTGTGTGTGTCCATCACCAAACACTCAACAAGTAAGTTTCAGCTTGCTTTTAAAATGTACACAAATAAAAACACTTTATGCCTGTACATTTTTATGTCGATCACATAACAACCTTACATTGACTGGCAGAATAATATGTTGAGTAAATATGACCTATCAGTTGTAATGTGACCCATAAGGTTGACATAAAATGTGACCCATAAGATTGACAAAATGTGACCCCTAAGATTAACATAAACTGATGTACATTGAATGTGCCCCCTAAGATTAACATAAAATGTACATTGAATGTGCCCTATTTCCCCAGCCTGACTACGACTACAGGGAAACCGTGAAGAAAATCCTCCCCACCCTCCTACTGCTAGATGAGGTCTCACTCGAGGGCTACGACCCCTCAGCTGTCAGGCACAATGTCTTTGATGAGGACTGGGCCTATCTTGAAGAGTTGCAGAAAGATTCTTTTCTCCAGGAAGAATTTTCTGATGAAACAATCGCAGTAAGTGATGTTGGTGAGTACACATGTTTGATCTTCTTGTAGGGGTGTAGGGTCAGACTTGTGGGGTGTGGGGTCACTTCTAGGGTGTAGGGTCAGATTTCTGGGGTGTAGGGTCAGACTTGTAGGGTGTAGGGTCACTTCTGGAGTGTAGGGTCAGATTTCTGGGGTGTAGGGTCAGACTTGTGGGGTGTAGGGTCAGACTTGTGGGGTGTGGGGTCAGTGGGGTGTAGGGTCAGACTTGTGGGGTGTGGGGTCAGTGGGGTGTAGGGTCAGACTTCTGGGGTGTAGGGTCAGACTTCTGGGGTGTAGGGTCAGACTTCTGGGGTGTAGGGTCAGATTTCTGGGGTGTAGGGTCACTTCTGGGGTGTAGGGTCAGACTTCTGGGGTGTAGGGTCACTTCTGGAGTGTAGGGTCAGACTTGTGGGGTGTAGGGTCAGACTTGTGGGGTGTGGGGTCAGACTTGTGGGGTGTAGGGTCAGACTTGTGGGGTGTAGGGTCAGACTTGTGGGGTGTAGGGTCAGACTTGTAGGGTGTGGTGTCACTTCTGGGGTGTAGGGTCAGATTTCTGGGGTGTAGGGTCAGACTTGTGGGGTGTAGGGTCAGACTTCTGGGGTGTAGGGTCAGACTTCTGGGGTGTAGGGTCAGACTTCTGGGGTGTAGGGTCAGACTTCTGGGGTGTAGGGTCAGACTTGTGGGGTGTAGGGTCAGTCTTGTGGGGTGTAGGGTCACTTCTGGAGTGTAGGGTCAGTTTTCTGGGGTGTAGGGTCAGACTTCTGGGGTGTAGGGTCAGTCTTGTGGGGTGTAGGGTCAGACTTGTAGGGTGTAGGGTCAGATTTCTGGGGTGTAGGGTCAGACTTGTGGGGTGTAGGGTCACTTCTGGGGTGTAGGGTCAGACTTGTAGGGTGTAGGGTCACTTCTGGAGTGTAGGGTCAGATTTCTGGGGTGTAGGGTCAGACTTGTAGGGTGTAGGGTCAGATTTCTGGGGTGTAGGGTCAGACTTGTAGGGTGTAGGGTCAGATTTCTGGGGTGTAGGCTCAGACTTGTAGGGTGTAGGGTCAGATTTCTGGGGGGTCATACTTGTGGGGTGTAGGGTCACACTTCTGGGGGGTCAGACTTGTGGGGTGTAGGGTCAGACTTGTGGGGTGTAGGGTCAGACTTGTGGGGTGTAGGGTCACTTCTGGGGTGTAGGGTCAGACTTATGGGGTGTAGGGTCAGACTTGTGGGGTGTAGGGTCACACTTCTGGGGGGTCAGACTTGTGGGGTGTAGGGTCAGTCTTATGGGGTGTAGGGTCAGACTTGTGGGGTGTAGGGTCAGACTTCTGGGGGGTCAGACTTGTGGGGTGTAGGGTCAGTCTTATGGGGTGTAGGGTCAGACTTGTGGGGTGTAGGGTCAGACTTATGGGGTGTAGGGTCAGACTTGTGGGGTGTAGGGTCAGACTTGTGGGGTGTGGGGTCAGACTTGTGGGGTGTAGGGTCAGACTTGTGGGGTGTAGGGTCAGACTTCTGGGGTGTAGGGTCAGACTTGTGGGGTGTGGGGTCAGTGGGGTGTAGGGTCAGACTTCTGGAGTGTAGGGTCAGACTTGTGGGGTGTGGGGTCAGTCTTGTGGGGTGTAGGGTCAGAGTTGTAGGGTGTAGGGTCAGACTTGTGGGGTGTAGGGTCAGACAAAGACAAAGAGAGAAAGACAAAGGAATAGTACACAAGCCAAGTAGAACTGACCCCCTGGTTTTTCTTAGATCGTCCACCAACCGCTGCCCTTAGACCAGCAACTGCCTACCGTCCAGGCTCAGCCTTGCGACCTAGTTCAGGATTTCGCCCACTGTCAGCATCACGACACCTCTCAAGCTTGAGTGACCCAAATACACCACGCCCTAAAACATCAGCATCCCAGAGACCAGTTTCCAGTGGTCAGTACAAAAATTGTGTTGTTTTCTAGTGGTCAGTACAAAAATTGTGTTGTTTTCTAGTGGTCAGAGGCAGAAGTTGTGTTGTTTTCTAGTGGTCAGTAGCAGAAGTTGTGTTATGTTTTCTAGTGGTCAGTACAAAAATTGTGTTGTCTTCTAGTGGTCAGTAGCAGAAGTTGTGTTAAGTTTTCTAGTGGTCAGTAGCAGAAGTTTTGCTAAATTTTCCAGTGGTCAGTACAAAAATTGTGTTGTTTTCTAGTGGTCAGTAGCAGAAGTTGTGTTATGTTTTCTAGTGGTCAGTACAAAAATTGTGTTGTCTTCTAGTGGTCAGTAGCAGAAGTTGTGTTAAGTTTTCTAGTGGTCAGTAGCAGAAGTTTTGCTAAATTTTCCAGTGGTCAGTACAAAAATTGTGTTGTTTTCTAGTGGTCAGTAGCAGAAGATGTGTTAAGTTTTCTAGTGGTCAGTAGCAGAAGATGTGTTAAGTTTTCTAGTGGTCAGTAGCAGAAGTTGTGTTAAGTTTTCTAGTGGTCAGTAGCAGACGTTGTGTTAAGTTTTCTAGTGGTCAGTAGCAGAAGATGTGTTAAGTTTTCTAGTGGTCAGTAGCAGAAGTTGTGTTAAGTTTTCTAGTGGTCAGTAGCAGACGATGTGTTAAGTTTTCTAGTGGTCAGTAGCAGAAGTTGTGTTAAGTTTTCTAGTGGTCAGTAGCAGACGTTGTGTTAAGTTTTCTAGTGGTCAGTAGCAGAAGTTGTGTTAAGTTTTCTAGTGGTCAGTAGCAGACGTTGTGTTAAGTTTTCTAGTGGTCAGTACAAAAATTGTGTTGTTTTCTAGTGGTCAGTAGCAGAAGATGTGTTAAGTCTAGTGGTCAGTAGCAGAAGTTGTGTTAAGTTTTCTAGTGGTCAGTAGCAGAAGTTGTGTTAAGTTTTCTAGTGGTCAGTAGCAGAAGTTGTGTTAAGTTTTCTAGTGGTCAGTAGCAGAAGTTGTGTTAAGTCTAGTGGTCAGTTGCAGAAGTTGTGTTAAGTTTTCTAGTGGTCAGTAGCAGAAGATGTGTTAAGTTTTCTAGTGGTCAGTAACAGAAGTTGTGCTAAATTTTCCAGTGGTCAGTACAAAAATTGTGTTGTTTTCTAGTGGTCAGTAGCAGAAGTTTTCGTCCCTCAAATCTATCTTATATTTTGGATAGCATTAAGCTCTAGCTTTGTGCTGCCCTCTAGCTTTGTGCTTTCAGCTGTAATCATTTTGTGCTATCCTCTAGCATTGTGCTACCCTCTAGCTTAGTGCTGCCCTCTAGCTTAGTGCTGCCCTCTAGCTTAGTGCTGCCCTTTAGCTTAGTGCTTCCCTCTACACTACAATAAGACATATACTATGTGCAGATGCCGCTGAAAGCCTGGAGCCTGCCAGTGAGCTGACTATGGGGAGCGTCATCTGTGGAAACCCATCTAAAGCCCTGAGACAACGGCGCAGCAATGGGCCGGGATCTAAAGAGGATGTCAGGAGGGGTTTGAATAAATTGCTGCTTAAGGTATTCTATTCACTCAACTTATTTGATTCTCTTCACTCAACTTTTTTATTCTCTTCATTCAAGTTATTTAATTCTCTCACTCAAGGGTGCTGTGTTAAACCAATCTACAGACAAAGAAGAAGAACCAGCTTATGGATCAGAAGAGCTAAACAACATTATTGAGGAGTTGAATTCATGGAAGGCTGACCATGAAAAGTAAGCTGATAGTTGGATAACTTTGATCATAACTTGCCTACAAGGAATCAGATTTTCACATTGGTTCATTACAGATATAGAAAATATTAAACAACAGTTAACTTGTTAGAACATCACAAAAAAGATGAATGTGAGAAATAAAATTGTCTTTTTTTTGCTGGGTTTCCCCAGGCGTATGGAGGAGCTGATGAAGTCTAAAGCAGCACAGATCCTAGTGGTTGACCACAATGACCAGCTCAACTCTGACGCAAGTGATGACGAGGATGCTGACTCGACTCATCATGACGACAGCGCTGGCTATGCCAGAAAACGTCACTCTGCTGATCTGCTCTTGAAGAAAGACATGTCACTGTCAAGTGGTGACACTTTGTCAACAGGGGATCAGCTGGGCAGGAGGCAGGACAGCAGTGAGGACTTGTGTGACCATTCTTCTTCTCATGGACTGAAGGTCAGGGGAGATCTGGAGGTGGAGGGGAGGGGGGTGGGAGCAGAGGAGGCAGCCATGTTTAGGTCTCAGAGTCCCACATCAGCACAAATCATCAACAGCATGAGGAGCAAGCAGACCCTCTCTAATACTTCGCCCAAGTTCAGGAAGTTGAGGTAAAAAAATTAGATGCAGATGCTTTAAATTTATTCTCTTCCTCACATTGGATCAATTATTTCTTTTAGAAAGTTGTTTATGTTTTTGATCAACTTTTTTACAGGGTAGGGCCTACAGGGCTTCCCCTCTCATCCCAACAACCAGTCATCAAGAACAGTATTCTCCCAGCAAGACCTAATGTGGGACCCAGTTCTCGACCACTCAGTTCTAAAGCTGGCGTCTCATTACTCCCCTCACAACCCAGGATTCCAAGAATATCTTCACAACTCAACAGTCTGGAGCCTCGTCCTCCCAATAGCTCTTAGTATTTGTGTTGTCCAGAGTTATGCTGTCTGGTGGATCACAACTCAACAGTCTGGAGCCTCGTCCTCCCAATAGCTCTTAGTATTTGTGTTGTCCAAACAGAATTATGCTGTCTGGTGGATATCTGCTCACAAGTTAAAGACAATATAAAAAAACCTTAAAATAAAGTAAGGGAGATAACTATTTCATAAAATGAACCAAAACAAATTGTTTTTGTTTTTTTACATTTATAATGATTGTTCTTAATTAATGGGTCTCTTTTTAAAGTTATTTGTTCAGTTAATAAAGTAAAAAAATTGTGTACTTACCTTGTAATGTTCTGTATATTATTTCCAACAATGCAGTTCTTTTTACCTAATATTTCATGATCAAAACATTATTAAAATTCTCAACACATTAAAAAACTAGGGATGTTTGTAAAATGTGTAGTGGAGTACTTGATTCAACCTTTCATATGTAAATAGAAAAGCTACTAACCTAAACTATTATCTTCTCTTGTTTTGATGATACAAACCTTATTCTATATGGTTTGTTACATGCTACATTTTATTCTGTTGTTTTTAAATTGAAAATTTTAATTTAGTTTCAACAGAATTCATTTAAAAGATAATGTTATGTGTTTTATATTATTATTTTAATTTCTCTTGAATTAGTTGAAATGATTGATTGCGTTTTTCATTTTTGTTGAAATAATTTTACTTTCATTGGAATTAGTTTATATTTTCCAAAGACCATTGACATTTTTTAGCAGCGATTTTCCAGTTTTTTGTAGTTATTAACATTTGTAAATTGTGTCGAGGTGGGATGGCGGGGTCAAATGGCAGAGCATTAGACTACTAACCAGAAAGTCTCCAGTTTCAATCAGGTCAGGGTTTTGTAGTCGTAGAATGTCCCTGAGTCCACCCAGCTCCAATGGCTACCTGACTCATGTTAAATAGTAAAAGTGGCTGGGCATAGTGCTGACCAAACTATCTCTTCATATGCCGAGGTCACAGCAACAGGTGAACTCTATTTTCTTTGCCCCATGGACCGTCAGGTTCTAAAGGGAACTTTATTTTCCTTTTTTTTAATGTGTCTTGTTCATTTTTTAAATACATTTTTTTTAATGTATTTAGTTCATTTCTTGAATACATTTTTTTAAAGAGTAACTACATTTATCACTGTAGCTATTCAAATACAAGATTATGTATTTTAATCTGTGTCCCACGACTGTGTCACAACTTATATTTATATGAGGTTCTTGCTTCCTTACAAAAAAATATTTTTTACAACTAATTTAAGCAAACTTTGTTTTGTAAAAAAGAAATGATTGTGTCGGCCTATCTGTATTTGAAAGTTTTTTCAATATATTTGAGTGGATAAGATTTCTCTACCGAGGGTTGTGTGTCAGGAAAAACAAATTGTCTCAAAATCCATGGGGCACCATGGAGTAAATGAGTCACATTTTCAAATCATTTTATTGAAACAAATACCATAAGTGACTTTTATAGAAAAAAAAACTACATTTACAGTAACCCTGGCTGTGGGTTGTGGACTGCATGATTGTTGTGTTACAATGTGAAAAGATGGTTGTTTCCCTTGAAATGTTCTCGTCCAATATTGAATGCAATTTCTGTGGGGTTGTTTCCTTTTATAGGTTCTTGTGATAACTTCAAAGATACTGCTGATGCTTCTACTGCCCAAGCCAATGATTGTATTTTTGTATAATCCAAATAATGTGTTTTTGGGTTCCTAGAAAAATGTGCAAATGGAAAACTGCACAAATACAAACTAATTATACAAATACATTTTAATTTTGTTGAAGTGTTTTATTATTTTGTTTACGTCTATAAATGATTGATTTAAGAAAACAAAAAAGCCCTTCCACACTTTTTGCAGTTTTCCATTGCGCATCTTTCCAGTCACCATGTTTTTATGATGTATTGTTGTACATTCCACATATACAGTTTCTGTTATCATGTATTGTTGTACATTCAACATATTGAGTTTGTTTTTAAACTATCAACAGATGACTGGATACTGTAATAGTAAAATTAAATAATTTTTGTATCAGCATGTTTGAACTTCAATGTACATTATTATGCATATTGAGCAATAAATTATTGAATGTCTGCTTTAAAAGGTATACACAACTTGAAAACAGGTGATCAGCTGGTTACTCAAAGCTTCTGAACTGAATTTTCTGTATATGTACAACAATTTATTTAACTATTTTTATATTTTTATATATTACATAATCACAACAAGGGATCAGCAAATAAATACTGATTGCATCCAACAATAAAAATATCACATAATTTTATAGCACACCAGTTTCAGCACGCAATAATAACTTTACCAAGTAATTACCATTAGGCAATATTATTGCCTTAACATTATAAAAAAAACCTTACAGGAAAGAGTTACATAATATAAACAAAGCATATTTTGACAGCTGGACATAGGTTCAGCACATCTTCCTTTCATTTAAAACTTCCCCATCTACGTTGACAAAAATCATCTATAAACATGAGTTATGATTCTTGGAGAATGTGCACTTGATTTTTTTCTTTCACCTATCCTGGGCACCCTGCTCCAGTCAAATACACTGTACATTGTCAGGGACTTTTTTAGCAAGCGCATGTTTACTGCATCCTCAGGATTTTCATAGGTTGGACTATAAAAAACATGAACAGAATATAAACAACACAAAATGTAAAAACTTCAATTAGAGCTAATATATAGCCAATTTTAAACAACCAAAAGAGCAATAACCATAACATGATACAAAATTAAATAAAAACATAAGCCATAAATAAATCCAAAGTTACAGTTTAAATTATAAAATTATGTTAATAAGGACTTTTCCAATTAGTCCTAAAAAATCAATTCAAACTTAAGTAATGACTGAACTTTGAACCTTGGTTAAAATGTGTTTATTTGAAAAAAATGTTTATAACATTCTATATCATTTTCAGGGTTTAATTAAATGTTGAAAAGAAAATATGTTCAAACTCACTAGCTTTTGTTATTACCAACTTGAGAGGTTGCTGAAATAGAAAAATGTACTTTTTAAGTAAATCAAACTTTATTGTCTCCATCAGCTGCAGGTACATGAACATCTGCTGATGTATCATTAGCTGTGTGATAAACTCACCGGGTCTAGCACTGGCTGACTTGACCTGCCTGCTGGGATAACAAATGGATGGCGGCCCCTCTGATTTCCTACCAAAGGCTAAACTCACATGTACACGCTCTTCATCCTGCAGGGCCATTTCACTTTCTTCTCTGGTCACTTCTGCACAGAAATCATTTATTTCATCAATCTGATCCACAAACATTACAATTTGATCCCCGAATATTGCCTCAACAATTCGATCATTAAAGCAGTCTGATCCCCAAATAGGGCCTCAACAATTTGATCATTAAAGCAGTCTGATCCCCAAATATGGCCTCAACTTATCCACAATGGTCACACAGCTAAACTAACATGAGACAAACATACAATAAACTTGATACGTAATGAAAAGATAACTAACCTGACCTATCCAACAGAGTAAGTGAGGGACAGGAGCGGATGACAAACATACGATAGTCTGCCTCCTGAGCCACAGGGTTGTTGAACAGATCTGAATGGTACAAAACATTTTTATACAATATTTTAAAAAAATTTCTATAATTTATACAAAAAGTGCAAATTTTATTGAAAACTTTTGTTTAGCACATTAATTAAGATTATGTTTTAACAAAAAGAAAATGTCTCACTTACTTAAGATTGTTTTAACAAAAAGAAAATGTCTCACTTACTTAAGATTGTTTTAACAAAAAGAAAATGTCTCACTTACTTAAGATTGTTTTAACAAAAAGAAAATGTCTCACTTACTTAAGACACTGAGAGCTTTCATCTTTTCAAACTCCTTTGTGACAGTTTCTAGCTTGGTCAGCTGGTTGTTATGTAACGTGAGGACCACTAAACAAGTCAGGTGCTGCAAACATCCACTCACACTGCTCAGCTGGTTATCATGGAGGTAAAGCTCACACAGGTGATAATTTATGCTCAGAAAATTTACTTCTCGCAACTGTAATAAAATAACATCTAAACTTCTATAAATATTTGTGTATGTAATCACTAAAACGTATACATTAAAATTTCCTTTTCAGTTAAATAGCTCAAAAATATTTCTCTTTCTTTTCAGTTTTACTTACCATAGACAGGCAAACTTAAGTATTTATAAGAACGAGCCGGCCCGCGGCATAACATACGCCGCTATTTAGTTGTTGTTTTTTCTACTTTTCAGTAATTCAAAATTTGTGAATTCGACAGTACCAACGCTGCCACTGAAAATATTTCTATAAAACACTATAAGTAGCTCGTTAAGGACCATAACCCCCCCCCCCCTTTCCTTCCCCCCCTCCCCCCTACGTTTAAAATCGTTGGCTCTGCTTGTAAACATTTAGAGTGAACACAGCTCACTAAAACCATGTAGGGGTGGGGAGGTAGGGAGCGCGTTTACAGCTTGTTTTCTAGACGCGTTTGCAGCTTGTTTTCTAGCGGCTCCCAGAAGAGAATTATATATACGAGCCGACCCGCGGCATATCATACGCCGCTATTTCGTTGTTGTTTTTCTACTTTTCAGTTATTCATAATTTGTGAATTCGACACTACCAACGCTGCCACTGAAAATATTTCTTTAAAACACTATAAGTAGCTCGTTAAGGACGATAACCCCCTCCTTCCTCCCTCCTCCTCCCCCCCCTCCGTTAAAGTAAACTCCACTTAGTTACCCCCCCCCCCCTACGTTTAAAATCGTTTCAAACTAAATTATCTGCCCCTAGTAGTTGTCACTAAACCCGGCTCTGTTTGTAAACATTTAGAGTGAACCACAGCTCACCAGACCATGTAGGGATGGGGGTGGTAGGAAGCGCATTTACAGCTTGTTTTCTAGCGTCTCACAGAAGAGAATTATATATATAGATAGATTCTAATGAGTTTTTGGATTAGTCGAAGGAGGCTGTTTTTTTTTTTATAGATGTCATTAAATTAAAATAAGCTTTTATGACATTGACATGCACATATATATATACATACATAAACAAAAAACCCACAAACAAACATTGACATAAACACAGCCACACACACACACACACACACACACACACAAATACAAATATACCTTATTTCCATTGAGCCAAAGTTTAGTTAAATATCTAAATCTTTTCAAATCAATCATTTCGTTCAGGTTTCTGCAAAACATTTGATAGTAAAAGTAAAATATTCATTAACAAATTTTTTTTAGCCCCAACTGTTTGTTTCTCTATTTATATATCATAAAAAAATAACCTGTTAGATAAATAAAGCTCCTCCACATCCTTATCCTTCTTGATTCCTTTTGATTGTAATGCTTCAGTGATCACCTAAATACAGTAAATAAAATCCTTTGGTTGTTTTTGAAGTTATTAAATACATTTTTTGGGAGCTTAGGACTTTAGTTTCATTTTTTGCATACATAGGGAATCTCACTGGGACAAGAGACAATACTCTAAGTCAGGTTAAACACTCATAAATTTGGCAGTAATTGAAATTAAATGTCAGCCTATGAAGAAATAATCTATCTTCACTTCTATGCCAGAAAATATGGGAATTTTTGGTTTTTAATTTTAAACATACAGTTTTTTTATGGACAATTATTATTCTCAGTTTTCACAGATATTGGCAATCTATCATTTTAGGTGCATAAAATCGGCACGAGGCTAGTAATGTGAAAAAAGTTGCCTCATTATTATGGCTTAAATACAAGTATATTGTGATATATTTGTGTCAAATATAATAGATAACTGAATAATAAACCATAAGTAATGTGTAAATATATCAATTTAGGCCAGAAATTAACATTAAACCGCAGGGGGGAGTTTTTTATACCAGTGTCCGGTAATAGAATCTTCTTTAAAAAGGGGTATTAGGTTACTGGTAGTTAACTAAAATACACACATGGCTTGCTATTACAATGCTAACCCTATCCCAAACCCTAACCCTGGTCCTACCTTACACTTTACACCTAACCCTAACTTCTAACCATAAAACTAGTTGAGATTACAATACTACTAACAACCTAACACACCTATTTTTGGAAGAGTCTATTATCGGACATCAGTATGTAAAATCATCCGTCAAATAATTAGTAATTAGTAGGCCGCCTCATTGCTTAGATTGCTGGATTGACCTCTGACCCTGAAACGTCACGCGTCGTTTTCTGACGGTTTTTACGTTTATTTTAGGGTCCAATCCACGACAAATGAAAAAACTGTTAATCTCGCAAATTCTTATCATTATTTTAACACAAGATGCTAATAAAATGGATAATATGCCTTAGAATGCCAGAAAAAAACGCTAGAATTGTAGTTGTAAATAATGAGAGGATTTCCAGTGGAGCACTCTCCGTATAAACTGAACCGCGGTCAAAAACGACCGTATAACGGGGAAAACGGCCCGTATAACGGTAGATTAATATATAATTGAGATATTTACCATGTATATTTACAGTATTATGGATGATCTTTACCAAAAATCCAATTACCCCGTAAGTAACCATGCGACAATTTCTCTCTGCTATTTTTAGTAACGTTGCGTCATTGTTACGCTAGTTGCCAGACAGAAACAACTAGTTTTTGTTTTTTACGGAATGAACTGTTAAGTCTAGTATTTTAATTATAATTCAATTGTAGCATGTGTGGAAAAAGTAAAATTATGGACATTATTATTGTATTAGTAATTTTATTAGTATATTGATTTTTTCTTCACTGTGGGCCGACAGTTGCTGCATTCGTGACCGGTGGTTAACCTCGTCAACGCTGCGTGGCCTATTCGTTTATATAATCAGTGATGCTCGTTCAGTGGCCTTTTTCAGAGCTAGGCCTAATTACTGGCGATTTTTAGACTTAATTGATCGGCCGTTAGCCCTTTTCATTGCTGCGTATTTTAAAAAAAATGCTCGTTCAGCTGCCTTTTTTTTTGGCGCTAAATAATCTGTTTACGGTCATTTTAAGCGTTTATTTATTTATTTTTTTAAGCTAGACGTAGATCTAGTTAAATTTTTTTTTTATACAGCTGGCTGTCTAGCATGCCTGATATGTGAACTTTAAAAAAAATGACCGAACTTTTAAAAAAAAATGACCAGAAGTAGGGAAGTAGGTCTGTAATTCAATTTGCTTGAAGAAGGGGGGGGGGGGGAGAGAGAGAGAGAAGTGAAGACACCGACCATCTCGTGTACGCGTGTTCATTCTATGACGTGTACTATAGGTCACGGTGACCCCGCGACCGTGGTGGGATTTTTCATCCACAGGATAGTAAACGTAAGCAAGCAATCACGTGAGTGACGATGTTTGGAGATTTTATTTTAAAAAAATAATCACATACGTCATGTTTTCAAGATGAAAAAAAAATGTAATGTAAAAAAAAAAGACACTAATACCATGTATGAACCTCAGCTGCCACGCTGTTGACTCAATACAATGTGAATTGAGTGTAAAATGTATTTGTATTTATAAACTATCATAACTATTACTATCATATTATTTTAAGCATATTTATTATTTAAAATTAGAATTTGAAATAAAAATATTTATTATGGTCATTTGATTTATGCAGGTGTTCATTACTTCATAAAATGGTATGAATATCATGTGGAGTAGAATTTAATAAATAATAAAATAACTAGATATAGTTTTATTATCAACGAGTTGCTTTTTGTTATTTTCCGGTGAGTAAATTACCTAAGCTGACGCAATTACCATGGCGGGAATTAAAAGCTCGTGCACACAAGTCCACGACGTCATGTTATGCCGGTCGAGGGCCAAGAACGCTGATTTGTCATTCATTTTCCATTTTTGATTAATTTTCAAATTCTCTATTTTCTCGTCAACCGAGTAAGCTAGATATTTAAATGAGGTGTCAAATGTTCTCTTAAGGGGTAAGGAAGTTAATGGTGTATTTGAAATAACAGAATATTTTATTTTAAAAAATCCATAATTCAACCTACAAATTAAAAACTCCTTTAACTTTATTTCGAAATGATGATCTTAAATGAATTAAATCTTAATAATTGGTAATCTATCGTTTTCGGTAGGTAAAATCGACATTATACTAAATCTAATACTTTCTTCTCTTTACTTTAAATTGCAATGCAATTATCAACTATTCTAGGTCCACATCTATTAATTACGATAGTACTACTGTAGTAATTGATTGTATTCACCATGTCACTGGACGCCATCTTGGTCGTTGCTACAATAATGATTACTGGGCCATTTAAATTTACTTTCGCCAATAATAATATTATTATTAATAAAAATAATTTTTAAAAATAGAATATTGGCCTAATAACAGTGACAGTAACAGTAACAGTAACAGTAACAGTAACAGTAACAGTAACAGTAACAGTAACAGTAACAGTAACAGTAACAGTAACAGTAACAGAAACAGTAACAGTAACAGTAACAGTAACAGTAACAGTAACAATTGCAGTAACAGTGGTAGCACAGTAACAACAACAGCAGAAACAGCAGCAACACCACCCCTCCTCTACCTCCCCCAGTGTGATAACGTATATGGACTGCCAAACACAAAAACACCCCAGTCACTATATAGCCCCGGCAATTGGACTCCCTACAAAATAGCTATCTATAAAAGGACTCAAGATAATATGTTATAATAATATGTATTAAAATCTAGATCTATGTTGAAAGGAATAATATTTATGTGTTGATCACAATTTCTGTAGGTTATATATTTTTGTGTTATACTATTGGGATTGGACTCGTATATAGGCGATCATTGTAGGGGGAGAAGTCACAAGGCAGTAGCGTACGCAGGGGGGGGGGGAAGCAGGGGGAGCGGCCGCTCCCCCTCTGGCCATTTTCAGCAAAGTGGCGCCTTTTTGGAAACTTTTTAAATTCAAAGTTTTAAGCAATGATATTTGTTAAAAAAATATTTTTGGTCGGCACATCTATGTAAATCAAAAGATTTCTTTTCATGCAGCAATTAAGCATTATTGTTCTAGTTTAGTAGTGTCTACGTTTACAACACGTATTAACAGCTGCATCAGTTTACCTTTCTAAAAATAACCATTACGATGTATTGCAATGTTTAAAATACCTCTACGGTCAGTGGCGTAGCCAGGATCGTCTCAAGGGGGGGGTTCCAATTTTTACCCGGGGACAAACTTTCGATTTGCGTCCCCCCCCCTCAAACTTTCGATTTGCACCCCCCCCTCAAACTTTCGATTTGCACCCCCCCCCCCTCAAACTTTCGATTTGCACCCCCCCCTCAAACTTTCGATTTGCACCCCCCCCCCCCCTCAAACTTTCGATTTGCACCCCCCCCTCAAACTTTCGATTTGCACCCCCCCCTCATACTTTTTATATATACCGAGGGGTCTATGGGGGGGGTTATGACCCCCCCTAACCCCCCCCTGCCTACGCCACTGTCTACGGTAGTACCACTTGGCAAGAGGGGTGTTAAGTTTAAGGCAACTGTATAATGTATTTGCTTACGAATAATTGAATTAGAAAATGTTATACATAAAACTTCACACATAATTACTTTATATATACAGTTTGAATCGTGTGATTAATTTTTTAAAAATTACAATACAGAAACAGTTTGAGCGATAGTGATTACGATTACAAATTATATGAAACAGTTACAACCCCCCCCCCCTCCCCCATGGACCCCTCTGTAAAAAAATATTGTCATAATACCACTGCTACTTATTTAAATCTATTTCTGTAATATATATTTGTGTAATATATATTTGTGTAATATTTATGTATGTTTAGAACAGTCATCTAAAAACTGATGCTATGTTCACTCTGAGTTGGTTATCTCCCCGCCCCCGCCCCCACCCCCCACCCCCACACCTCACCACCAAAATTGTGTAGAGCGACGTTAATGCCACACCTAGGTATACACTGGGTTGGATAATTGACCTAAAGTGAACGGACAGTGGTGCATGAAGTTGAACCCATCCCCCCCCCCCAACCCACCCCGAACTGATTTGTTAAGTACATGTAGAGAACGCGTAATGATGTACCATAGTACCATGCCGCCAGAAAATTAGCTTTTTACACGTAAAACTCTGTGAATATTGTTTTTGAAATTACCAGTAAAAAAGTGTGTGATCAATACAGTGATCTAACCCATACCTATCACTATGTTTAAAAAATGATCATTAAAGAACACAAAGAAGCAGTAGATAATTGAAATATATGAATTAGTACTGAAAGACCGATATTCAGTTATATGTAAGCTGTTATTCCGAATGTGTTTCTAATATATTGAAAAGCGTGCTTTTATACCAACTCTGATTTTAAAAACTTTCATTATGCTGTAATACTTTAACATTTATGATGACGATATATTAAATTCTGATTATAGACAAAAACATTTTGTAAACACAAATAGTCTTAAACAATTTCATTATATTCTAAAGTAATTATTTATTTGTATTGACATTTACAATTAAATGTGTACGAGAAAAATGGCCCGTTGAGGAAGGGTACAACGGGCGCTAGGTTGATAGTGCTGTCTATTTTCTCGGTACTTTAATTTATACAAAATATAGTCAAAGGCATATCCCTAAACCATGCACCTAATCTCATTCATGACAAAAGTCGCATTTAGAGTTTCTTTCAGGCAACTCTACTTGGGAGAAGGGGGCTTCGCCCCACCCCCCCCCCCCCCCCCCCACACACACACTCCAAAACATGTCTACCGTCCCATTCAACGAAATATAATTATATACTTTTTCCCAGTGTCCGCCCCCTCACAGAAAATACTACCGCCGCCCCCGAAAATTTCAAATACCTCCACCCCTCTCCGGGGAGGAAAAAGTCTGAAAGAAACACTGGTCGCATATGTAGATCATACAAACTAAAGGAAGAATCTGGGCGGGGCTTCGCCCCTACCGGAAGAGAGGAAAAAGTCTGAAAGAAACACCGGTGTCGCGCTTAGCCACTACGCGAAGAATTGCATGAAAGAAATTGCAAGAAAACCACTTTTTAGATTAGACACATTAATTAGGCGGTAATTTTATTATAGAGTATCGATGAGGAAATTTCTTTTGAGTTGGGGAGGGGGGGGGCTTAAACGTTCTTGCGCGGGGGTGGGGCTTCGCCCCTACCCGAAGAATTGTATGAAAGAAACTCTTCACGCAAACCACTTAGATTAGACAAAATTGCCTTTTTATTCAATGTTTACTCGAGAATCAATGACGTCATATTACTGTGTGCACTCTCCGGCTTGATATTATTTTCTACTATATGACGTCATACTTCGATTTCGTTTAACTATGCATGTTTTTAATTTGCTTATGTTTTCTCTAGAGCGTTCTTGTCAGATAGATACACAGACAGCGAAACTATTAGTATTAATTTATATTAAGAGAGTGATTATTTCCCCTATTTCCCTTGTCTTAAATAATTTCCCAGGAATTATTATGTAAGAAATTTTGTTTACAAGAATTACAAAACGTTCATTGTTTTTGGTTGTAGTGTATATATATATATATATATATATATATATATATATATATATATATATATATATATATATATATATATATATATATATATATATATATATATATATATATATATATATATATATATATATATATATATATATATATATATATATATATATATATATATATATACATTGTTTAAATTGATACAATTTTTGTTTTGTCGGCCAACATTGTGTGTTTTTTCTTATTTCGTCAGAGTGCTACTTTCAATTTATTTTACATCATAGCGAATTAATGACATACAGCTATATATATATATATATATATATATATATATATATATATATATATATATATATATATATATATAATACACGTATATAGAACGTCTTAAAAATTCGGCGCCTTTTTTGTTCTTTTCGCTCCCCCTACAACGAAAACCTGGATACGCCTCTGTCACAAGGGGGAAAAAACAAAGAAAAGTAACACAGTAAAATGTCATAGGAAAAAAGTCACAAATGTGTATTTGTATAGAATTTCAGCTTACGAATAATTAAATGTAAAATAGTGTGCGTGCTTGTATACGTATACTAATATTTATAAAACACGTAAAAATATTTAGTACTTATTATATACATATAATATTTACTAGAATTGAATAGAATATATCCAACCTTCTCGTTTTCATCGCGTTTTAAAATACTAACTTTCAATTAGCGCAAAGTAGCATAACGACGTAGATGACTTGCTGTCCTCAACTCATCGCAACAATAGTTCAACCATCTTTACTGCACATATTTATCACGCTCATTACATAACACAGCATAGGATCACAACAGAAAACCAACAAGGTACCAAGGCTGTAATTGACGTAAAACATCAACAACACACAATATGGACGGACAGGGCCGACTGAGAAGAAGCCGACCAAGGAATGGCCGAACGGCAAAAACATATACAAAACACAATGATGTGCCAAAGTTTCTTTTGTAATTATTTTTTTCTTCTGCGTATTTAACTAAATACGTAACAAAAGTTGAGTTTACTGTGTAAAAATTATCTAATAGTTTTTTTTTTTACTTCTTGTTATAAGGTGTCGTCCATAAATGACGTCACACTCGTAGGGGGGGGGGGGGAGGGGGGGTCCGTAATTTTGTGACGGTGTGTGATGAGGGGGAGGGGGGGTGTTCAGATGGTGTGACGTCACATTTTTGCATTATATTAAAGCAATGTTAGAAAATAGGAATTGATCAAAATACTCTATGTTGACAGAGTTCTGACAAGATTTTGGAAAAAATGTCGATGTTTTAAGAAAAATTCAACAGCAATTTTAAGTGGGGTTGTAGGCTGAGGCCGAGGTGTGATGTCATTTTAGGGGGGGGGGGGTCTGGCTTTTGTGACGACTTGTGACGGAGGGGAGGCGGGGTAATGCCTTTAAGTAACGTTTATAAATATGCTTCCATAAAAACATAACCCACACCAATAAAACCCAAAATTCAACAATTCTCAAAAATTAGATCTAAATCAAAATATTTAATAAAGGATTTTTGTGACTTTTTTCTGTGACTTTATTTCTGTGACTTTTTTCCGATAAAAATTTTCCCTTTGAGTCTATTACTGTGACTTTTTTCTTAGCAAAAACTGTGACTTTTTTCTGTTTTTATTTTCCTGTGACTTTTTTTTTTTCGTTCACCACATAGATCTAGGCCCCTAGTATATACTATATGCGCGTTTTGTGGGTAAGTTGGGGGGGGGGGGGGTAAATAAACAGGCCTCCGCCGATCAGCCTTAGGGAGATTAAGACAGGCGGGGGAATATGTGTACTGCTTTGTCACTTCGAAATGAATGTTACATTTTTGTATCATAAACTGTACGTGTGGACCCAATATAATAATTTTGAAAATAAATGTTTTGAACATTTTACTAGATCTACGGAAAAAAATAGCCTAGATTGCCTAGTTCTAGGCCTAACAAAAATAGTGCCGATTATAGTTTTTAGATGTATTCCGTTAGAGGGCGATCTAGAGAATCTAACTCCAAACAACTTTTATCGGCGGCATGGCGGCTGTAAGTTTTCGTTTCATTTGATTTTCTACACTCCGGCTTCGAATTTAGACTTCTTTTGCTGTGATAGTCGAATGTAAACACAACAAATGCATGATTTATTAGTCATTAAGGAGCTAGGGTCTAATATAATTATTTTTAAAATATTTTTTTTTGGGTGGAAGAGTTGTGTTCTTTTCTTGACTGAACTCAATGTGCTGTAGAAAAAGCATTTTGCTTCGGGTTACTGTTTAGTGTTGGTGTGTACCCAGCATTATTTCATAATTTTCCCGATAGATATAGATCTGGGCTCTAGTTACTGTTATGAAGTGTGTTTCTCTTTTTTCAGCCAACGGCAGAGAAAGTTCAAGAAATCAGGGAAGTGACCCGAATTGAGCGAATTGGTAAGAAATGTTTACTGTTGTTGCCATGGAAATGAACAGCTTAACCTTTTTATTGTTACATGAAGCCTGTTATAAATAAGAGTTTGAAATGATGTTACTCCTTTTTAGATATTGCATGATCTAGTATAAAATACTTTTTGTGGAGATTTTGTAGATCTTGATTTCAAATTAAAAAACAACAGGCCTAAGGAGTTGAGCCTATATGACTATATGAGTATTATATGTCATGACATATGACAATGTCATATGACTTATTCTAAATTAGTAAATAGTTTAGTTAGGCTTATTTCCTCTGAAATGTCTTAAATAACATGGATGAAATACACTCATCCATGCCAATTTAAAAAGATTTAAGCTGAATGTTCAATTAAGTTAAAAATATGTTGCTGATTCCATGACACATAGGCCTATAGATCTGCATAATAATATATAATGACTATTAAGTCATTAAGTGCAGTACCAATTAATATAGCTATTAAAAGAAATAATTTTTAAAAAAATATCCACCTAATATAAAGCCAATACATTTTCTGTTCTAACTCTTAGGTGCACATTCACACATAAGAGGTTTAGGCCTTGATGATGCTCTTGAAGCCAGACAAGTTTCACAAGGAATGGTGGGCCAGATCAAGGCCAGAAAGGCGGCAGGAGTTATCCTAGAAATCATAAAGGTGGGGCATTCCTTCTCTTTTGAAAAAAGCCTTGATCATATTTAAAACATAATTGCTAAATTCAATATCGGCTTATACTTCGCAAAATCAGTTGTGAAGATTTTCCTTATGATGCAAAAATAGTTTCCATACAATGCTATTTAATATTCAAAAGTAATTATAAACTATTTTGTCTACAGGAAGGAAAAATAGCAGGGAGGGGTATTCTCATTGCTGGTCAACCTGGAACTGGCAAAACAGCTATTGCTATGGGTTAGTGTAGTTTGTAGAAGCTCTATTACTTTCATATATTACCCCACATTAGCCAAATCATTACGCAATATCAGTTTAACAAAATATCAACAGTGCCAATGTACATCTCAGATTTTTTATAACTTTCCTTAGGGTAGTCTGAATAGGTACGTTATTAACCATTTATTATTACTTTCTTAAAATTAACCTTGATTCTAAACTTTAGGCATGGCTCAAGCATTGGGAACTGATACACCTTTTACAAGCATTGCAGGCAGTGAGATCTTTTCATTAGAGATGAGCAAAACAGAGGCCCTTACTCAAGCTTTTAGGAAATCTATCGGTGTTCGCATTAAGTGAGTTTAATGTATCTGTGTTAAAACTGAGGCATCATTTACTGCTTGATTCCATTCTTATTGTTCAACTCATTTCTGAGTCTTATATTTAAATAAGAGGTCATTTTAAAAAATCTCACCAGTTTTATTATAAATCATTCTCTGATAATTTAGACGTCTTCGTGTGATCTATTTTAATTTGTGCTTTTTGTTTATTATAATGAATTTCAAATACTATTTTAGTTAACAATAATTTTGCATGAAAATTGATTAACAGAGAAGAAACTGAGATAATTGAAGGTGAAATTGTGGAGGTTCAAATTGACCGACCAGCAACTGGCACAGTAAGTTCTATAAAACATTTTATATATCAGTATATTCACTGATACAAGATATTAACTATAAGCTTTCTTTACATCACAAAAATTGGGCTTTTAGGGTTATTCTTTTGGCATTTTTATTTCATATTCATGAATTCAAAATAATGTAAAGATTCTCTTCTTTCTTTTCATCACAAGCTAAGCTCATTTTGTACATTGATGCATCAATATGTTACTTTCAATGTAACAGTAGTTAAAGTCATACATGTCTTTTCTAGGGTGCCAAAGTAGGTAAACTGACTTTAAAAACTAACACTAGTTAAAGTCACACATTTCCTTTTTAGGGTGCCAAAGTAGGTAAACTGACTTTAAAAACATTTCCTTTCTAGGGTGCCAAAGTAGGTAAACTAACTTTAAAAACTAACAGTAGTTAAAGTCATACATTTCCTTTCTAGGGTGCCAAAGTAGGTAAACTGACTTTAAAAACTAACAGTAGTTAAAGTCATACATTTCCTTTCTAGGGTGCCAAAGTAGGTAAACTGACTTTAAAAACTAACAGTAGTTAAAGTCATACATTTCCTTTCTAGGGTGCCAAAGTAGGTAAACTGACTTTAAAAACTAACAGTAGTTAAAGTCATACATTTCCTTTCTAGGGTGCCAAAGTAGGTAAACTGACTTTAAAAACTAACAGTAGTTAAAGTCATACATGTCTTTTCTAGGGTGCCAAAGTAGGTAAACTGACTTTAAAAACTAACAGTAGTTGAAGTCATACATGTCTTTTCTAGGGTGCCAAAGTAGGTAAACTGACTTTAAAAACTAACAGTAGTTGAAGTCATACATGTCTTTTCTAGGGTGCCAAAGTAGGTAAACTGACTTTAAAAACTAACAGTAGTTGAAGTCATACATGTCTTTTCTAGGGTGCCAAAGTAGGTAAACTGACTTTAAAAACTAACAGTAGTTGAAGTCATACATGTCTTTTCTAGGGTGCCAAAGTAGGTAAACTGACTTTAAAAACTAACAGTAGTTGAAGTCATACATGTCTTTTCTAGGGTGCCAAAGTAGGTAAACTGACTTTAAAAACTAACAGTAGTTGAAGTCATACATGTCTTTTCTAGGGTGCCAAAGTAGGTAAACTGACTTTAAAAACTAACAGTAGTTAAAGTCATACATTTCCTTTTTAGGGTGCCAAAGTAGGTAAACTGACTTTAAAAACTACAGAGATGGAGACCATCTACCAGCTGGGACAGAAAATGATTGAATCTCTCACAAAGGAAAAAGCTCAAGCCGGGTGTGTAATTTTGCCAATTTGTTTGTGCTTCCACAGCTGATACATTTTTATGTTGGCCATCTTTTGTTTATTAACACATTTTATAGTAGGCCAATATTTTATGTGAAATGTGCATTATTTTTCAGTGATATTGTAACAATTGATAAAGCCACCGGAAAAATAACAAAACTTGGCAGGTCATTTACTCGAGCAAGGGACTATGATGCTATGGGAGCTCAGGTAGATATTAAATAATTTAATAGCTAATCCCCATAGTTATTACGAGAAGATTGCAATTGTTAATGTTAAGAAAATTGCTAATCAATTGAAGCTAATTTGTGTTTAAGGAAAACATTTATCTTTCCCAGACAAAATTTGTGCAATGTCCAGAAGGAGAACTCCAGAAGAGGAAAGAAGTTGTCCACACTGTAACCCTGCATGAGATTGATGTCATCAACAGCAGGACTCAAGGCTTTTTAGCTTTGTTTTCTGGTGACACTGGTGAAATCAAGTCTGAAGTGAGAGAACAAATCAATTCCAAAGTTGCTGAGTGGAGGGAGGAGGGAAAGGCAGAGATAGTGCCAGGTGTAAGTATCTCTAGACTCCATTCATTGCCTTGGTTGGTTAGTGTTACATTACTCTAACTAGTACTATCTTATTTCCAGGTTCTTTTTATTGATGAGGTTCACATGTTAGATATTGAATGCTTTTCCTTCCTTAACCGAGCATTGGAGTCTGACATGGCCCCCATCCTTATAATGGCAACCAACAGGGGTATAACAAAGTATGTTATATTTTGTTTTCTTAGCATTGAAGCTTTCTGTTTTAAAGATCCATTCGGTTCATTCTGTGACTGGAAATTTCAGAATTCGAGGTACACATTACACAAGCCCCCATGGAATCCCCATTGACTTACTAGACAGGCTTGTTATTATCTCCACTAGTCCCTATGAAGAAAAGGAAATCAAACAAATTTTAAAGATCAGGTCAGTGTAGCAGCCAGCCATACTAGAGGGAGCTAAAGTATGTTTACAGAGTTAATGAATTTAGATAAACTAGTATCTATTTATAAAAGATCTTTCATCATGATGTTTGATTGTAGATGTGAGGAAGAAGACGTGGAGATGAGTGATGATGCTCTTACAGTTCTCACTCGTATTGGTATGGAGACAAGTCTGAGATATTCCATCCAGCTTATCACTGCTGCCAACTTGGTGTGCAGGAAACGCAAGGTAAAAAAATATCTTTCTGTTTTACTGTTTGAAACAGCTGTTTAATATAAACTATTTTATTTTTAAAGTAATATTGTTTTGTCAAAATTAAAGGTGTTGTTTTACTTTAATTAAGTCTGATTTCTTTTACAGGGTTCAGAAGTTGATGTTGATGACATCAAGAGAGTGTATTCCTTATTTTTAGATGAATCTCGGTCAACACAATTTCTTAAGGAGTACCAGCAAGAGTTCATGTTCAATGAAAGTGAGTAAAAAATGCCTAGCTGGCTAAATAGCCCCTTTTGACACAGCCTAAATTAGGATCCTCATAGCTTAACTATTTTGTGTTTACAATGTAGGAATGATGTGCAGGAATACACATTTCAAAACAAAATTTCTATGGATATTTTCTTACTAGGATTAAAATTTGGCCTTAAGTTGTGTGTCCATGTCCAATGGGGATGGAGTACATTCTATTACACTTGAAACATGATGCTGATAAAATGTTTGTTTCATTTCAGACACTGATGAAATGGAAACCAGCTAAAATTTCATGTGTGGAACTTACCAGAACAATTGAGTGACAGCTGTTGCTGATGTGTGAATTTAGACAATTTTCATTCCATTTCAAATGTTATGAAAATTTTCTATTGCTTATATTGATATATGAATAAATTGTATGACTTTTTTAATACAACTGTAAAATATTGTTTTTGTTATTTTTTGGTGCCCTGCTGGCATTTTAGTCCTATAGTGTCATATTCATTAAGAATGAACAGAATACAAAAAAAAGGACTAATTGCTTTTAAATTTTAGTTGCTCATGAAATATATTTTTAAAAAAAATTTAATACCTGTGATATTGCTCTTTTGAAACTACATTATCTGAGAAATAAAAATAATTTAAAATCTAGAGTGAATAGGTTATATTTTATTATGAATATTAACAGCATCAGGGTACAATTAGATTGTGTACATCCAGCTAGAAACAAGTTGTGGGTCCGGCTTGTGAGATCAAACACCAAAGTGCTGACTAATGGCTGCGACCAAGTCTTTCTTTAATGTACTTGTGGCTGGAATTTTTTCTCTCTTCACAAAATCTTTCAGCACTGGCACAGTCAACTTGTTCAGCTGTTTCAAAAAGTACAGATCAGTCAGAAACATTTAAATAAGTATAACAAAAATAATTTAAAATATGAAATGATCATACCCTCCCTGCTTCAGCCTCAGCCCTCATATCTAAATCTATTGTTGCGTTCTCCATCTTTGGCTTCTTGGCAGCAGATGGCTGTAGATGGGAACATGTAAGACTCTATCACTGGTCAAATTGTGCTTGTGGTAAATTGCTACACCATATCAGAATCCCCAGTATAAAATAGTTACCTTCTTTTTCTGCCCTGGTACATAGTCAGCTGGGAAAACCATCTCTTTGAATGCAGTTATAGCCTTCCCTGCACGGTCCATCAGAGTCTGTGTAGGTACTGAAAACAGAAAGGTAAAAACAAATGTTGATCTGTGTGATAAATGTACACTGTTGATCTATGTGATACATAAAATGTACACTGTTGATCTATGTGATACATGAAATGTACACTGTTGATCTATGTGATACATGAAATGTACACTGTTGATCTATGTGATACATGAAATGTACAGTGTTGATCTATGTGATACATGAAATGTACAGTATTGATCTATGTGATACATATAATGTACAGTGTTGATCTATGTGATACATATAATGTACAGTGTGTCAATCTGTGATTGAGGATTGTATTTAAATATGGCCAGGTTATCCACTAGTTACACTTAATTTGACAATGTCTTCATGCAGTTAAGCAAAATTAAGACTACCTGGAATGGGCCATGTCCCAAGCATGAAAAATGGTTGAAAAACTTACAAGTTAGATCCTCAAACTTGTCTGGCTCATCCCTCTCTAGTGCCAGAGCTTCTATATTTCTCCAGTGTTTTTGTAGAACTGGATTGTCAAAGTTTTCGCTAGAAAACTTAAACGTTAATTTTTTTACCACATCTTTGGCTTTAGCTATTTGCTCCTTAGTTGCTGGGGAAAGATAAAATACAAGTCACAAGATTGACTTAATGTATTAGTTAAAAGGTCCAAGATTTTACATGACATCTAGAAATAACATTAACTCACCTTTAGGTGTCTCTTCAAAGGGAACTTTTCGAAAGTCATCAGCAAAAGGTAAATAGATGACATGGAAACCAGGTGGAGTTATCTGCACCTTGTTTTCATCAACTTCTTCTGCCTGTTAGAGGATAATGTTTATAAATTAAGTCCACGACAATAAATTAACTCTGTAGCTACATTAAATTAATTGAGGAACAGAATTGTCCTGGACCAAACCTGAGGTAAAAGGGAGACAAATCTGGGTGGGTAGCTACGGCTTGGTATGTATTTACATATTGGTGTCATTTCACGCTCCAAACACTTCTTCAGAAGAGCAGTGAACAGGGTGGTGCTGCCAGCTATTTTCTGAAAAATTTGGGGAAAAAATGTATTAAGTTAAGAAAGAGGAACATAACAGTTTGAATTACTGCCTGACAGCAATCACGCTGTGTAACATCAATCCAAAGTTTAGGGTAACCTAACAGATTACAAGCCAAAGTTTAGGTTACCTAGCAGATTACAAGCCAAAGTTTAGGTTACCTAGCAGATTACAAGCCAAAGTTTAGGTTACCTAGCAGATTACAAGCCAAAGTTCAGGGTAACCTAATAGCTTAAGGCCAAAGTTCAGGGTAACCTCACAGATTATAATTCATCATATAGGGTAACAAAACAGCTTAAAAACCTAAATTGTCTTCTCCAGGATTTGGGATATGATAAACATTGAAGTTTACTTGTGTGCAGAATTATCAACCCAAATTGCTTTTACCAGACACATGGCTGCTCATGTCAGTTATGGGAAACAATTTTTCTAGTTGTGTGCAAAACATAAGTGGTTTTCATGATGGTAAATGTTCAGCTCTTTTTGAGTTACCTTCTCATCAGGATAGATGAAATTCCCTGGCCTAACATGAAAATACTTCTTCAAGCTTGTAATTGGCTTAAACCCCACCAGATACAGACCTTCTCATCAGGATAGATGAAATTCCCTGGCCTAACATGAAAATACTTCTTCAAGCTTGTAATTGGCTTAAACCCCACCAGATACAGACCTTCTCATCAGGATAGATGAAATTCCCTGGCCTAACATGAAAATACTTCTTTAAGCTTGTAATTGGCTTAAACCCCACCAGATACAGACCTTCTCATCAGGATAGATGAAATTCCCTGGCCTAACATGAAAATACTTCTTCAAGCTTGTAATTGGCTTAAACCCCACCAGATACAGACCTTCTCATCAGGATAGATGAAATTCCCTGGCCTAACATGAAAATACTTCTTCAAGCTTGTAATTGGCTTAAACCCCACCAGATACAGACCTTCTCATCAGGATAGATGAAATTCCCTGGCCTAACATGAAAATACTTCTTTAAGCTTGTGATTGGCTTAAACCCCACCAGATACAGACCTTCTCATCAGGATAGATGAAATTCCCTGGCCTAACATGAAAATACTTCTTCAAGCTTGTAATTGGCTTAAACCCCACCAGATACAGACCTTCTCATCAGGATAGATGAAATTCCCTGGCCTAACATGAAAATACTTCTTCAAGCTTGTAATTGGCTTAAACCCCACCAGATACAGACCTTCTCATCAGGATAGATGAAATTCCCTGGCCTAACATGAAAATACTTCTTCAAGCTTGTAATTGGCTTAAACCCCACCAGATACAGACCTTCTCATCAGGATAGATGAAATTCCCTGGCCTAACATGAAAATACTTCTTCAAGCTTGTAATTGGCTTAAACCCCACCAGATACAGACCTTCTCATCAGGATAGATGAAATTCCCTGGCCTAACATGAAAATACTTCTTCAAGCTTGTAATTGGCTTAAACCCCACCAGATACAGACCTTCTCATCAGGATAGATGAAATTCCCTGGCCTAACATGAAAATACTTCTTCAAGCTTGTAATTGGCTTAAACCCCACCAGATACAGACCTTCTCATCAGGATAGATGAAATTCCCTGGCCTAACATGAAAATACTTCTTCAAGCTTGTAATTGGCTTAAACCCCACCAGATACAGACCTTCTCATCAGGATAGATGAAATTCCCTGGCCTAACATGAAAATACTTCTTCAAGCTTGTAATTGGCTTAAACCCCACCAGATACAGACCTTCTCATCAGGATAGATGAAATTCCCTGGCCTAACATGAAAATACTTCTTTAAGCTTGTGATTGGCTTAAACCCCACCAGATACAGACCTTCTCATCAGGATAGATGAAATTCCCTGGCCTAACATGAAAATACTTCTTCAAGCTTGTGATTGGCTTAAACCCCACCAGATACAGACCTTCTCATCAGGATAGATGAAATTCCCTGGCCTAACATGAAAATACTTCTTTAAGCTTGTAATTGGCTTAAACCCCACCAGATACAGACCTTCTCATCAGGATAGATGAAATTCCCTGGCCTAACATGAAAATACTTCTTCAAGCTTGTAATTGGCTTAAACCCCACCAGATACAGACCTTCTCATCAGGATAGATGAAATTCCCTGGCCTAACATGAAAATACTTCTTCAAGCTTGTAATTGGCTTAAACCCCACCAGATACAGACCTTCTCATCAGGATAGATGAAATTCCCTGGCCTAACATGAAAATACTTCTTTAAGCTTGTAATTGGCTTAAACCCCACCAGATACAGACCTTCTCATCAGGATAGATGAAATTCCCTGGCCTAACATGAAAATACTTCTTCAAGCTTGTAATTGGCTTAAACCCCACCAGATACAGACCTTCTCATCAGGATAGATGAAATTCCCTGGCCTAACATGAAAATACTTCTTCAAGCTTGTAATTGGCTTAAACCCCACCAGATACAGACCTTCTCATCAGGATAGATGAAATTCCCTGGCCTAACATGAAAATACTTCTTCAAGCTTGTAATTGGCTTAAACCCCACCAGATACAGACCTTCTCATCAGGATAGATGAAATTCCCTGGCCTAACATGAAAATACTTCTTCAAGCTTGTAATTGGCTTAAACCCCACCAGATACAGACCTTCTCATCAGGATAGATGAAATTCCCTGGCCTAACATGAAAATACTTCTTCAAGCTTGTAATTGGCTTAAACCCCACCAGATACAGACCTTCTCATCAGGATAGATGAAATTCCCTGGCCTAACATGAAAATACTTCTTTAAGCTTGTAATTGGCTTAAACCCCACCAGATACAGACCTTCTCATCAGGATAGATGAAATTCCCTGGCCTAACATGAAAATACTTCTTTAAGCTTGTAATTGGCTTAAACCCCACCAGATACAGACCTTCTCATCAGGATAGATGAAATTCCCTGGCCTAACATGAAAATACTTCTTCAAGCTTGTAATTGGCTTAAACCCCACCAGATACAGACCTTCTCATCAGGATAGATGAAATTCCCTGGCCTAACATGAAAATACTTCTTTAAGCTTGTAATTGGCTTAAACCCCACCAGATACAGACCTTCTCATCAGGATAGATGAAATTCCCTGGCCTAACATGAAAATACTTCTTCAAGCTTGTAATTGGCTTAAACCCCACCAGATACAGACCTTCTCATCAGGATAGATGAAATTCCCTGGCCTAACATGAAAATACTTCTTCAAGCTTGTAATTGGCTTAAACCCCACCAGATACAGACCTTCTCATCAGGATAGATGAAATTCCCTGGCCTAACATGAAAATACTTCTTCAAGCTTGTAATTGGCTTAAACCCCACCAGATACAGACCTTCTCATCAGGATAGATGAAATTCCCTGGCCTAACATGAAAATACTTCTTCAAGCTTGTAATTGGCTTAAACCCCACCAGATACAGACCTTCTCATCAGGATAGATGAAATTCCCTGGCCTAACATGAAAATACTTCTTCAAGCTTGTAATTGGCTTAAACCCCACCAGATACAGACCTTCTCATCAGGATAGATGAAATTCCCTGGCCTAACATGAAAATACTTCTTCAAGCTTGTAATTGGCTTAAACCCCACCAGATACAGACCTTCTCATCAGGATAGATGAAATTCCCTGGCCTAACATGAAAATACTTCTTCAAGCTTGTAATTGGCTTAAACCCCACCAGATACAGACCTTCTCATCAGGATAGATGAAATTCCCTGGCCTAACATGAAAATACTTCTTCAAGCTTGTAATTGGCTTAAACCCCACCAGATACAGACCTTCTCATCAGGATAGATGAAATTCCCTGGCCTAACATGAAAATACTTCTTCAAGCTTGTAATTGGCTTAAACCCCACCAGATACAGACCTTCTCATCAGGATAGATGAAATTCCCTGGCCTAACATGAAAATACTTCTTCAAGCTTGTAATTGGCTTAAACCCCACCAGATACAGACCTTCTCATCAGGATAGATGAAATTCCCTGGCCTAACATGAAAATACTTCTTCAAGCTTGTAATTGGCTTAAACCCCACCAGATACAGACCTTCTCATCAGGATAGATGAAATTCCCTGGCCTAACATGAAAATACTTCTTCAAGCTTGTAATTGGCTTAAACCCCACCAGATACAGACCTTCTCATCAGGATAGATGAAATTCCCTGGCCTAACATGAAAATACTTCTTCAAGCTTGTAATTGGCTTAAACCCCACCAGATACAGACCTTCTCATCAGGATAGATGAAATTCCCTGGCCTAACATGAAAATACTTCTTCAAGCTTGTAATTGGCTTAAACCCCACCAGATACAGACCTTCTCATCAGGATAGATGAAATTCCCTGGCCTAACATGAAAATACTTCTTCAAGCTTGTAATTGGCTTAAACCCCACCAGATACAGACCTTCTCATCAGGATAGATGAAATTCCCTGGCCTAACATGAAAATACTTCTTTAAGCTTGTAATTGGCTTAAACCCCACCAGATACAGACCTTCTCATCAGGATAGATGAAATTCCCTGGCCTAACATGAAAATACTTCTTCAAGCTTGTAATTGGCTTAAACCCCACCAGATACAGACCTTCTCATCAGGATAGATGAAATTCCCTGGCCTAACATGAAAATACTTCTTCAAGCTTGTAATTGGCTTAAACCCCACCAGATACAGACCTTCTCATCAGGATAGATGAAATTCCCTGGCCTAACATGAAAATACTTCTTCAAGCTTGTAATTGGCTTAAACCCCACCAGATACAGACCTTCTCATCAGGATAGATGAAATTCCCTGGCCTAACATGAAAATACTTCTTCAAGCTTGTAATTGGCTTAAACCCCACCAGATACAGACCTTCTCATCAGGATAGATGAAATTCCCTGGCCTAACATGAAAATACTTCTTCAAGCTTGTAATTGGCTTAAACCCCACCAGATACAGACCTTCTCATCAGGATAGATGAAATTCCCTGGCCTAACATGAAAATACTTCTTCAAGCTTGTAATTGGCTTAAACCCCACCAGATACAGACCTTCTCATCAGGATAGATGAAATTCCCTGGCCTAACATGAAAATACTTCTTCAAGCTTGTAATTGGCTTAAACCCCACCAGATACAGACCTTCTCATCAGGATAGATGAAATTCCCTGGCCTAACATGAAAATACTTCTTCAAGCTTGTAATTGGCTTAAACCCCACCAGATACAGACCTTCTCATCAGGATAGATGAAATTCCCTGGCCTAACATGAAAATACTTCTTTAAGCTTGTAATTGGCTTAAACCCCACCAGATACAGACCTTCTCATCAGGATAGATGAAATTCCCTGGCCTAACATGAAAATACTTCTTCAAGCTTGTAATTGGCTTAAACCCCACCAGATACAGACCTTCTCATCAGGATAGATGAAATTCCCTGGCCTAACATGAAAATACTTCTTTAAGCTTGTAATTGGCTTAAACCCCACCAGATACAGACCTTCTCATCAGGATAGATGAAATTCCCTGGCCTAACATGAAAATACTTCTTCAAGCTTGTAATTGGCTTAAACCCCACCAGATACAGACCTTCTCATCAGGATAGATGAAATTCCCTGGCCTAACATGAAAATACTTCTTCAAGCTTGTAATTGGCTTAAACCCCACCAGATACAGACCTTCTCATCAGGATAGATGAAATTCCCTGGCCTAACATGAAAATACTTCTTCAAGCTTGTAATTGGCTTAAACCCCACCAGATACAGACCTTCTCATCAGGATAGATGAAATTCCCTGGCCTAACATGAAAATACTTCTTCAAGCTTGTAATTGGCTTAAACCCCACCAGATACAGACCTTCTCATCAGGATAGATGAAATTCCCTGGCCTAACATGAAAATACTTCTTCAAGCTTGTAATTGGCTTAAACCCCACCAGATACAGACCTTCTCATCAGGATAGATGAAATTCCCTGGCCTAACATGAAAATACTTCTTCAAGCTTGTAATTGGCTTAAACCCCACCAGATACAGACCTTCTCATCAGGATAGATGAAATTCCCTGGCCTAACATGAAAATACTTCTTCAAGCTTGTAATTGGCTTAAACCCCACCAGATACAGACCTTCTCATCAGGATAGATGAAATTCCCTGGCCTAACATGAAAATACTTCTTTAAGCTTGTAATTGGCTTAAACCCCACCAGATACAGACCTTCTCATCAGGATAGATGAAATTCCCTGGCCTAACATGAAAATACTTCTTCAAGCTTGTAATTGGCTTAAACCCCACCAGATACAGACCTTCTCATCAGGATAGATGAAATTCCCTGGCCTAACATGAAAATACTTCTTTAAGCTTGTAATTGGCTTAAACCCCACCAGATACAGACCTTCTCATCAGGATAGATGAAATTCCCTGGCCTAACATGAAAATACTTCTTCAAGCTTGTAATTGGCTTAAACCCCACCAGATACAGACCTTCTCATCAGGATAGATGAAATTCCCTGGCCTAACATGAAAATACTTCTTCAAGCTTGTAATTGGCTTAAACCCCACCAGATACAGACCTTCTCATCAGGATAGATGAAATTCCCTGGCCTAACATGAAAATACTTCTTCAAGCTTGTAATTGGCTTAAACCCCACCAGATACAGACCTTCTCATCAGGATAGATGAAATTCCCTGGCCTAACATGAAAATACTTCTTCAAGCTTGTAATTGGCTTAAACCCCACCAGATACAGACCTTCTCATCAGGATAGATGAAATTCCCTGGCCTAACATGAAAATACTTCTTCAAGCTTGTAATTGGCTTAAACCCCACCAGATACAGACCTTCTCATCAGGATAGATGAAATTCCCTGGCCTAACATGAAAATACTTCTTCAAGCTTGTAATTGGCTTAAACCCCACCAGATACAGACCTTCTCATCAGGATAGATGAAATTCCCTGGCCTAACATGAAAATACTTCTTCAAGCTTGTAATTGGCTTAAACCCCACCAGATACAGACCTTCTCATCAGGATAGATGAAATTCCCTGGCCTAACATGAAAATACTTCTTCAAGCTTGTAATTGGCTTAAACCCCACCAGATACAGACCTTCTCATCAGGATAGATGAAATTCCCTGGCCTAACATGAAAATACTTCTTCAAGCTTGTAATTGGCTTAAACCCCACCAGATACAGACCTTCTCATCAGGATAGATGAAATTCCCTGGCCTAACATGAAAATACTTCTTCAAGCTTGTAATTGGCTTAAACCCCACCAGATACAGACCTTCTCATCAGGATAGATGAAATTCCCTGGCCTAACATGAAAATACTTCTTTAAGCTTGTAATTGGCTTAAACCCCACCAGATACAGACCTTCTCATCAGGATAGATGAAATTCCCTGGCCTAACATGAAAATACTTCTTCAAGCTTGTAATTGGCTTAAACCCCACCAGATACAGACCTTCTCATCAGGATAGATGAAATTCCCTGGCCTAACATGAAAATACTTCTTCAAGCTTGTAATTGGCTTAAACCCCACCAGATACAGACCTTCTCATCAGGATAGATGAAATTCCCTGGCCTAACATGAAAATACTTCTTCAAGCTTGTAATTGGCTTAAACCCCACCAGATACAGACCTTCTCATCAGGATAGATGAAATTCCCTGGCCTAACATGAAAATACTTCTTCAAGCTTGTAATTGGCTTAAACCCCACCAGATACAGACCTTCTCATCAGGATAGATGAAATTCCCTGGCCTAACATGAAAATACTTCTTCAAGCTTGTAATTGGCTTAAACCCCACCAGATACAGACCTTCTCATCAGGATAGATGAAATTCCCTGGCCTAACATGAAAATACTTCTTTAAGCTTGTGATTGGCTTAAACCCCACCAGATACAGACCTTCTCATCAGGATAGATGAAATTCCCTGGCCTAACATGAAAATACTTCTTTAAGCTTGTAATTGGCTTAAACCCCACCAGATACAGACCTTCTCATCAGGATAGATGAAATTCCCTGGCCTAACATGAAAATACTTCTTCAAGCTTGTAATTGGCTTAAACCCCACCAGATACAGACCTTCTCATCAGGATAGATGAAATTCCCTGGCCTAACATGAAAATACTTCTTCAAGCTTGTAATTGGCTTAAACCCCACCAGATACAGACCTTCTCATCAGGATAGATGAAATTCCCTGGCCTAACATGAAAATACTTCTTTAAGCTTGTAATTGGCTTAAACCCCACCAGATACAGACCTTCTCATCAGGATAGATGAAATTCCCTGGCCTAACATGAAAATACTTCTTTAAGCTTGTAATTGGCTTAAACCCCACCAGATACAGACCTTCTCATCAGGATAGATGAAATTCCCTGGCCTAACATGAAAATACTTCTTTAAGCTTGTAATTGGCTTAAACCCCACCAGATACAGACCTTCTCATCAGGATAGATGAAATTCCCTGGCCTAACATGAAAATACTTCTTTAAGCTTGTGATTGGCTTAAACCCCACCAGATACAGACCTAGGACAAAAGATAAGAGGTTTATGTATGATAAGAAATGCAAATATTTTTGAAATTCCAATCATTATGCTAATTTACTTTTATATTTTAAATTATAATAGTTTGGCAGTTTTTGTAATTAAAATAAATATTAATGTGAACAAATTTTTTAAATGTAAAACAAGCAAATTTTAGTTGAACAGTTTAAGCTTAAAATGTGTCTTTTTGCATGGCTATGTTTATTTAATTCTCTGGCACGAGAGACAGATGAGAACATACCAGATTTTCTTCATCAAAAGATGTCAGTATAACACCTGATATGTCAGTATAACACCTGATATGTCAGTATAACACCTGATATGTCAGTATAACACCTGATATGTCAGTATAACATCTGATATGTCAGTATACTGCCCGATATGTCAGGTACACTATGTATATACCAGGTACTATCTCAACTGATCTTTAGTACACAATCATAAGCAAATTTTCTGCTGTGGTTTAGAATATTTCTTTACCAGGGTCCTCAAATTGTTTCATCTCGGAGACCTCATCATTTTCAAAACAAATTTTCCGTCCACCATAAGTCTGAGCTTTCTTTAAGTCCTGTGGCATCAGCACTTCTCCAGTATCCTAAAAAAATTAATTGTTAGAACACAAGCCATTTGTTTTCATTGGTTCAACTTTTATACAACCCTTGGCTCCTTAACCTAAACAATTAAGTGTTAGAACACAAGCCATTTGCTTTCATTGTTTCAACTTTTATACAACCCTTGGCTCCTTAACCTAAAATCCCCATGCCCCCTAAGCTAAATGTACACACAACAGACTCTCAATAAAAAAAATTAAGACTAAAATATAACAACACAATTATTTGTATTACTTCAATTAACATTCGCACATGAATTATCGCCAATATTTTGACTTAGTATGCCAGTGGTCCATGCACATAGACCCTCCTTTTAAACATAAGTAAGTGTAGACTGACAGAATGCTGATTGTTGGAATTTTAAAAACATCTTACCATCGTAAAATGTAATTGACAAACACAACATTTTTAGTGGGTTCAAAGGGTCAAATATGAAATTTCTTTTTTTACTTACTTTTAAATATGTCTTTGTATGACTTTTTAACTCAGCATTTTCCCTTTTAGTAAGTTTAACTGGATATGGCTTGGGGCAACTTCTTACAAGATTGTACCTGAAATAAACCATTCACATTTGCAACAAAACTCTTCAGACAAAAATATTAGCTTCAGTTGGTGCTCATTGAAAATCATGTGCAACATCAACTAAACTAAAATATTAAAAAATGATTTTAACCATGACTTACACTCCCACAGATAAATGTAGACCTTCACCAATGCTGAAAGAAACCCTTCGCTGAACTCTTTTCTTATGATCTTTAGCTCGAACTCTACAAATAAGAGAAAACTCAAAATAACATTGTCATCAGTGATTTTAGTTCTAGAAATACACCTTGTAACAGTATTTCAAGTAGAAAAATAAACTTTAAGGGAACTTCTTCTTCCTCTCTTAATTTTAGTGTTGGAAGGGATCCCTTCCAACACAACTAAGTATAGGTATCTACTGGTTATACGCCACTGAGGCCGTTGACTCAGATTTCAGCTTGCTTTTCTTTTTGGATTTGGTTCCATAGACTTTGTCCAACAAAGAACAAACTACAAGGCAGCAGTTGTTTGATTTTGGAGTTTTGGAGTGGCTGCCCCCAGCTTATGAGCCTCATTTGCCCGAGATAAAGGGAATTAACTCAAATGATTTTTCTTTATCAAACAATTATTAATGCATTTAGTACTTGAAGGTAAAGTTATAAAGGGACCTGAATAATGTCTGTGAAATTTTTTTAAATAGAGAACAGTCACCTTTGTAGCAATTCTTCAATTTTTACTGATGCATCGGGCAGCTGAGTAGTCTCATCATCATCAGAAAAAAGTAGTTTCTGGATAGATAGAAAAGCTAATTAGGTTGTCAACAAACTGTGGGCTAAAACCTAGCAGAAGGCTCTGGTTAGTGCTCTCACCTTATAAAACTTGTTCACATCAAATCTCTCATCACCATTAGTTAGATGTATTAACTCCAAGTCAATGTTGTTACTTTTTAGATCATACGCTTTAGTTTCAGCCAAGTTCTGGAAATAAAGTTCCATACAGGATTAAGTGGAAAGTTGTGTTTCTGCTGGCTTTGTATTTAAGCTGACAGTAGCCTTAACAATAAGAAAGTAAATGGTCAACTCACTTTGAGCTTTGTGTTGGTGGCGTGAGGGTCATCATTGTTGGTGAAGAGAAGAATTCTCTTGGAGCCCATGCTCTGGGCCCTGACAAAATAATGGTGACATTTGAAATGACATGTAGGCTAGGTGGCATTTGAAATGACATGCAGGCTATGGTTTTACAAAATAATTCTGGCATTTGAAATGACATGTAGGCTAGGTGGCATTTGAAATGACATGCAGGCTATGGTTTTACAAAATAATGGTGGCATTTGAAATGACATGTAGGCTATGGCTTTACAAAATAATGGTGGCATTTGAAATGACATGTAGGCTATGGTTTACAAAATAATGGTGACATTTGAAACGACATGCAGGCTATGGTTTAAGTTAAACACCTCAAACTTTCAGAGACACACACAACAGCGACATGGTGGACTAACACACACACACACATACACACACACACACCAGGGACATGGTGGACTAACACACACACACAACAACAACAACAACATACCCATCAGCTGATGAGAACATATTCAAACATGTCCAAAAGGCATCACTGAGAGAAAAATGTTCTGAGTGGCCGAAATCTTTTGTGAAGGTCTCAGCGCAGCCTATAAATTAAATGGGGGGAGATACTGCATCAATTCTTCTGGTACCATATGCAACTATGTTGTAGTGACACAGACACCTATTTTGTAGTGACAGACACCTATGTTGTAGTGACAGACACCTATGTTGTAGTGACAGACACCTATTTTGTAGTGACAGACACCTATTTTGTAGTGACACAGACACCTATTTTGTAGTGACAGACACCTATGTTGTAGAGACACAGACACCTATGTTGTAGAGACACAGACACCTATTTTGTAGAGACACCTATGTTGTAGAGACACAGACACCTATTTTGTAGAGACACCTATGTTGTAGAGACAGACACCTATTTTGTAGTGACAGACACCTATTTTGTAGTGACAGACACCTATTTTGTAGTGACAGACACCTATTTTGTAGTGACACAGACACCTATTTTGTAGTGACAGACACCTATTTTGTAGTGACACAGACACCTATTTTGTAGTGACAGACACCTATTTTGTAGTGACAGACACCTATTTTGTAGTGACAGACACCTATTTTGTAGTGACAGACACCTATTTTGTAGTGACAGACACCTATTTTGTAGTGACAGACACCTATTTTGTAGTGACAGACACCTATTTTGTAGTGACAGACACCTATTTTGTAGTGACACAGACACCTATTTTGTAGTGACAGACACCTATTTTGTAGTGACAGACACCTATTTTGTAGTGACAGACACCTATTTTGTAGTGACACAGACACCTATTTTGTAGTGACAGAGACCCTTTATTTTCTGACACATGGCCACAGGCCCAATAGTTTGACATGTATACAATCTGTATGATATGTACACACTCTGTATGATGTATACAATCTGTATGATATGTACACACTCTGTATGATGTATACAATCTGTATGATGTGTACAATCTGTATATGTACACACTCTGATTGTGTATAATCTGTATGACATGTACACACTCTGTATGACATGTACACACTCTGTATGATGTGTGCAATCTGTATGACATGTACACACCCTGTATGACATGTAGAATCTGTATGACATGTACACATTATGTATGACATGTACACACTCTGTATGATGTATACAATCTGTATGATGTGTACAATCTGTATGACATGTACACACTCTGTATGACATGTACACACTCTGTATGATGTGTACAATCTGTATGACATGTACACACCCTGTATGACATGTACACACTCTGTATGATATGTACACACTCTGTATGATGTGTACAATCTGTATGACATGTACACACCCTGTATGACATGTACACATTATGTATGACATGTACACACTCTGTATAACACAAACAAACCACCTACTTTGTTCTAATTTCTCCAACTCCAAAATTCTTTTTGCTCCTGGCTGTTCCAAGCCCTAAATAAATTTTTTTATTCAAATTGAACAAATCCAAACTGAACATTATTTCTTATGAAATAAAGGACTGAAGAAATTTGTTAAAGGACTGATTTGGAAATTTTCAAAAAGAAATAAATCTCACCTGAAACACGTATATGTGTTTGAAATCATTTGGGTTAGCTCCCTTCTCCTGGTGGTGTAAACAAAAAAAATAACTGATGCATGACATTTTAAAGTTGATTGTTGATGTTTATAGATCTCAATTTTCCCCACTGATACCTAGAAAATGTTTTAGTTACATGGCCATCTTTAAATGTAAGCACTTATTACATGGTCATCTTTAAATGTAAGCACTTATTACATGTCCAGGTTTTTAAAGGAAAGTTTAATTAAATATTCATTTGGAAAAAGATTTCAAGGTCAGGTGTATAAAGTCCTGTCTCTTACAGTGCCAAAAAAAACTGTTCCAATCAAATCCTTCTCACTGCTTATAATTTTATTCTGAATAGTTGACTTGACTGCCTTTTAAGAAAAAGTAAAAAAATAAATTATATATGCATGTGCAAGTTAATGTACTTTATAATATATTTATGTTCTTTTTTTCTAATCTTGTTGCATTTATTGAATTATCTTTAATCATAAATTGTATGTTTATAATTTTTTATTATATTGTCTTTAATCATAAATCTTATGTATTTATTGCATTGTCTTTAATCATAAATCTTATGTGTTTATAATGTATTGCATTGTCTTTGATGTTTTCATCCATATCAGCCTGTTACCTGCAAACACAACTGAAAGAGACAATTGCCCTCAAACATTGATTTAGATGAATCGATTAAAAAGATCAGACCATCTTTTTGGGTGAAGCCAAACTGAAATAAAAAATGAAATGAAAAGACCAGTTCAAATGTCAATTATCAGTTTAAATTTCATTTTCAAGTACATCTGTAATTATAATCACAGAATGACTTTTTTGCTAGGAGACAATTATATGAATGGTTAAATGACAAAGTGAAGCATCCCCCCCCCCCCAAGAGGGAAGCATGAAAGCTGGACAGATAACAATTACAGAGAGTTGTTTCGTCATACCCACCTGAGGTCCAAGCTCTTCATCTTCGTCTTCATTTTCTTCATCATCACCGTACTGCGCATAGCCCCAGTCAGCCATAGGTAATTGACTGAATTGGTAGTTAAAAAAATGAAATTAAATACTTACAAAATGTTCAACCAATTGAAAATATAGGTTTATTTATTTGACAATTTTAGGCCTGAGATTAATAGAATCAAGTCTTGTGTACAGTATCTACCCATAGACATCTTTTTTATTTTAATAGCACTCTACTTTCTTTCATCATTATTAAATTGATAAATATATATTTTTAATGTCTGCCGAATGTATATTATTGTATATGGTACTACTACTATCAATACCCAAATCCGGTAATCAATCGTTTTAGGTAGGCCTATGTAAAATCTGCCGAGACTAGTAAGTAATGTGAAGAAAAGGTGACTCAAATTCTAGTAATTATTTAACATTTTTAGGAGGATTTATGTTTTGAAAGTTACAAAAATGTTTCAAGGTTTCATTCATGTAGGGCCTACCTGTTTTTAAACTTTAAACAATTGTATAAAAACTTTTTAGTTCTAAATAAAGATTATCCATGTTTTCTTATTTACTACATTTAGTATTTACTTTAGGCTTAGTACTAGATCTAGTAGCTATCTTGTTTGAGTTGTTTTTTTTCGTAAGATTATTATATTAATAATATAATGGTAAAACTCCATTTTAGCGTATTTTATTTCTCCGCTGCTTGTTTACCTCCAGTTGAGCGTATTTTATTATAACAACCGAAACACACCAAAACATTAGGAAAACACGATTCATTTATTTGTATTGTATTTTTGTTTTACAAATGAATAAAAATGAATTAAAAAAACAAAGAGACTGACTTTGTTTTAGATTTTGATAATTTAGTTTTGTTAAAGTTAAAACTTGAGAAAAATCCAAATTTAGAATATTGAATGTGCAATGTTCGTGTGTCAGAATTTTCATGGCAATGGGTGAATTACGTAAACGTAACTCACAATTGCAAGGCGATTAAGTTTGTATTGTTACAAGTATCTCCCAGGCATGATACTATAAATAAACATTAATGAACTTACAATGACCCCAAAACTGAGGCCAACACAATTTCAAATAGCAATTGCCCGAGCTATGACGTATGCTGATAATTCAATGTCAATGTGAACTCACGGTGAACCCGCGACCGTGTAAGGATTTTTCTCCCGCTGACGATTACACGAGATTCGATATTTAATTGGAACAGTTCTAATGCTTTTTATGTTTTTTTTTACCTTTTCTAATTAAAAATCACATTCATTAAAAAATAAGTAGATCTAGTGTTTTCCTGACGTTTTTGTGTGTTTCGGTTGTGTTTATAATAAAATACGCTCAACTGGAGGTGAATGTGAAGCGGGGAATAAAATACGCTAAAATGGAGGTTTACCTAATATAATATTATAAATATATTAATATATTAGTGTGAGATTCAGATTTATGAATTTAGTATTTAGATTTTAGCCTTTAGGACTTTGTCACTTTAGTGTGACACTTTACTTATTACTAACAGTAACACTTTAGCTGTTTCAGTGTTTAGGAGTCACCTGTTTTTCACATTAACTAACTAGTCATGGGCTATTTTACGTAGGCTACCTAATGATAGATTTAGATTAGGCTACCATCTAGATCTATACTTACAAAGATTAGATCTAAATTAAGGTAAAATCTTAGTTTAGCTAGATCTAGATAAAAATCTGTTTTTCCTCTGTGTATGATAATCTATGATTGCCAGTGTTGAGTGTAGTGTGATAGTAATAAGTAATAATGGTTTGTTATGATTTGGTTTTTTTTCTTTGGTCATCCTAAATACAGAAAAGAACACGAAATTGCAAACACAGTAGAAGAATAGGATTGAGCAGACTCTACCAAGTTGAAGTTTGAGTTTGGTAAAAAATTCAGTGTGCTATAAATAATGTTCCTATTACATTTAAAGTCTGGTAGATCTAGATTTTCTAGGTTATTATATTTTATTAGCCTTAACCATTGTTACCAAGGTAGACTAATATGTTGTCCTTTTATAAATATTTTTTATAATTATTTATTAATTATATACTAGGCCCTATGGAAATATGGTTATTTTTTTTTATTAGGTCTAATTATTGTTTAAAAAAACCGTTTAGCACTATTCTTAGTAATAATTAATTAGAATAGTGCTAAACGGTTTTTTAAACAATAATTAGACCTAATAAAAAAAATTACCATATTTCCATAGGGCCTAGTATATAATTAATAAATAATTATAAAAAATATTTATAAAAGGACAACTTTTAAAAAAACAAACATGTAATCATTTACTTTTGCTACTGAATTTAAATACTACACCATGACAAGAATAGGCCTAGTTAAGTCACTCTACTGGGCCAATTAAACCAAAACAACAACAGAAAAGCCTTGTTGAAATGATACAAAAAAGTGGCTTATTAGTGATAACTGAAATAAAAACACACAAAAATGGTTTGGTATAAATGTGTATACCAAGTTAATAAGTGAAATCCTAATATATAAAAGCCTATGTGCGCACTTATCTTTGTCTGCAATATTTTTGGCAACGTCGTCAGCCTGTTCAGCGATATATGGATAACTTAAAGATATGGACTTTTGTTGAAAATAATATGGAGGTCGGTATAAATGTATGAGCTAAATTTTACTTAAAGAAGGAAAATAAAAAAAGCATATTCGAATGTAGAATCAGATTTCTAACTAAAGCGTTAACTGTCGTGACAAGAACGCAAGAAACAATGACGTCAATAAGTCTAAGAAAAGAATACAAAACTAATGTTGTCGCATGAGTTTCTTAAATACCTCTTTTATTTTGCATGAGAACAATAGTGCTTAAATAGCTGAGATGATAGTGTAATTGATACCATGCAGGTGGTACGGGTTTGAGACACACCATGTCACTCATAATTTTTTTTTCAATTTGTTTTTTTATATGTGAAAGATAAAGTTGCCTATCGGGACTTGACGGGACACGGGGCAGGTGAAGTAGAGTTCACCTGTTACTGTCTTTTCAGCATATGAAGGGATAATGTGGTCAGACCCATGCTCAGCCGAAATAGGTGTTTTTAAAAGAGAAAAAAAAACATAACTAACATTGAACAGCCAGGTTGTTAATGAAATCTTTTAAGTCTCTTAATTTTAAATCTCTCAATCAGCGAGTGCATTTAATATGGTATTATGTTGACTAATACTGTACATAATTTGGTTTTAATTTTTCTAATAGGTATTGGTAGTCTATGTTATTTTAAACAAGTCTAAACATAGACAGCACATAAAACAAAACCCCTTTTTTCATAATCTTAACAATGTTTCATTCCAATGCTCTTGATCAATAAAATGTTTCTTTTCCTAAGTATCCGATAATGACTTTTTAAAAGCTGAATTACAATTCATTTCATTACTCACTTTCTGTAGGTATTTACATTTCTTCAGGCATTTCTTCCCCTTTCACCTCTGAACGAAATTGAAAAAAGTAATTCATTAAAAAAATATAGAAAAACCAGTATCCGCTACCCCCCCTCCTCCGGACAGTTTTAAATGCCGCTCCCCGGAGATAAATATCTAACAGAAAAACCGGGTAGCCTATTTGTAAAGAGAAGAGAGCTAAAAGTCATCAGAATTGCCTGTGTAACGGGTACCAATGGCTAGTCTTTTCAGAATAGTAGACTTTAGGGTTCTATGAAAATGATCTCAGACAAACTATATCAGGACAAATGATCTTATGGACAAAATATCTCTCTGAAAAATAACTTCAGAGTTTAGGTAATTTGTCCAGTCACAGGCTACAGTGATGGCTCTTATGTTTAAAAAATGCAATTAATTATAAAATAAATTCCTCCCATAAGCCATTGTTCCATCTTAAATTTTATTATTATTTTCCACTCTAAATAGTTTATCTTTTCATTGTGGATTTTATTCTTATTCCATATTTCTGTTTTGCATTCAATTTCAAAAAGGTTCTGCTTCTTTGTCAATTAACACTTTTCAGATGTAAGGAGATGTAATAAAAAAAAAATACAACACATTATTTTTAGCTTTTACCTTTTAATAGCTCAAATATACAGAAATTATATAACTGGTATTACTTTAGCAGTTATGTTCTCAGTTCTTAAGTTGTTTTTTTAATATACAGAACCAATACATTATAAAACAGTTGAAGCCAGTTTCTAACTGCTCTCCATTTTCTTAAGTCTCTCTAAAAGCCAGTCAGCTGTGACAAACCACAAGGATCTTGGTTTAAAAATAAGAGATGAGATAAAGCCCATGGATTTGGTTGGAGATATAACATGCAAGTGGAGATGGGAAATTGTGTTGAATGGTGGCCAATGAAAGCCTATGCACACATCAGAGAGATCAGCTCCTACTTCATTAAGCATTTCCTTGCCAACCGTAACTAAATTTTCAACAAGACTAATATCCTTCGGCCCTAGCTGTTTAGGATCTTTAACATGGTTTTTTGGAACAACAAGAAAGTGATGTTCTGATGCTGGCCTAATGTCTTTAAAAACTACAATGTCATTTTTATCATACAACAGTCTGGAGTTTGGTTCTTGGTTGTGTGCTATACGGCAAAAAAGGCAGCTCCCAACTTGATTATCATGTAATACAGGTGTTGACATTTTTATCTGCAAAACATTTGAATAATTTCAAGCTTAAAACTTTTCAAACAGAAAAAACAGTAACTTAAAGTATCTTTTGTTCATAGATAATGAGAAATATAGTGGAATAGTATTAGTTATGGTATAGATCATATTGAATGTTTATATTTTAATTATTGATAAAAATGAATTACACCATAATATATATATATATATATATATATATATATATATATATATATATATATATATATATATATATATATATATATATATTTATATATATATATATATATCTATATGGATGATTATAAATAAAAGGGGTGTTGGGTTGTTAGTAGTATTGTAATCACGACTCATTTTATGGTTAGAAATTAGGGTTAGGCGTATGGTAGGACCAGGGTTGGGGTTAGGGACAGGGTTAGCATTGACATTAGCCAGCCAAGTGTGTATTTTAGTAAACTACCAGTATCCTAACACCCCTTTTTAAAAGAAGATTCCATTATCGGACAGCAGTGTAAACATTTTCCCATATATATATATATATATATATATATATATATATATATATATATATAAATATATATAAATATATATATATATATATATATATATATATATATGTGGTTGGGTAGACAAATAGACATAGAGATAGGACTGGCAGACATACTTTGTGCTCTCTAACTGAAGTTGACAGATGACAATTAAGTAGACCTGTTAATTTAATATTTAATTTGAATTCAGTACATTATAATTATACAAAGTATAATCTGTTTAAACCACATATTTAAGTATCAACAGTATAATCAAATATATATTTTAATCCTATTAAGAGCCATGTATTTATATTATTATTATATATTACTAGGCAAATAAAGAGTAATCTCCCCTAAACTTTCTTGTATCTATATATATAATTCTCTTCTGGGAGCCGTTAGAAAACAAGCTGCAAGCGCCTCCTTGCAGTCCCCTCTCTTTCTCTCTATCACTATCACTACCACCCCCACCCCACATTGTCTGGTGAGCTGTGGTCACGCTAAATGTTTACAAAGCTAAATGTTTACAAATCGTAGAGCCGGGTTTCTATTAGGGGCAGATAATTTCTAAGTCCGATTTTAAAATTACAGGAGGTAACTAAGAAATAACTAAGAGGAGGCTGCTTTCACGGGGGGGGGGGGGGGGGGGGGGTGTAGGGTCGGGGTTAAGGGAAAAGGGGGGGGGGGTTAGTGTTTTAAAATAAAGCAAATATTTTCAGTGGCAGCATTGGTACTGTCGAATTCACAAATTATGAATTACTGTCAAATGTGAGAAATTAGTAAAAAAAAAAAAAAAAAATTAAATAATAAATTATTAAATAAGCTGTTGGCTGTTGTTTGTTAGAATTAGTAATTAGACATTAGATCATAACTTAGGCCTATATAATATATATTATACTATTACTATTCTATACTATTTGTATATAGCTCTAGGATTCTACATTTTACATTTAGATTTGGATATTTCAATATTAGATAGATTTAGAAACTACCATTACAAGGCCCTAGCCCTAGTCGGTATAGGCACGCAGTCTAGTTGTAATTTAATAATGTCACTAATGTGAGATCCCACCCATAACTTCGAAAAATCAAACTTTTTAAAAGAAGAACTTTTAATAAGAGAAACGCTAGAAGAGTTACTTGTAATCTTACGATATAATATTGTCGGAAGTTATCTGGTAATGTTTGTTGTGTTTCGGTAACATTCGTTACTGTAAACCATAGTTTATTTGACCGATGAAATAAAAATAAAGTCAAGAGCATTAAATTAATGTTTTAACTTAATTTAAATTTTATTTGACAGAAAATTAGCAACAATTAGTAAATCTTAATCTTATCAATAAAGTCGAGTGTAGTAATTAATGTTTTTTTAAGAAACACAGAAAAAAAAACTTTTAGAAGATTTGCGACAACTCGATTCTAGATATAGAATCTAGATCTAGATCTTCTAGATCTGTTAGTAAAATAAGACGATTAGATTTACTCAAGTTAAAAGTAGTAAGAAGAGCAATAACAATATTTAGTAGCAGCAATAATTAGCACATACACATAAAATAAATAAAAATACAAAATAATTAGCAAAGCAGTATTTAAATTGCAACTAAAATCAATCATTGCACATTTTTAAACATTATGTATTAAAAATAATATGGCGGCAAATAAATGATGGTTTACAGTATTTCCGGTAATTTCCGGAACGGCTCGACAGACTACGCCATGGTTTTACTGGGTTTTTTTTTACTGCAGTACAATTCCGGAATAATAACTGACACTGTGTCACGAAGTACCAAAACTATTTAGATTCTAGATCTTGCCTATAAATCTTGCGTTTTTAAGAAATCGGAAATAGCGTAAATTACTATTTCAAGTCAACGGAAATTACTCAAAATTTAACTAAAAGCAGAGAATTAGATTTTTTAACTTACAGGTGAAATTAATTTATCTATCTGAAATAGTACTCAAGTTATAGGCTTTTGAAAAAATTGAAAGTAGAATTGAAAAATTGAAAGTAGAATAAGTTCCTTTCCGGTTGTCGGAAATCGCTGAAAAGTTGATACGGATCTACAAATTTGATATAATACCTATATACGAAATTTCATCAACCTAGCTGTACTTAACGGTACTTAAGTTATCGTGTTTACAGACACACACACACACACACACACACACACACACACACACACAGAGAGAGAGAGAGAGACAGACATACGGACAAGATTGCAAAACTATGTTTTTCCGACTCAGGGAGGTGTAAAACGTCGAGATTTGGAAAAATCTCGATTTTTTTTGCACGATTACAATACTTTCTTTATACTTCGTATACGAGAAAGTAAATAAATACTACAATATTTTGTGCTGCAATATATGATTCATTATATTGAAATTTTATTGCTAATAATGTAAAAATTTAAAATTACAAAATATGAGAATATCCAATCATGCTTGGTTCAAATCCGTGTTTGACGAACTATGGTTTCCGAACACTCTCTTCAGCATAAAGCCAACATAATTTAAGACAGTCGGGCAATAATGCCATCCTCTAATATTTAAATAAGTATTAGTCTGGACCTATACACTATACAACGTTTGCACAATTGGTTGTTAAATTTAAAATTGAAATAAATAAGAGTTCTGTTTTCTTTGGTTTTTTTCGGTAATATCTTGTTAATTAGGAATGCCTAAAAATAGTTAGATCTAGAGGTTAAAAGGCCCAGTTCAAAGGTTGATATAAAACTGGTGACTGAGACTGAAGGCCTACAAACTAGCCTACATACTAGGACATAGTCCATAGTACTTACAAGTCTACCGATATTCCTAGATTAACTGGAACGAATCTTCAAGAAGCACTAACACTTGTTACAAAATGGAAAAGATAAAGGGTGCGTATTAAATAATGTCGCCAAATAGTCTAAAAACTTAGTAGATTAGGCCTACTGATTAAATTAAAACTTAAGTCATTATTGACTTTATTGTAGATTCTACCTAGTCTAGTGGGTAAAATCACGATATAGCGTCGGTTATTATTCCGGAACTGTACAGCAGTTAAAAACAGTAAAACCATGGCGTAGTCTGTCGAGCCGTTCCGGAAACCACCGGAAATACTGTAAACCATCATTTATTTGCCGCCATATTATTTTTAATACATAATGTTTAAAAATGTGCAAGGATTGATTTTAGTTGCATTTTAAATACTGTTTTGATAATTATTTTGTATTTCTAATTATTTTAAGTGTATGTGCTAATTATTGCTGCTACTAAACATTATTCTAGTTTTAACTTTAGTTAATCTAATCGTCTTATTTACTAACAGAACTAGAGCTGCAAATCTTCTGCAGGTTTTTTTCTGTTTCTTAAAAAAAAAAACATTAATTACTACACTCGACTTTATTAATAATATTTAGATTTACTAATTGTTGCTAATTTTTTGTCAGTTAAACATTAAATTAAGTTAAAACAATAATTTAATGCACTTGACTCTATTTTTATTTCACCGGTCAAATAAACTATGGTTTACAGTAACGAATGTTACCGAAACTCAACGAACATTACCCAATAATTTCCGACGCTATATCGTGATTTTACCGTCTAGTGTACCTACCCGATTCTAGATCTAGCAGTCAGTCAGGGTCAGGGGTTAATTAATATAATAATTATTAATAAATGAATACATTTTTTAAAAAGTTAAATTTTTTTCTGGTTCTGACCTACATTCTTCTAGATCTAGATCTAGACTAGATTATCTAGTAAAAGTAGTATTTAGAAGATTAGAAAATAGGTCCAGAGGCGTAGCGAGGAAGGGCGGGGGGGGGGGGGTGCGGATCGCACCGGGTGACACCATTTAGGGGGGTGACACCAAGGCAAAAAAAATAGTAATATATATAGAGAAAAATGTGAGGGGGGGGGGTGTGCAAATTGAAAATTGAAAGTTTGTCCCCGGGAAGAGTCGCTATGCTTCTGGGGGGTGACACCATTAAGTGCCGCACCGGGTGACACCCGACCTCGCTACGCCACTGAATAGGTCTAGAGTAGAAAGTTAGAGTAAGAGAGATCTGAATCTATACTCTATAAGTATATAGTATATATATAAGTATAGGCATAGGGCATAGGCCTATTATATTAGTATTATTAATTTTATTTAGTTTATTTAGTATATTATTTATTAGAATTAGATCTGGATCTTCTACTAGTGTAGTAGGAGGTCTAGTCTTGTACTAGAGTCTAGTTCTAGTGTAGTAAAAAAAAGTAGTAGTAGTAAGTAGTTACTAAGTTTAGTAAGTAGACAGACTAGAATTACATCTAGTGATCTAGACTAAATCTTAATCTACTTATTAATGTCATCCCTACTATTATGTTAAGTTAATAAGACCTAGATAAGCTAGGCTGCTATTTCCATCACGATGCACCATCAAAACAGCCTGGGACAAATTGGCCCCGATAATATGACCCTGTCAAATCGACCCCCGACAAAATGACCCTGTCAAAATAGCCCTGTCAAAAGGGCCCTGATTTATTGGCTTCCGTCATTGACTTGCGACATGTAGGCTCCTGACAAATAGACTTCCGACGTATTGGCTCCCGACAAATAGGCCCACAACCTATTGGCTTCCGACAAAATGACTCCCGACAAGTTGGCTCTAGACAAATGAATCGTATGGCCACTATTGGCGTAAAAGTAACCATTTTGTCCTACCTCCACTACCACTATAACCTTTTTTAATGCCTGAATGAAATTGTTTTTCATTAACCAACATCAATTCACAAACAATCACATGTTCAATGGGGCAAGTGAAGTAAAGCTCACCTGTTTCTGTGACCTCCGTATATGAAGAGATAGTGTGGTCAGCACTATGCCCAGCCATCTTAACTTTCCCTTACGTGAGTTAGGTACCCATCAGAGCTGGTGGACTCGGGGACATTGTACTGACTTGAACCCAGATTTGAAATTTGAGACTTTCAGGTTAGCAGTCTAATGCCACGCAATCCCCCGTTTTATTGTTTTATGTATATTTAGTTGAAGGATAATTGGGAAGGGGGGATATAGGGTGTGGAATATACAACACACCATCCACCAGAAAAAAGAGTGGAGAGGGGGTTGACAAAATCAAATAATACCAGGATCATCATCATACAGAGTTTAGTAGAGAGCTGTAAAAGAAACCTCTAGTTACCACAGAGGATTAAAACTGAACTAGTGACATTACTGTTACGCTTTTAAACCGTAAACATTTTTTCCAATCATAATGTAAAGGATATGACAGGCTTTATGTTGTATAGAAGTGTTTTTATTTTTCTGTTTTGGGTAGGACATAAGGGGTCGGCGCAGTCGAGTCTTTAAAGCTCATAGCTGCTAACCAAAAAGTCTCGAGTTCGAACCCTCGGGCAGATGAGGCTCGTTAGCTGGGGACAAGCCACTCTTCTAGGAGAGACAACTCCAAAATCAAACAACGGCTGCCTCGTAGTTTGTTCTTGGTTGGACAAAGGCTATGGAAGCAAATCCAAAAAGAAAAGCAGGCTGAAATTGGAGTCAATGGCCTCAATGAGTCAATGGCGCTGAACCAGTTGACATGTATACTTAATTAAGTAGGAGGCGTGGTCGAGCCGGCAAAGCTCATGGTTGTTAAATTCGAAAAAGTCTCGAGTTCAAACACTCTGGCAGATAAGGCTCGATCCCTTCCAACCCTAAAAATTAAGAACAAAAAAGAAGAAAGGAAGGACATATATTGTGTCTCACAGGATTTACCTTTTTTTTTTTGTTTAAAGAGACTCATTAAAAATTACATTTGTTTACCTTTTATTACCAATTACAATTTTTCATTGGCTTTGTTGTTGAATGGCAAGTATGCTAAACCTCTGTTCCTTTGTAATGCTTGGCTCATATTTTTCTGTTGTTGACATGAATTTTTCTTTTTGTTCAAAATAGCTTGGTATGAAGGCAAATTATACATATTTTCTTTTATAACTTACTGCAATAATTAGTATTTAAAGAGTAATTTTTACTTTATTCTCTGCTCCAATATACCAAGGGAGTTTGACAAACTAAAATAAAAATTATGTAACAGACACCAAGCACCAATTGTTATTACCAGATAAATATTATTGAAGTATTTGTAAACAAACTAAAACTAACTAAACTTAGTCTTTTTCGGAGTATCCCGTTACCACAGAGATAGTAAAAATAGAACAGGTCAAGTAACACCCTAGCCTAACAACAATAAAATACACTTTGAAATATTGGTTGATCCAGTTGATGGGTATTTTACTAGTTTTGCTAAGACTTCAATCAACTACTGCATCTAGAACTGGTCTGTTCTTGTCTCTTACCAGAAATTTTTCTGTGTACTAAAAATTGTTTTTTTTATTCCAGGAGGACCAGTAGTGGAGATGCAGGGAGATGAAATGACACGGTAAATTATATTTCAGGTCATTTTGTGTGGTCTTTTCTTTTCTAGGCCTACTGGTGTTTGGTCATAAGTAGGAGCTGGACCCAAATAAAAAAAATATACAAAACTGGTTAACCTCTTCTTTGGCAAACTCCTACATTTTAAATTTAATCTGTTCCCCCTAAGCTAAACTGGTTTCACCCAGATGTGTAGCTGTCCATGAACTAGATCTTTTACCTGTGTTGTGACCTAGATAATGTCTGATATGAAAATACATCACAGATGTTTGAAAGGGAAGAAAACTTGTATATTGATTTCAAGTCTATTTTATCTGAGCACATTATACTTGAGTATCTCAAGTTTGTGTTTAATGGCCTGCACATTTTACTTGAAAATCTCAAGTTTGTGTTTAATGGCCTGCACATTTTACTTGAGTATCTCAAGTTAGTGTTTAATGGCCTGCACATTTTTCTTAAGATCTTATGTTTAAACAGTCTATCTAATCTCTAGCCACTTGTGACAAGAGCTAGTGCCATGTCCCTACATTTTAACTCAAGTTTCTAAAACTCATTTGAGGTGTATATTTTTAAATGGACCTGATTTATAGACTATAAAATGTGAAATATTTGAACATGTCTGTGTGTGGATTATTGGAGGGTCCCCATTGTATCTGGGTCACCTGAAAAAATATGATGTATCATTTGACCTTGGCTGACCCTCACTGTTGAAACAAGTTAACTGGATTATCTACCTTTCTCTTCACTCCTGATGCATTGTTCCATTATCATTTGGGTCAGCTGTCAAAACATGTTTTTACAGACAGCCTTATCAACAATAACAGAGCCCAATGTCATTTTACTATTTGTGTTGTGCTACTTTAATTTAATAAAAGCCTAAAAATTTGATGAAGTAATTTAAAGACACTTTCTTTTAAGACGTGAAGAATGTCAACACTTCCCCCAGCACTTCTAAATAACATTGGCCTGTTATTGTTGATGAGATGTAGGTTCCAGGTCAGCTTCTTAAAAGAAAGTGTCTTTAAATTACCTCATCAAATTTTTAGGTTTTTAGTAGATTTCTACTTTTAAAAATAAAGTAACAAAAATATTTACAATATTAAAAGTAAGCCCATGAACAACAGTTATCTGCCTTCTGTATATTATCTCCTCTTTTTTATGTGCGTAGTAGACTGAACTAGGCTAAAAACATGTATACCAGGTCATTCCCCTTAGTCTTGTTTTTTTTTCAACAAATCAAACTTAACTGAATACCCTATTTTCACATTTCATTTGGGATGTCATAACATATACAATATCATATTTTTTAGCATCATTTGGGATGTCATAACATATACAATATCATATTTTTAGCATCATTTGGGATGTCATTAAGGAGAAACTTATTCTTCCATTTGTTGACCTGGAGTTGCACTCATATGACCTTGGCATTGAGAACCGTGATGCCACAAATGATCAAGGTAGGTAGATGTTAGTCTGGTGCAAGAGAGAAATATTTTATCCTAACTTTACCACACGCATATTATTAGGTAACCAGAATTCTAATGACTCAATCTAGAATTTTAATTACCCAATCATAAGGTAACCAGAATTCTAATTACCCAATCATAAGGTAACCAGAATTTTAATTACCCAATCATACGGTAACCAGAATTCTAATTGCCCCATCATAAGGTAACCAGAATTCTAATTGCCCCATCATAAGGTAACAAGAATTCTAATTGCCCCATCATAAGGTAACCAGAATTCTAATTGCCCCATCATAAGGTAACCAGAATTCTAATTACTCAATCATAAGGTAGCCAGAATTCTAATTGCCCCATCATAAGGTAACCAGAATTCTAATTGCCCCATCATAAGGTAACCAGAATTCTAATTACCCAATCATAAGGTAACCAGAATTTTAATTACCCAATCATACGGTAACCAGAATTCTAATTGCCCCATCATAAGGTAACCAGAATTCTAATTGCCCCATCATAAGGTAACAAGAATTCTAATTGCCCCATCATAAGGTAACCAGAATTCTAATTGCCCCATCATAAGGTAACCAGAATTCTAATTACTCAATCATAAGGTAGCCAGAATTCTAATTGCCCCATCATAAGGTAACCAGAATTCTAATTGCCCCATCATAAGGTAACCAGAATTCTAATTGCCCCATCATAAGGTAACCAGAATTCTAATTGCCCCATCATAAGGTAACCAGAATTCTAATTACTCAATCATAAGGTAGCCAGAATTCTAATTGCCCCATCATAAGGTAACCAGAATTCTAATTGCCCCATCATAAAGTAGCCAGAATTCTAATTGCCCAATTTAAAGGTAACCAGAATTCTAATTTTTTAATTGCCCACAAATATTTCAGTGACAGTTGATGCTGCTGAGGCAATAAAACAGTACAATGTAGGGATCAAGTGTGCGACCATTACTCCTGATGAAAAGAGAGTTGAAGGTTGGATTTTAACTTGTTTTAATTGAAATCTAAAGAAAAAAGATAACTTTAAAGTATGCAACTTTTTGCTGCCACCTATTCTCTCTTCCCCCCCCCCCCCCCCCCACCCCAAAATTGTTGTAACATTACGATCAGTAACTGTGGTGTTCTAAATGTAAAATGTATTTCAAATTTCCCTCAACTCAGCATTGTGTAAATATCACCATCATTACAGAGTTTAAACTGAAACAGATGTGGAAGTCTCCAAATGGAACAATACGTAATATCCTGGGGGGTACCGTATTCCGTGAGGCTATTATCTGCAAGAACATTCCTCGATTAGTTCCAGGCTGGACCAAAAGTATTATCATTGGTCGTCATGCCTACGGGGATCAGGTAAATATCAGGTTAAAATAATGTACAGCAGCACAGTAGTGTAAAATCCACCAAAACCTCCAGTAGATCCTGACTCTAACCCTAAGCCACACATATCAGTAGATCCTGACTAGTTTATTCTCCAGTGAGAAGAATTGTATGCCACACATATCAGTAGATCCTGACCCTAAGCTACACATATCAGTAGATCCTTACTAGTTTTATCTCCAATGAGAAGAATTGTATGCCACACATATCAGTAGATCCTGACTCTAACCCTAAGCCACACATATCAGTAGATCCGGACTAGTTTATTCTCCAGTGAGAAGAGTTGTGTGCCAATTATTTGCAAGTGATGCCATCCAATCAAAATGTTTCAAGCCTTGACCAACAGTTAACATAGACCTTTGAAAATCTCACCAGTATCGTGCCACAGACTTTGTTGTGCCTGGTCCAGGGGAGGTCACTATGAAGTTCACCCCCAGCAGTGGAGGAGCACCAGTAGAATACACTGTTTTTGACTTCAAGGAGTCAGGGGGTGTGGCCATGGGCATGTACAACACTGACAAGGTAAATGAGAAATTTGAATAAACAGCTGTTTGTCTTGTTGTGGATCTGATCTTTGAATAAACAGCTGTTTGTCTTGTTGTGGATCTGATCTTTGAATAAACAGCTGTTTGAGAGCTCATGTTCTACATTAATTGTCTACAAAAGTTTTTATTGTTAAGGGTGGATCAAGTTAAAAAATTCAGTATAAAAGTGAGTATAAATTAAAAAAGTTAAACTAAGGTCTTAACTGTATTTTATGCACCTTAGCATCTGTCATGTGTATCTGACAGCATTTGCTGTGTATATTTTATGTGTAACTTGTCTGACAGCATTTGCTATGTATATTTTATCCACCCAAGTGTGACAGCAACATTTTGTCCTTATCTAACAGAGCATTACAGACTTCGCTCACAGCTCTTTTCAGTTTGCCTTACAGAAAGGTTGGCCACTCTATCTTAGGTAGGTAAATCTGACACACTGTCTTTATAAAGGTTGGCCACTCTATCTTAGGTAGGTAAATCATTATTGACACACTGTCTTTATGTACATACTTTTAGCTAAACAAGGATGTGACATTTTTGGTTTTTCTGCTTAGCTGCAGTTTTCATACGCTGGTTTCAATTTCTTTGAATTTTTCCAATTTTCAAAAATTTCTGCAGACTTTTGCAAATTTTCTTAAACGAAATTTTTAAAATTTGGAAAAACCTGTTTTCCAGACTTTTAGTCAGAATTTTCCGCTGAATTTTCCGTTAAATATTTTCTTATAATTCAGGAAACAAAATCTCAAATGTGCTACCTAAATGTATATTGCCTAATTTATTTACTGGTATTTAAACTTGCCCTCTGTTTTTTCTGACCATTTTCATCCTATTGACAATTTCTCTGTGCTTTCCATTTTTTTTTTTTGCAACTTTAAAATGTTTTCTTATTTTAATGATGCATTTTTTATTTATACAGTACAAAAAATACTATTTTGAAACGCTATGATGGAAGATTCAAGGATATATTCCAAGATATATATGAAAGGTCAGAATTAGATACTTTAAACTTAAAATAATTCTTATTTTTAAAATACATTTTTTTTTTTTTTATGGTTATTAAAACAGAACCAGTAATCTGCAAATGATAGTTTAATAATGAAACTCTGAAATAATTATGCCAATAGTTTGTTTTATTAATTGGTTCAAGATTCACATAGGATGCTGGTCTCCCAGATGCTAAGATCAAATGAATGATTTGAGTTATTTCCAAGACTATTTATTTATCTAGAGAGTACAAAAAGCAGTTTGAAGAAAAAGGCATTTGGTATGAACATCGGTTGATTGACGACATGGTAGCCTACTGCATGAAATCTGAAGGTGGCTTTGTGTGGGCCTGTAAGAATTATGATGGTGATGTCCAGTCTGATTCTGTAGCTCAAGGTTAGCTCCCTCTTATTGATTTACTTTTTGGATTTTTTAAGGGCATGGGCGGGTGATGAGTACCAACTTCCTTATTTCCGAGTCTAAAGATGTAATACTTGGCTAATAGTTATAACTCAAAGAGTTAAGCATAAAAATATTTTTTTTAATTTTTTAAATCTTCCGTTGCCATGGTGACGGCGGCCATATTGGATTTTATTGACGATTTTTAAATGGAAATAACTCAAAAATGGTTTGTTCAAATTTCATGAAAACTTAATATAGTCTGCAGACACATGTGTTTAAGACTTCTGATAGATTACATTTTCAAAAAAGAAAATAGTTTTTTTTTTACTTTTTTTTAAAAAACATTACTGTAAAAATTTCATTATTTCGTCCAATTTTTTCACTATTTCAACAACAAAATTTTTTTTTTTACAAAAATTCCAAAAGTGTTCTATCAGTTTTCTTTGAACATATATAAAGAGTAACTGGAGCAAATTTAGTTCAGTTCTGATAATTATTAACAAAGTTATTTCAACAATTGTACAAAAAAACATCAAACTGAGAAAAACGCAAAAAACTAACAAAAAGTTGCAAAAAATGAACATTTATCGCTGTATGTCACTAAAATCGACCACATTTATAGCCTGAAGTATGGTGCTGCTGAATATATTCCTTCTGAGCTTGTTCGGCTGTTAGTTTTCTTTTTTTCTGGCGCTGTTTGTTTTACCCAGAGTTGTAGTAAAGCTGTTGTCATGGCGTCTTTTTTCGCGTCTTCACTGGGTCCTCGACTATGGTTTCCTTCTTTTGACAGCAATGCCATAGCATGCCTGGGCCCAAAATTGAATTATGCTATCACAGAAACAGCAGTATATTTTGCATGGTCTCATGTCTAAAGCCAATTATGATAAGACGTCTTTGTTTATTGTGAAAGGCCTTGTTCTGGATTCTTTTGCAGTTGTATACTTACGGTTTATAACATTTTTATTACTGCCACACCATGCTTGAAGCAAACCCTTTACACTGTTTTCATCAATAGTAGCCACTACATCACAGTGTGCGAGGAGATGTATTGATAACATCAAGAAGCAAATCACAGTCGACAATAATTCTGCATGGCTGTGGTTTACAATTAGTACTACTAGTACTAGATGTAACAGTGCTTTCTTCTGTCTGTAAAAACTGTGTCTTACATTGCCGCAGTTTCTTAGTAAATGTGCATATTACATCTGCACCAGTGCTTGTCTGAATAGTGCTAGATTTAGTAGAGGTAGCTGCAATCAGTTGCATTCGGACGAGCCCTAGCTTTAGTAAATTAGTTAGATGTGTGTATCTATTTTTAGCGAGTATTTTGTTCTACGCATTATCGAAAGAGAAACAAATTAAATCGTCTCACTGCTTATGATAATTCACACAAACTAATCTAAACTGTTAATAGTATATTTAATTGAAATAATTATATGTTAAAATAATGTAAGTATTTTACAGAAGCTTAGAGAAACAAAACTAGATCAAACTTAGCAACGCGCTGAAACTAAGGGAATGTTTACTCCCGAAGCGAAACGACCAATCGCTAACTAGCTTCCGCCGTCGTATGCCAATGAAAAAATTGAGGTCAAAAATTTGCATACCGGAAAAACCCGACTGAGTAAAATAAACAACTTTATGACGTAGAAAAATAATCACATTAAAATATGTATTTTGATTGGTCATTTAATTTTAGAACAAATAAAGAAAGGAGGTCACGGCCTTTCCATTGATATGAAACACATTAGGTTTCCGCGAAGCCTAATAGTACTTTTCTAGGTCGAAAAATTGCTATTTTTACCAAAAAATTAAACAAAAGACCATGTACACACTACATTGAACCCGGTTTTTCATAATTAAATACTGTTTTTAAGGTCATAACAATGTCATTTTTAGATTCAACGATGGTTATTCTGTATAGATCAAGTAAAAGTGGGAAATCGATGATTTAGTGGATTTATGACGAAAAGTACACCCGCCCATGCCCTTAAATGACTTTGAAAAGTATTTTATGCTTAGGCTTGTTTTTTTTTGGCATTAGTTTGGGTTTAGACTGTAAATGTCCCCCCTCCCACATTCTTGTTAAAGATAACTCTTGCTGCTCAGGTTTTGGATCTCTGGGTATGATGACCAGTGTACTGATCTGCCCAGATGGGAAAACAGTGGAAGCCGAGGCCGCACACGGCACAGTCACCCGCCATTACAGGTTCTACCAGCAAGGCAAAGAGACATCCACCAACTCTATTGGTAGCTCATTTTGTATTCACCTTCAATAATTGAAACAGTGAAAAAGTAATGTATCCACTAGTAGGATATGATTAATTTAAATTTAAGATAATGTATCCACTAGTAGGATATGATTTATTTAAATTTAATTGTCCTTTTCAAATATTCATCTAGCAGCAGGGTAGGATCTTACCATCTGTACCCTTTGCTAGCTTCCATTTGATGCTGAGTTGATAGTCTTACCATCTGTACCCATTACTAGCTTGTTGACACTGTCTTACCATCTGTACCCATTGCTAGCTTGAGACTGTCTTACCATCTGTACCCATTGCTAGCTTGAGACTGTCTTACCATCTGTACCCATTGCTAGCTTGAGACTGTCTTACCATCTGTACCCATTGCTAGCTTGACACTGTCTTACCATCTGTACCCATTGCTAGCTTGAGACTGTCTTACCATCTGTACCCATTGCTAACTTGAGACTGTCTTACCATCTGTACCCATTGCTAGCTTGAGACTGTCTTACCATCTGTACCCATTACTAGCTTGTTGACACTGTCTTACCATCTGTACCCATTGCTAGCTTGACACTGTCTTACCATCTGTACCCATTGCTAGCTTGAGACTGTCTTACCATCTGTACCCATTGCTTGCTTGAGACTGTCTTACCATCTGTACCCATTGCTAGCTTGACACTGTCTTACCACCTGTACCCATTGCTAGCTTGACACTGTCTTACCATCTGTACCCATTGCTAGCTTGACACTGTCTTACCATCTGTACCCATTGCTTGCTTGAGACTGTCTTACCATCTGTACCCATTGCTAGCTTGAGACTGTCTTACCATCTGTACCCATTGCTAGCTTCCATATTTGCCTGGACGCGAGGCCTGGCCCACAGAGCCAAGCTAGATGACAACACTGACCTGTCCAAGTTTGCTGAGACCCTGGAGGCTGTGTGTGTGGAGACCATTGAGTCGGGGGTCATGACCAAAGATCTGGCTATCTGCATCAAGGGCATGAATGAGTAAGGCTTTTATCTGTCCCAGCCAGGTTTCAATAGAGCAATAGATTAGGAAGTAAAGCGGCTCTGTTTGCCAATAGTTTTACAATAGAGCAGTAGATTAGGAAGTAAAGCGGCTCTGTTTGCCAATAGTTTTACAATAGAGCAATAGATTAGGAAGTAAAGTGGGTGTGTTTACCAATAGTTTTAAATCAGATCACTATGTTATGTTGTGTTTATCAACAAAGGGAAAGTATTCCTTGTAGCATCTATTCCACCTTCATACAAACATCTAACGAGTGTTAAGATTATAGTAGTTGTGTAGTCACTACTTAATCAGCATATAACCAGTGAGGGGTAAACTTTAATCAGCATATAATGAGTGAGAGGTAAACTTTAATCAGCATATAATGAGTGAGGGGTAAACTTTAATCAGCATATAATGAGTGAGGGGTAAACTTTAATCAGCATATAATGAGTGAGAGGTAAACTTTAATCAGCATATGATGAGTGAGGGGTAAACTTTAATCAGCATATAATCAGTGAGGGGTAAACTTTAATCAGCATATAATGAGTGAGGGGTAAACTTTAATCAGCATATAATGAGTGAGGGGTAAACTTTAATCAGCATATAATGAGTGAGGGGTAAACTTTAATCAGCATATAATGAGTGAGGGGTAAACTTTAATCAGCATATAATGAGTGAGGGGTAAACTTTAATCAGCATATAATGAGTGAGAGGTAAACTTTAATCAGCATATAATGAGTGAGGGGTAAACTTTAATCAGCATATAATGAGTGAGGGGTAAACTTTAATCAGCATATAATGAGTGAGGGGTAAACTTTAATCAGCATATGAGTGAGGGGTAAACTTTAATCAGCATATAATGAGTGAGGGGTAAACTTTAATCAGCATATAATGAGTGAGGGGTAAACTTTAATCAGCATATAATGAGTGAGGGGTAAACTTTAATCAGCATATAATGAGTGAGGGGTAAACTTTAATCAGCATATAATGAGTGAGGGGTAAACGTTAATCAGCATATAATGAGTGAGGGGTAAACGTTAATCAGCATATAATGAGTGAGAGGTAAACGTTAATCAGCATATAATGAGTGAGGGGTAAACTTTAATCAGCATATAATGAGTGAGGGGTAAACTTTAATCAGCATATAATGAGTGAGGGGTAAACTTTAATCAGCATATAATGAGTGAGGGGTAAACTTTAATCAGCATATAATGAGTGAGGGGTAAACTTTAATCAGCATATAATGAGTGAGGGGTAAACTTTAATCAGCATATAATGAGTGAGGGGTAAACTTTAATCAGCATATAATGAGTGAGGGGTAAACTTTAATCAGCATATAATGAGTGAGGGGTAAACTTTAATCAGCATATGAGTGAGGGGTAAACTTTAATCAGCATATAATGAGTGAGGGGTAAACTTTAATCAGCATATGAGTGAGGGGTAAACTTTAATCAGCATATAATGAGTGAGGGGTAAACTTTAATCAGCATATAATGAGTGAGGGGTAAACTTTAATCAGCATATAATGAGTGAGGGGTAAACTTTAATCAGCATATAATGAGTGAGGGGTAAACTTTAATCAGCATATAATGAGTGAGGGGTAAACGTTAATCAGCATATAATGAGTGAGGGGTAAACGTTAATCAGCATATAATGAGTGAGGGGTAAACGTTAATCAGCATATAATGAGTGAGAGGTAAACTTTAATCAGCATATAATGAGTGAGGGGTAAACTTTAATCAGCATATAATGAGTGAGGGGTAAACTTTAATCAGCATATAATGAGTGAGGGGTAAACTTTAATCAGCATATAATGAGTGAGGGGTAAACTTTAATCAGCATATAATGAGTGAGGGGTAAACTTTAATCAGCATATAATGAGTGAGGGGTAAACTTTAATCAGCATATAATGAGTGAGGGGTAAACTTTAATCAGCATATAATGAGTGAGGGGTAAACTTTAATCAGCATATAATGAGTGAGGGGTAAACTTTAATCAGCATATAATGAGTGAGGGGTAAACTTTAATCAGCATATAATGAGTGAGTGGTAAACTTTAATCAGCATATGAGTGAGGGGTAAACTTTAATCAGCATATAATGAGTGAGGGGTAAACTTTAATCAGCATATAATGAGTGAGGGGTAAACTTTAATCAGCATATAATGAGTGAGGGGTAAACTTTAATCAGCATATAATGAGTGAGGGGTAAACTTTAATCAGCATATAATGAGTGAGGGGTAAACTTTAATCAGCATATAATGAGTGAGGGGTAAACTTTAATCAGCATATAATGAGTGAGGGGTAAACTTTAATCAGCATATAATGAGTGAGGGGTAAACTTTAATCAGCATATAATGAGTGAGGGGTAAACTTTAATCAGCATATAATGAGTGAGGGGTAAACTTTAATCAGCATATAATGAGTGAGGGGTAAACTTTAATCAGCATATAATGAGTGAGGGGTAAACTTTAATCAGCATATAATGAGTGAGTGGTAAACTTTAATCAGCATATGAGTGAGGGGTAAACTTTAATCAGCATATAATGAGTGAGGGGTAAACTTTAATCAGCATATAATGAGTGAGGGGTAAACTTTAATCAGCATATAATGAGTGAGGGGTAAACTTTAATCAGCATATAATGAGTGAGGGGTAAACGTTAATCAGCATATAATGAGTGACAGGTAAACTTTAATCAGCATATAATGAGTGAGGGGTAAACTTTAATCAGCATATAATGAGTGAGAGGTAAACTTGTATTCCAGTGTGACCCGCACAGATTATCAGGACACGTTTGAGTTTCTTGATACTGTGGCAGAAAATCTGAAGAAGAAGCTCCAGGCTAGTTGACTACAGCAGGTGGCGGATTCTTCAAGCTCCAGAAGCAGTAAATTATAGCCAGATTTGTCCAATTAGCAGTTTAATTATTTTTGTAAGCCTTAATTAACTTAATAAGATTATATTATGATTTTAACAAATGATTGTTTCAAATTGAAATCTCTATAATTAAGTCTAATTGACTTGTGCACTGTGCCATCGTTAGAATATTCTCATGGAAATGGCAGCACCACTGTTAAGAATGTTTTACTCATACACTGTAATCAATTTTTTAAAAACTTATTCTAAAACTTTACTGCTCTCAGCATTGTTGATACACTTAAATTATTTAATTATTTATTTATTTTTTTGGTACTTAAAAGAACAATGGGGAAGTTTTTTTAAAATTTCAAATGTTTGCATTTTATTGAGCTTATGTTTAAACTTGTGATGTGTGATCATATGTGATGTTTTTGAGAACATCTTGGTGTCACTTTTGTGAATATTACCGGTGTGTGATTTTAAAAAAAAAATGGCATTTAAAAAAATTATTTTATAACAATCGTGCCTTCTATTTTTATCCTTCAGATAAATGCATTTACATTTTTAATTGCCAAGTTCAAACTAGAAGCCATCTATAAGCCGGTGAAATTTTATAATCTGTTTGGGCTTTAATTTATCAGGTTTTTTTACTAGTAGTGTGATCTTAATAGTTTTCACACCAATGGAACCAAAGATTTTAAACTGCTTTTATTTTGTGTTATCAATTTTGTATTTGAGCAAGGTCTCATGTGTACCTATGTTGCTCAGTATATGTTAGTGGAATGTTTTTTCTGGTTTCTTCTAATAAATTCACTGAATTAACAGTTTGTGTTGCTCACTTTGCTAACTCCTCTGTTTATTTAAACAGAGATCTAAGAAATACAGCAGGAGTGATCTACCCTACACTCTCTCAAATATACTTCTATGGGGGATGGCAACTCAGGATATAAATATTATTTTTTTAATCATACCTTAAAGTAAATGGAATTTAGACAGAAGGCAGAGATTTAGATCTTTTACTTAGTTTTGGGCTTTTGAAAAAACAAAAGTACAATGAGTTCCACATCTGTTTACTGAAAAGTTGATGCAGAACTACAAATTTGATATAATATATCAACCAAACTGTAACTAAGTTATCGTGTTCACAGACAAACTTGCAAAACTGTTTTTCCAACTCGTTGAGATTTGTGAAAATCTTGATTTAGATTTTGCAGTATTACAATACTTCCACTATATCTTGTATACAAGAAAGTAAAAAAAGTTCGCCAGATTAAGAGGGATCATTTTTATTCTTTTCCAGGTAATATAAAAACAGACTACATACGAACTGGTAAACACTTTGATCACTTCCTGTTGCATAAATAACACAATATTAAAATCTTTAAGCAAGGATCAAGAGATTCCCATATAAATGAAGCCCAATCAGTCATGGTGTCACAAAAACCTCAGCGGAATTTATGACAGTTATGGTAAATGAGAAGCCCATAGCACAACCCCCCCCCCCCCCCCCAAACCTGTGGATGGTTTTCCAGCATGGTTAACACTGACTAGTATATTGCTCTGGTGTCAATGAGGCATGGTAGATTTCACACATCTTAAACATTTTATTTAGAAAATTACAATTTCTCACATGAAGGTTCTAAGTTTTCTAGACTCCCAAAATTGTTCAAGACATTACAAAAATGCAGGTCATGTCAAATGGGTAAAAAAATGATACCACCCTGTACTGATCCCCTGGGGATATTTACATTGTGTACAGTTGATGGTGTATATATAGAACTGCTCACCCTTCGGCAATTTTAGATTTTATAAATTATGCATTGAAAATACTTTCTAAAGTCTTAACACTTGCAAATACAAAAATATTATGCATCTTACAAAACAAAATGGGCAATCTGCTAAACAAAAAACAGTGTGCCAATGTCTTTATATAAAAATAATTCTCATATCTTGATAACTAATCAATATGATTTTAATAAGTCAAGTTAGAAAAAAAGTTAGGGACACAGGCTCATACACTATAACAAGTACGTTTTGGCAGGAGAAAATCTATTCACGAAATGATATTTTAGTCCATGTCACCATTAGATTCACCTTATGTTCACTCAGTCTGTGACCAATGCCCACAATGTCCAGTGTGGTGACCAATGCCCACAATGTCCAGTGTGGTGACCAATGCCCACAATGTCCAGTGTGGTGACCAATGCCCACAATGTCCAGTGTGGTGACCAATGCCCACAATGTCCAGTGTGGTGACCAATGCCCACAATGTCCAGTGTGGTGACCAATGCCCACAATGTCCAGTGTGGTGACCAATGCCCACAATGTCCAGTGTGGTGACCAATGCCCACAATGTCCAGTGTGGTGACCAATGCCCACAATGTCCAGTGTGGTGACCAATGCCCACAATGTCCAGTGGGGTGACCAATGCCCACAATGTCCAGAGCTAAAAGTGTTTGAGGCTACCACTGCTTCGCTGACCCAAAAAATTACTTTATGAATCATAACTCTATGGTGCTCACAAAAATGTTGTATGCACTCAGCTCACACCCAATGTTGTATACACTCAATTAGTGCTCACACTCAATGTTGTATACACTCACTTAGTGCTCACACCCAATGTTGTATATACTCAATTAGTGCTCACACCCAATGTTGTATACACTCACTTAGTGCTCACACCCAATGTTGTATACACTCACTTAGTGCTCACCCAATATTGTATACACTCACTTAGTGCTCACACCCAATGTTGTATACACGCACTTAGTGCTCACACCCAATGTTGTATACACTCACTTAGTGCTCACACCCAATGTTGTATACACTCAATTAGTGCTCACACCCAATGTTGTATACACTCACTTAGTGCTCACACCCAATGTTGTATACACTCACTTAGTGCTCACACCCAATGTTGTATACACTCACTTAGTGCTCACACCCAATGTTGTATACACTCACTTAGTGCTCACACCCAATGTTGTATACACTCACTTTGTGCTCACACCCAATGTTGTATACACTTAGTGCTCACACCCAATGTTGTATACACTCACTTAGTGCTCACACCCAATGTTGTATACACTCACTTAGTGCTCACACCCAATGTTGTATACACTCACTAAGTGCTCACACCCAATAATGTATACACTTACTAAGTGCTCACACCCAATAATGTATACACTTACTAAGTGCTCACACCCAATGTTGTATACACTCACTTAGTGCTCACACCCAATGTTGTATACACTCACTTAGTGCTCACACCCAATGTTGTATACACTCACTTAGTGCTCACACCCAATGTTGTATACACTCACTAAGTGCTCACACCCAATAATGTATACACTTACTAAGTGCTCACACCCAATAATGTATACACTCATTATGTTAACTATCAGCAGCCACAGATGTTTGTCGCTGGGTATTGGATGTTGACAACCTGGTTCCAGACAAAAGTTGTTGCCCATTGCTCTTTACAAAGGAGAGCATTTCGACTAATTAATACAAATAGATATATGGTTGAGGAAAGTATTTTTGACATTTGATACAACATCACATTGGAGAAATTCATAGAACATGTGCACAGTGTTTTAAAAAACGGAAGAAGACTTTAAAAAGGAAGCCAGAAATATTTAGGTCAATTTCTAACACTGTTTGGACTAGAACTCATAAGGAACATTCACAAGTTATACAAGAATATTTCATCACATTCATAATCATCATCTTTTTCCCTTCGTGAGGCAGATGAAGTGTGAGCAACTTATTCATGACCCCCCTCCCAGCATACAAGGGGATAGTGTGTTCTACACTATGTCCAGCGCTTTTGTTTCTCTCACCTAAGTCAGGTACTCATTACAGTTGGGTGGGCTCAGGGATCAAAACTTTGGGGCTGGCAGTCTAAGCTTCACCATTAGACCACACAGTTCTTATCATGACATTGATCAAACACAATTTTTTAAGTTATTTAAAAATCTAACATACCGTCCCTATCATGACATTGATCAAACACAATTTTTTAAATCTAACACTTGAGTTAATCTAATAACTTTGAAAAATATACATTAGGCGTTTGGTGAAAGTCCCACAGCTTGTTTATGACTATGACAAAAGGAACCACGCTGGGATACAGATCAGGAAATACAATGGGATACAAATAAGGAAATACAATGATTTTTAAACTAAAAGCATTAACGTTTTGCCTAATATGATAATTATGTAAAACATACAATTAATGATTAGATTGATTTAGTCACATGAAGCAAGTCAAATAATTGAGCATAATTAACATCAATTAATGAAAGGAATTTCCATTAGAAAAAGAGTAATGTATCCGTTGTATGGAAGAAAAGATATAATCCAAATCACAGCTAGGGGATATTCATTTTGATGTCCATGACTTCCAAAGTTAGTTCAGCAAATGATCACAAATATATACAATATGACAGAGGTAACTACAATTGTTCTGAGAAGCTGTCTACAGTACTGGATAGATTTGAAGCAAGTCAGCCTCCAGCGTTTTAATCAGCACTGTTGCTTCTGTGTATGTGTTCAAATAACATCTGTATACAACATCAAGGCCTTATACTTGTGCACCAAAGTGCAGATGTAACAGCCTTAAACTAGTGCAGCCAGTACATCAGGTTTGTATTTCTAGTATGAAGGGAGAGCATCTGATGGCTTGTATGAAGGGAGAGCATCTGATGGCTTGTATTTCTAGTATGAAGGGAGAGCATCTGATGGCTTGTATTTCTAGTATGAAGGGAGAGCATCTGATGGTCTGTATTTCTAGTATGAAGGGAGAGCATCTGATGGCCTGTATTTCTAGTATGAAGGGAGAGCATCTGATGGCCTGTATGAAGGGAGAGCATCTGATGGCTTGTATTTCTAGTATGAAGGGAGAGCATCTGATGGTCTGTATTTCTAGTATGAAGGGAGAGCATCTGATGGCCTGTATTTCTAGTATGAAGGGAGAGCATCTGATGGTCTGTATTTCTAGTATGAAGGGAGAGCATCTGATGGCCTGTATTTCTAGTATAAAGGGAGAGCATCTGATGGCCTGTATTTCTAGTATGAAGGGAGAGCATCTCCTGTACAACTCCTGACAAGTTTCAGACCTGGTGGCTTCAGCAGTTTAAGTAGACAGGCAGACTCTAGTCATCACAAAGTTTCATGAGTAAACACAAAGCTTTATCAGGAAACAGTTTTATATGTTCACATTCTTTTATGTCAACACATGCTTTCATATGTCAACAAAATAATGATAGTTTACATCAACAAAAATTATCTTTTTTTATAAAAAAATTCTATAAAAACCAGGGAGATCCCTGTGAAAATAAAATCTTGATCATTGGTTTATCAAAAATCTTGATCATTGATTTATCAAAAATCTTGATCATTGGTTTATCACACACATGTAGGGAGAGAGGTTACAAACTTTTTTAGTGTCAAATTGACCAATAAAACTTGGACCATCTTTGTACAATCTCTCTGCACAAATCTGAAATAGCTCTAGTGTTCTCTGTGAGAAATGGAGTTTTGAACCTAACAGGTGTACATTAAACTAACTGAAGAATGGGTGCACAACTTTGGAACCAACCATGTGCGACCAGGTTGACCTACACGTTTCATCAAAGTAAGGCAGTGGTAGATACTGGTTAAACATTGACCAGTTTACAATAACTGGAGATACAAACAACTAATGCTGATTCTATAATCAAACCATTTTTTCGTCCTTCCGTTCACTTTGTACTTCTAAAAAAAGTTTGAAGTTGTCTGTAAAACCTAGGTAGTGCATTGAAAAAAGGTAGACTGTAAATCTGTTTACTACTGGATGCTAGTCAAGAGATGGATACAAGTGGATACAAGTGGATACAAGTGGATGGCGGCTGGATGAGCATCACATGTCCTGGTCACGCGTCCAGGTGTACTCTATCACATACTCCGGATACGCTTGATTGCTGTCAAATATAACAAAAACTTGAGGGGAGAAGATGTTGTCCACACAAGAGTCGTAACATTTCCCCAAGGGGTTGCTGGGGTCCAGGGGTGGGGGCCGCTTCAGGCCAGACGAGCCACCTGTGTGACGGCCCACCAGCACACGAGCCACAAACATGAAGTGCGTGTCTGACTTGGCTCCTTTGACAAAGACAGATGAGAGGTCAGCTGAGCCCCGCTCGCACCCCCTGTCCCCCTGCCTCTTGTTTGGCTGATCCAGGGGAGGGCTGCCATTTGTTTCATACACGCACGGCTTGTTCCTGCTGGCCAGTCCAGCAGACCCTGAGGCAGGCCCCGCCCACACATTGCTGGGGGTGGGGAAGCCCTGTGGCTGGAAGTGTTTACTTGTGTACTGGGGCTGCAGGGACAGCTGGGAGTTCAAAATGTTCAAGAGAAGAGAGGCTTGCTGGGGCTTGGCTAGTCCTTGCATTGAGCCAGCTAGTTGCATTGATCTGACGGCTTGCATTGACACTTGCTTGTTGGCACTGGCTGGGCACACAGAGACGTTAGGGACCAGGTTGTGTGACGGGTTGGCTGAAAGTGGTGCTGCACCGCTGGTCATGTGACCTGTAGTAGAGCTGGTCATGTGACCTGAGGAAGAGATGGTCATGTGACCTGTGGCAGAGCTGGTCATGTGACCTGAAGCAGAGGTCATGTGACCTGAGGAAGAGTTGGTCATGTGACCTGTAGCAGTGGTCATGTGACCCAAAGCTAAACTGGTCATGTGACCTGTAGCAGAACTGGTCATGTGACCTGAAGCAGAACTGGTCATGTGACCTGAAGCAGAACTGGTCATGTGACCTGTGGCAGAGTTGGTCATGTGACCTGTAGCAGTGGTCATGTGACCCGAAGATAAACTGGTCATGTGACCTGAAGCAGAGCTGGTCATGTGACCTGAAGCAGAGCTGGTCATGTGACCTGCAGCAGAGCTGGTCATGTGACCTGTAGCAGAGCTGGTCACATGACTGACTGATGTGAAGCCAGAGCTGAAATGGTTTGCTGATGACCCCGAGGAAGACGGCAGGCCATTGAAGGCCAGGCCGGTGGCCTTGCTGTGTTGGCCAGGGCCAGAAGTCTGATTGTGGGCGGGGACCTGGAGGGATGACAGCTGGCCATGAGCGGGGGGTGGGGGAGGCAGGTGGTAGTGGGCTGGAGGGGGCTGGGCCTGGGACAGAATGGAGGAGGGAATGCCTATGAGGGAAGCCAGTGAGGGCTGGGACAGGAACGTGCAGAAGGGCGACCTGTAAGGCTGCAGGCGCGACGTGTCTCTCATCTGTAGCATCATGCCACTGGCCATTGGCCGAAGGTGTTGTCCAGCCATCCCTCCCATCCTCACACTCACTCCATTCCCCGCACGGTCAGTGAAGCCATGGGAGTACCTCGACTCCTTGGCAAAGTAGGAGCCTGCAACAGATGGGTTCAAATCATTGGGCCAGTTAAGATGAGAAAACTAACAACTATCAATTAGGAGTACAATGATAAGTTAACCACAGATCAGGGAAGTGATAAGTTAACCACAGATCAGGGAAGTGATAAGTTAACCACAGATCAGGGAAGTGGTAAGTTAACCACAGATCAGGGAAGTGGTAAGTTAACCACAGATCAGGGAAGTGATAAGTTAACCACAGATCAGGGAAGTGATAAGTTAACCACAGATCAGGGAAGTGATAAGTTAACCACAGATCAGGGAAACCTTGACACAGAAAATGGAGAGGTTTAAAACCTTGTCTTTGTTATGTAACAGAAAATGGAGAGGTTTAAAACCTTGTCTTTGTTATGTAACAGAAGATGGAGAGGTTTAAAACCTTGTATTTGTTATGTAACAGAAAATGGAGAGGTTTAAAACCTTGTATTTGTTATGTAACAGAAGATGGAGAGGTTTAAAACCTTGTATTTGTAAGACCCAAGCAAACGTAAGAAAAAGCCAACAAACCACAGCCGTAAACTGTTGTATTTCTAAGACACAAACAAATGTAAGAAAAAGCCAACAAACCACAGCCGTAAACTGTTCCGTGCTTGCCACTGAGCCTCCAGTCAAAACCTTTTCTGGCGATGGCCTCAAGCGTGGAGCGGTGAGTGCCATGGTACAACTGTCTCTCCGTAACATCCATCCCATCATTCTCTTGCACCATTTCACTTCGTTTCCTTTTAATCACAAAATAAAGTAATAAAAAAAATAGTAATAAAGATCAACCAATAACTGTACAGGGTTTGTACAATTTTTTTAATCAGAAATTCCAGACTTTTTTCAGACATTTTGCAGACTTTTAAAACTCCAGACTATTGAGCTATTGTTAAGTTTCTCAACGTCAAATGTCAGAAAATATTTTTTCTGCGACTGCCTAACCCCCCCCCCCCCTTCAAAGTTTAAATTATTAAAATGATTGATTGTAATCGGATAATCTATTTCCACTGTTTTCAGTACTTATTACTGAATTGGTAGTCCTATCAATAAAGCCTAACAGTAATTCTTTTTAAAAAAAAAATAATTAATTAATTTCCTAATTTAGGCCTGCTCTTGTGAGTGGCTAAGACTTATTCCACCTAAATCTAACAGGAGATAATTGGCTCCTTGAGCCAATAAAAATAATTCTGAGGTGGTAGCTAACAATTTAACAGAAAGTCAATTAAAATGACAGGTACATGTTATTCATATCATACTTAGACTAGATGCCCCCCCCCCCCATCAAGTTTTGGTAGGACTGCAAGCCTGCTACCCCAAACAAACTTTATACAAAAACAGCCAGTAAAATCAAGAGGTCAACAGTTCCATGTGTGAACATTCTTTCATTCAATGTTTCAATACCAGAAACACATTCACACGGTCAGTCACGCAGCAACAAAACAAAAAACACTGAGGTCTAACAATCCCCCACCTCCCCTCCCTCATCCTCAACAAAACACTGAGGTCTAACAATCCCCCACCTCCCCTCCCTCGTCCTCAACAACAACAAAAACACTGAAACACAAAAAAAAAAAGGTCTAACAGTCCCCCCCTCCCTAAAAGGATCAGGTTTCTTCTGCCAACCTGGGTAAAACCATTTAGATGGAATAAACCTTTCCATTAAACCTTTCCATTAAACCTTCCCATTAAACCTTTCCAATAAACCTTTCCATTAAACCTTCCCATTAAACCTTCCCAATAAACCTTTCCATTAAACCTTCCCATTAAACCTTTCCATTAAACCTTCCCATTAACCTTTCCATTAACCTTTCCATTAAACCTTCCCATTAAACCTTCCCATTAAACCTTTCCAATAAACCTTTCCATTAAACCTTCCCATTAAACCTTCCCATTAAACCTTTACAATAAACCTTTCCATTAAACCTTTCCATTAAACCTTCCCATTAAACCTTTCTATTTAACCTTTCCATTAAACCTTTCCATTAAACCTTCCCATTAAACCTTTCCATTAAACCTTCCCATTAAACCTTCCCATTAAACCTTCCCATTAACCTTTCCATTAAACCTTTCCATTAAACCTTTCCAATAAACCTTTCCATTAAACCTTCCCATTAAACCTTTCCATTAAACCTTTCCATTAAACCTTTCCAATAAACCTTTCCATTAAAACTTTCCGTTGCTAAAACAGGAAACTCACAGGGCAAAATACTTCCACAAAATGGGATTCTGCACGCGTATGATCCTGACGATTTCGTATCTGGGGAAGTCGAGGGTCTCATAAAACTGGAAGGCCAGGGCGTTGTATTCCTCTGTGTCTGGTACCACTGTGTACACCATGATAGGCTGTAAACAGATGAGGAGAGACATTTATACACTGATAGTGGGGACAAGTTTTAATGGGACAAAATAAATGTCTGGATAGTTTTTCTATCTATTTACTGTTATTTCCGGGTTTCTAAGACATTTCATCAACATTTTATAGACCCTGAAACCTAAATTCACAATGACGAGTGGTTTGGATTGTGGAGACATGTGCAGCTGAAGTGTCTGTAAAGTTGAGCAAATGACGCAAGTTTCAGCCCATTTCTGTTTCATATATAATTAATTCTACAAATAAACTTTCCTTTTTACTTTCTCGTATATACGAAGTATAGAGAAAGTATTGTAATCGTGCAACAAAAAAAAAAATCGAGATTTGACGTTTTACATCTCACTAATACGGAAAAACATAATTTTGCAATCTTGTCCGTATGTCTGTGTGTCTGTCTGTGTGTGTGTAAACACGATAACTTGAGTACCGTTACAGCTAGGTTGATGAAATTTCATATATAAGTATTTTATCAAAATCGTAGATCCGTATCAACTTTTGAGCGATTTCCGATAACCGGAAGTGGTACTTTTCCTACTTTGAAATTTTCAAAAGCCTATAACTTGAGTACTATTTCAGATAGATAAATGAAATTTCACATGTGAGTAAAAGATCTAATTCTCTACCTTCTGTTAAATTTTGAGTAATTTCAGTTGAACAGAAGTAGTAATTTACGCTACTTCCGATTTCTCAAAAAACTAATGTAAATTTTTAAAGTACTAATAATATTGCGCACTATTATGCACTTTTTTATTTAGCGTTCACTTGGTGTGCAATTCTTTTGTCTACGAGATTTTATTCTATTTTTAAAACTTTAAGTATTTAAAATGGATTAAAAATCATGTCTATAGCCCGAGTTGCCATCCCCTGTTACTTTATATAAAAATATTCGAGAAAGTTTAGGGGAGATCACTCCCGGATTATTATTTTTTGGCATAAAAAGTAAAGATTGCATTGGCTAAGAAGTTTTCTGAGATTTTGTGGAAACATTGGGTGATGGAAAATATTGGTGGACAAATAGCCTTGAATGACAAAAATGTATTTCCATAAAAAGTGATAAAGTAACTTCTGGACTGCAGCTAGCAACAACTTACAGATCCTCGCTCCATGGGGGCCCAGAAGGTGGGCAGGTCTTCCATTGGATCACGTGACTCTTGGCTGTAGATTTCTTCATACTTTCTCATGGTTAGTGTAGGACACGGCTGGGTGCTCTCTGATACAGCAAACTCTGACCTGGAACATGTACAAATGTCAACAAATGTCAGTTCACAAACTCTGACCTGGAACATGTACAAATGTCAGTTCACAAACTCTGACCTGGAACATGTACAAATGTCAGCTCACAAACTCTGGAACATGTACAAATGTCAGTTCACAAACTCTGACCTGGAACATGTACAAATGTCAGTTCACAAACTCTGACCTGGAACATGTACAAATGTCAACAAATGTCAGTTCACAAACTCTGACCTGGAACATGTACAAATGTCAGTTCACAAACTCTGACCTGGAACATGTACAAATGTCAACAAATGTCAGTTCACAAACTCTGACCTGGAACATGTACAAATGTCAGCTCACAAACTCTGGAACATGTACAAATGTCAGTTCACAAACTCTGACCTGGAACATGTACAAATGTCAGTTCACAAACTCTGACCTGGAACATGTACAAATGTCAACAAATGTCGGTTCACAAACTCTGACCTGGAACATGTACAAATGTCAGTTCACAAACTCTGGAACATGTACAAATGTCAGTTCACAAACTCTGACCTGGAACATGTACAAATGTCAACAAATGTCAAGTCACAAACTCTGACCTGGAACATGTACAAATGTCAACAAATGTCAGTTCACAAACTCTGACCTGGAACATGTATAAATGTCAACAAATGTCAGTTCACAAACTCTGACCTGGAACATGTACAAATGTCAGTTCACAAACTCTGACCTGGAACATGTACAAATGTCAGTTCACAAACTCTGACCTGGAACATGTACAAATGTCAACAAATGTCAGTTCACAAACTCTGACCTGGAACATGTACAAATGTCAGCTCACAAACTCTGGAACATGTACAAATGTCAGTTCACAAACTCTGACCTGGAACATGTACAAATGTCAACAAATGTCAGTTCACAAACTCTGACCTGGAACATGTACAAATGTCAGTTCACAAACTCTGACCTGGAACATGTACAAATGTCAACAAATGTCAGTTCACAAACTCTGACCTGGAACATGTACAAATGTCAACAAATGTCAGTTCACAAACTTTGACCTGGAACATGTACAAATGTCAATTCACAAACTCTGACCTGGAACATGTACAAATGTCAGTTCACAAACTCTGACCTGGAACATGTACAAATGTCAACAAATGTCAATTCACAAACTCTGACCTGGAACATGTACAAATGTCAAGTCACAAACTCTGACCTGGAACATGTACAAATGTCAAGTCACAAACTCTGACCTGGAACATGTACAAATGTCAAGTCACAAACTCTGACCTGGAACATGTATAAATGTCAACAAATGTCAGTTCACAAACTCTGACCTGGAACATGTACAAATGTCAACAAATGTCAGTTCACAAACTCTGACCTGGAACATGTACAAATGTCAGTTCACAAACTCTGACCTGGAACATGTACAAATGTCAACAAATGTCAATTAACAAACTCTGACCTGGAACATGTACAAATGTCAAGTCACAAACTCTGACCTGGAACATGTACAAATGTCAAGTCACAAACTCTGACCTGGAACATGTACAAATGTCAAGTCACAAACTCTGACCTGGAACATGTATAAATGTCAACAAATGTCAGTTCACAAACTCTGACCTGGAACATGTACAAATGTCAACAAATGTCAGTTCACAAACTCTGACCTGGAACATGTACAAATGTCAGTTCACAAACTCTGACCTGGAACATGTACAAATGTCAACAAATGTCAATTCACAAACTCTGACCTGGAACATGTACAAATGTCAAGTCACAAACTCTGACCTGGAACATGTACAAATGTCAAGTCACAAACTCTGACCTGGAACATGTACAAATGTCAAGTCACAAACTCTGACCTGGAACATGTACAAATGTCAAGTCACAAACTCTGACCTGGAACATGTACAAATGTCAAGTCACAAACTCTGACCTGGAACATGTACAAATGTCAACAAATGTCAGTTCACAAACTCTGACCTGGAACATGTACAAATGTCAACAAATGTCAGTTCACAAACTCTGGCCTGGAACATGTATAAATGTCAGTTCACAAACTCTGACCTGGAACATGTACAAATGTCAACAAATGTCAGTTCACAAACTCTGACCTGGAACATGTACAAATGTCAACAAATGTCAGTTCACAAACTTTGACCTGGAACATGTACAAATGTCAATTCACAAACTCTGACCTGGAACATGTACAAATGTCAATTCACAAACTCTGACCTGGAACATGTACAAATGTCAGTTCACAAACTCTGGAACATGTACAAATGTCAAGTCACAAACTCTGACCTGGAACATGTACAAATGTCAACAAATGTCAGTTCACAAACTCTGACCTGGAACATGTACAAATGTCAGTTCACAAACTCTGGAACATGTACAAATGTCAAGTCACAAACTCTGACCTGGAACATGTACAAATGTCAGTTCACAAACTCTGGAACATGTACAAATGTCAAGTCACAAACTCTGACCTGGAACATGTACAAATGTCAAGTCACAAACTCTGACCTGGAACATGTACAAATGTCAACAAATGTCAGTTCACAAACTCTGACCTGGAACATGTAAAAATGTCAACAAATGTCAGTTCACAAACTTTGACCTGGAACATGTATAAATGTCAGTTCACAAACTCTGACCTGGAACATGTACAAATGTCAGTTCACAAACTCTGACCTGGAACATGTACAAATGTCAACAAATGTCAGTTCACAAACTCTGACCTGGAACATGTAAAAATGTCAACAAATGTCAGTTCACAAACTTTGACCTGGAACATGTATAAATGTCAGTTCACAAACTCTGACCTGGAACATGTACAAATGTCAGTTCACAAACTCTGACCTGGAACATGTACAAATGTCAACAAATGTCAGTTCACAAACTTTGACCTGGAACATGTATAAATGTCAGTTCACAAACACTGGTAAGTGTGGTATTGTTAGTAGTATGTATGTTAATGTATAGGTGGTAGTGTCAGTGGTAGGGGTGTTGTTTGGTGGGGGTGTTGGTTGGTAGGGGTGTTGTTTGGTAGGGGTGTTGGTTGGTTGATTGTAAAGATAGTGTCTGTGCTATTATTAAGGGTGTGCTGGTGTGATGTTGGATGTTTGGTGTTAGATTGTAGCCATAAAACTATCAACTTGCATGAGCCCATAAAACTATCAACTTGCATGAGCCCATAACACTATCAACTTGCATGAGCCCATAAAACTATCAACTTGCATGAGCCACTAGCCATAAAACAACTTGCATGAGCCACTAGCCATAAAACAACTTGCATGAGCCAGCCAGTTCTGTGTAAACCACATGAGAGCAACACGTTTGTACCTGGACTTCAACTTCTCATCAGTGAACATCCACTTGGTGATGTAGTTCAAGTAGGCCTTGTCCAGCTTCTCTTCTAGGATGTCCACCACAAACTGGGGCAGGGTCTGCTTCAGTTCATCTGGGGGAAACATTAGGGGCAAACATTAGGGGCAAACATTAGGGGCAAACATTAGGGCAAACATTAGGGGCAAACATTAGGGGATAACATTAAGGGCAAACATTAGGGGATAACATTAAGGGCAAACATTAGGGGCAAACATTATGGGATAACATTAAGGGCAAACATTAGGGGATAACATTAAGGGCAAACATTAGGGGCAAACATTAGGGGCAAACATTAGGGGCAAACATTAGGGGCAAACATTAGGGGCAAACATTAGGGGCAAACATTAGGGGCAAACATTAGGGCAAACATTAGGGCAAACATTAGGGGCAAACATTAGGGGATAACATTAGGGGATAACATTAGGGGATATCAGTACATTCTCTAACACAAGTTTAAGTTGGTGAACACAGAGACAGGTGTAGGAGGCAGACAGGTGGAGTGGGATCAAATCTAACAGGCAAAATAATTTGATGACATGTCAGAAGTGAGATGGATGTAATGACATGTCAAGAGAGAGATAAATAAATATATGACATGTCAGAAGTGAGATAGATGTAATGACATGACAAGAGAGAGATAAATAAATATATGACATGTCAGAAGTGAGATAGATGTATGACATGTCAGAAGTGAGATGACGTACCAGAAGTCACAACTTTATCACAGGTTGATGCAGGACACTTAATGTTACGTTGCTGTAGAATACATACAAATACGTTTTTAACTGTAGGATAAATCTTATCTAAACAATTTTTTTAAAATTATTTCATATACAAATATTTTATTTTTTTATTATCAGATTTTTAAATTGTTAGGTTGTTTTAAACAAAGATACATTTAATTGATTTATGGTCAAAGCAACCAAATTCTTTATTTACATTTTTTTAAAAATTAAACCTTTGAAAGCATGGATTCTATGGTAAAAAAAATGGCATGTACTAATGTCTGATGCTTTTGTGTTTGAATACTGACCTTGACCTTGCCAGTAAGAATGCCCTTGACCTGAACCTCTAGACAAGTAACACAGACACCATGACCCAGTTCACACTTGGAGAGTTTCCTGCTGGTGCTGGGAGCTTCACACGTAACACATGTGCTGGGAGCTTCACATGTGACAGACACAGTTATGTTGCTGTCTGTGAATGTCAGACTGTCTGATATGGAGCGATGGAAAGCTTTCATTGGCAACTTTCCTTTAGGGCTCTGTAGGACTTGGACACTTGTCTGTCGCTTGACCAACTGCTTATCTGTGCTGACTGGGGCTATCTTCAGCTTTTTCTCTACCACATCCCCACTAGCGTCCTCTAGCTTTCTGGATCTGATCACTTTTAATTTGACGCTTCCATTGAAACACTCGGGAATGACTTGCCAGTTTTCTTGGGTGTCTGGGAAACATTTCTCAGGTCTGGGTGAAAGCTCTTTAGTAAATCTTTCACCAGATATTTTCTGACAAGAATTGGTCCATTGTGTCACTTTGTGAGCCCGCCTGTGTTTACTGAAATAATATTGTTTGATCTTAAGGGCCAGCTTGACTCTGTGAGAAGGCTGAGAGAAATTTGAGTTGAGTGTCCCAACCATTCTAGAGCCTGGGTTGTCACTGGCTATCACAGTCTCCCTAGCTGATTTGTCTACAGTTACATCTGACCTACTTATGGTTACATTTGATATACATTTTGACCTCTGGCTGTCAGTGCTGAGAGTTAAGTGTTTCTTTTTACATATATTTTTTCCAGCTATGGATTCAGGAATGGATTCTAAATTAGAAGATTGTTTTACCCGTTGCACAGTGGACTTAATCCGTGGAGCTGAAGTATCATTTATCACAGAATACGCTTGACTTGGCAGTCTCAAGTCTTTAGAGGTATAAACAAAGTTAAGAGGTTTAGTTAGTGGATCCTTCAGTGCCGAGGGAGATGACAAAGCAGTGACATTATGCACCTGGCTGGTCTCTTCTGATCTCAAGTTGTACGGCTCAACCTTGCGTCCCTTGGCATCTGCCAGTGTATCAGGCGAGTCAGGTGGCAGCAACTGTAGAATGGAGTCCACCTCGTCTGAGTTGAGGTTGTCGAAGTCAAGCCTGAGAGGATTGCTGCACTTTTTGCTAGGTGTCAGCAGCAGGGGCGTGCTGTGCTCACTGGGAAGTTTGATGGCAACATCTCTCTCAGACGTGCCTGGCCTGGCCTGACTAGAGGAACTTTCTACAGCTTGAGGTGGTCTGATGTTAGCGCCAGGCTTTCTCCTTTTTTTATCTTTTACCTGACCAGTACCGAGGTCCTTGTCATGCAGATAACTCACATGACAGGTAGCAACTGGGCCAGTTACGTGTGTGCTAAGCATATCAGAGTTGTCCAGGCTTTCTTTGACTTGAAGGTAGCTTTTACCACTTGTACACAGGGGGGAGGTTGGTAGCCCAGAGACTGGGCCTACAGTAATGGAGATGAAACCTGAGCTGGTTGGTAGATCAAGTTTACTGGTAGCAAACTGATCATGGCTTTTGTCCATGCGCCCCTCATGTGAGGCATTCTGTTGTGTAAGGCAGGGTGGATCAGCAGGGTGAGCGGAGCTGACACAGGGCATGATGGGGGTATCACAGGAAGCATCAGGTGGCGGGACAGGTGCTGAGATGGCACCTAAAAAATGTGGTGCAGGTGTGTTGTGGGACAGATCTAAGGGGCGGATGATGGCATCTATAACGCCGATGGTTGAGAAATCTGGAGGATTTGTAAACAAGGCAGCAGGACTGAAGCTACTGTCTTCATCATCTGGTGTGGACTGGGATGAGCCCAGTGAGATACCCTGTACATGTTCAAATAGCTCATTAAACAGTATCAGCATAATCTATTCTACATAAAATGACTTGCCATCATAACTTATGCAGTAATGGACTGTAATTAGAAACTATAGAAACAAGTAAGTTTTTTACCACACTATCAGATGTTCCTTCAAGTTGCTTCTTTGAAGGCTCTTCCATAACAAATATAACATCATCATCATCTTTTTTTGATGGAGACTTTTCTTCATTCACCAACAGAACATCATCATCATCATCTTCATCTACATAGTTAATTTAAAAAATGTTTAAGTTCAAAAGATTGGGTAGGGTTTATTATTATTATAAGCATTGACTTGACTTTACCCTTATGTAAATACTTGCCTAACTCAGTTTTGCCTAAGTAGGCTGATGTAAATACTTGCCTAACTTAGTTTTGCCTAAGTAGGCTGATGTAAATACTTGCCTAACTTAGTTTTGCCTAAGTAGGCTGATGTAAATACTTGCCTAACTTAGTTTTGCCTAAGTAGGCTGATGTAAATACTTGCCTAACTTAGTTTTGCCTAAGTAGGCTGATGTAAATACTAAGTAAAGAAAGCCTAACAATAATAATACTAATGAATCACATCAACAAAAGATGCCACGAATTCTAAAATCAAACTATAAACTCTAGTTATACTGACTGGTAATTAGCTTAGAAAAAAGACTAATTGTAGTCTTATTCTATATCTACATTTACGCTGAAATTACAGCACAATTGATAAGGACTACTTGAATATTCAAAAGTAGGCCTAATGCCTAGTAATAATAATTTTTATAGTATATACTATTACTAAAGTGGGATGGGGTAGTCAAATGGTAGAGCACTCAAAAGCTAGAATGAAGATCTTGAGTTCATTCTCAGTCTGGGTTCACGTCTTGAAATCGTCCAAAGGTCAATCAGCTCTGATAGGTACCTGACTCACACTCAACCAGCTCTGATAGGTACCTGACTCACACTCAACCAGCTCTGATAGGTACCTGACTCACACTCAACCAGCTCTGATAGGTACCTGACTGACACTCAACCAGCTCTGATAGGTACCTGACTCACACTCAACCAGCTCTGATAGGTACCTGACTCACACTCAACCAGCTCTGATGGGTACCTGACTCACACTCAACTAGCTCTGATAGGTACCTGACTCACACTCAACCAGCTCTGATAGGTACCTGACTGACACTCAACCAGCTCTGATAGGTACCTGACTCACACTCAACCAGCTCTGATAGGTACCTGACTGACACTCAACCAGCTCTGATAGGTACCTGACTCACACTCAACCAGCTCTGATAGGTACCTGACTCACACTCAACCAGCTCTGATAGGTACCTGACTCACACTCAACCAGCTCTGATAGGTACCTGACTGACACTCAACCAGCTCTGATAGGTACCTGACTGACACTCAACCAGCTCTGATAGGTACCTGACTCACACTCAACCAGCTCTGATAGGTACCTGACTCACACTCAACCAGCTCTGATAGGTACCTGACTCACACTCAACCAGCTCTGATAGGTACCTGACTCATACTCAACCAGCTCTGATAGGTACCTGACTCACACTCAACCAGCTCTGATAGGTACCTGACTCACACTCAACCAGCTCTGATAGGTACCTGACTCACACTCAACCAGCTCTGATAGGTACCTGACTCACACTCAACCAGCTCTGATAGGTACCTGACTGACACTCAACCAGCTCTGATAGGTACCTGACTGACACTCAACCAGCTCTGATAGGTACCTGACTCACACTCAACCAGCTCTGATAGGTACCTGACTCACACTCAACCAGCTCTGATAGGTACCTGACTCACACTCAACCAGCTCTGATAGGTACCTGACTCACACTCAACCAGCTCTGATAGGTACCTGACTCACACTCAACCAGCTCTGATAGGTACCTGACTCACACTCAACCAGCTCTGATAGGTACCTGACTGACACTCAACCAGCTCTGATGGGTACCTGACTGACACTAGGGAAAATAAATGAGGCTGGGTATTGTGCTGACATCATCCCTCAGTATTATGAGTATGCTGAGGTTAAAAAACGAACTCTACTTCATCTGCCCTTCGGATCGTTAGATATGAAAGGGGAGCTTTTTACTTTTATTACTACTACTAAAGCTTCTCTACTGTAAACTATATTAGTAATATAAAAGTTCTCTTTCCTGCCCTAAAGAAAGAGTACTACCAATACAAGTACAACATATATTATAAACATATCAACTAAACCTATCAACAAAGCTGATTGTAATGCTGATGAATAAGTTTGTTAAACATTTATTGAATTATTAAGCCTACTATAGTTAACTATAATAATTGTTATTATTATAGTTACCCCACTATCTAGATCTAGAACTGTATTATTTTATTTCATATTTTTTCACCTCTGGCTCTTCTGAGATAACGTTACAGTTTTGTTAGATCTCTAAATCAAATAGTATTAGGCCTACTACTATTAAGCCCTACTAATAATTATATTTGTCATTAGGCCTAATTAATAATCATGAAGTTTGTTGGTTAGTTAGTTAGGTACTATTTATTAAATAGTATTTAAATTTAGGGCATTAGGCCTACTCTAGTTAATTTATAATTAGGCCTAATTTAATTAGGTGCCTAGTTAATAGTCAATAATAGTCAGTAAGTTGATGAATAGAGTTGAGTAGAGACAATACAATACTAATAGTATTACTAATAGACTTATAGAGTACTAATAGACTAAAAATAGTACTAGACATTGATCACATTGTTTTTACCTTAATATTGAATAATAAGTATAATATTAGTATTAGTTTGTACTTATTGTATTGTAATACAATAGAATTAGATCTAGAATTAGCTAAGTCCTCTGATTATTACTTACTAGATCTAGATATCTAGGATCTAGGCCTTGGCCTAATCAAAATTTAAGTAGAGTACAACTGCAAAAGCAAACTAATTTAAATCTAGACCTCAGATCTAGCTAGCCTAATCTTATTAAATTAAGGACAAGGTAAACAATATCAAGATCTAGTTGTTTTTTTTTAAGTTATTGATCTGACTAAGTAACTACATTTGTTTATTTGTGTTTTATTGATTATGTAGTCAGTACAGAAAAGTACTGTGGACTAGTCTAAAAAAAGTGATTATGCTACCCACCATCTGATTGAATGACGATCGGATTGTCCTGCGTGGAATCCATGTAGATTAGCTGGGGCGAAAATCTATATCCAGTTTAAGAAGGGGTGTAGTAATGTCGCTGTCTAGATATAAGTCCTAGTCTATAAGAAACATTTGAGGAATCATCAACAAATTAGGACAATGAACAGTATTCAGACCTCAGGCCTTTAGTTTTGATATACATTTTTCAAGGAAGTATTCTAACATACGGTGTCGATGATAATTTTGACGTATTGAATAAATATCATCAATCCATTCAAGTCCAAAAACAATATTTAGGTTTTATGCATAAAAACGAAGTAATGGAAATTATCATAGCGATATGTGATTGATAAAGTATTTATAATTAACCATAGTTAGCTACCTCCTTGTAATAAAAGTGACACTGAAACTGGACTAATAATAAAGTAACTTTTACATATAATTATCGATCTATAACTGCGACACCGCCTTCCTGTTTCATTGAGAAAACTAAATCTTATTCTTAATAAATGCATATTGACTAGATCTAGATCTAGATCTAGATCTACTATTTTAGATTTACTGCTGTTGAAACATAAAAAGACAAATTGTTTTTTTTTTTTAAAAATAAGATAAAGATCTAGATCTAACTATTAAGCGTATAGAAGAACGATCGGTCTCTTATTCTAGATCTAGAATCTAGATCTACTTTGATTGCCTACTTCTTTGAAAATATAACGTTCTCTTTCGCCGAGAAAATTGATACCGAAACATAGGGCCTACACTAGATCTGTAGACCTATATCAATGCCTGTACACAATGACACATGGGTTTCTATATAAAGGCCTATATAAAATGTAGGCCTATTTATTTATCTATATCCTATTTCAGGCTTAGAGTTTAAACCTTAGTTGAGACTTGAGACCTACTGATAGTATACTGTGACGCTAGGTCGTATAATTATCGAAATTATTAAAGTTCGTAGTTGCGTCACAAGGTAGGGTGACAGGTGTGGTGTGGTAACTATCGAGGGTGTTACCCCCCCCCCCCCCCCCACACACACACACACAATTTCTCTTTTTCGGTTAAATGCCCCATAGCGTACTATTTAAACGTGATAAAAGTTTGTTTTGACGAAAAATTAACTGACTTGGTATACTACTTAGTGAAATCTGAATTTATTGTTAATTTTGTGACTTGGTATACTATTTATAAATACTACTTTGTGAAACTTGAAATTATTGTTAATTTTAAACTGATTAAACGATTACATTATTTTTTAAAAACATGATACATGCCTTGATCTAATTTATATGTAGGCATATTCTTAAAAATATACATCGAAGCAGGCGAATATAATGAATATTTTAAAAGAAGTCACTACCATTTAAGGGAATATCCAGTTGTTTTTTTTCTCTCTCTCCTAAATGAAATGAACATATCAGGATTCTTAGTCTGTCGTTACGCAGGCAAATATTTTTTCCAGTCCAGTCATGCTTTGTCATTTTGGTTCTCCCCCCCCCCCCCCCCTGGAAGTGATGAAATTATCATCACGTGTAGAATGTAGGCCTACAACAATTAATCAATTCTACCAATAGCTTTTTTTAAAAACACGTTTCAAACAAATTATACAGCTACTAGGTGTAATAGATTGAGATAATTGTGAGGTCAAGGGAACTCACTCTTCTGTATTAGTATTATATTTATATTGTTATCTTGAGTGATGTCCCTTGTGCATTGTACTTCCTTCCGTCTCTCTCTGTGTGGTACCATCATGTAGTTAGACCCAATAAACGTTATATACAACCACATGCTTCTATCGTCAATCTATTATATCTGACGACGAGGATAAAGATCTACTAGAAAGAGCACCTACTTACGCAAAAAAGAGGTTTGCTAGAGCTTATTGGCTAAGTATTTCTAGAATAATGGCGCTGTATGGCCAAATAAAACAATTTGATTCGAATGATGAAATCATTCAGGATTACCTAGATAGGTTAAGCTTTTACCTAGAAGCTAACAACGTGACGATAGAAGCCAAAAAGAGAGCTGTTTTGTTAACAGTCATAGGGCCTCAACAATTTAGGCTACTAAAGGACTTATGCGCACCAGCTAGTCTAACTACCAAGAGCTTTAACGAGCTGAGCAAATTGCTAACAGACCACCATGCGCCTACCCCATCAAAGTTTCTATGTAGAGCTAGATTTGACGGTAGGACTCGTCAACCAAACGAGTCAATATCAGAATATGTTGCTGCTTTACGTCATTTAAGTAGATTTTGTGAATTCGGAGACACGCTGTCTGACAGACTATGTGAAAAGTTTGTGACAGGTGTAAACAGCCCTGATATTCAAAGAAAGTTGCTGCTCAAATCAGATCTAAAATTGGAAAAAGCAATACAACTTGCAATGTCATTCCAGCAGTCATCTGATGCAGCGAGATCTTTAGCACCTTCAGAGATCCATGCAGTAAACAGCAGGTTAGTCAATAAACATCAACCCCATCAGAGCATTTCAACTGATGCTAAACAGCCTGCTCGTTCAAATCCTAGATCTAAATCTAGTAATAATTATCAAAAATGTCATCGATGCAAAGGTCCCCATGCATCTCATCGGTGCAGGTTCAAGTCTGCAACTTGTTATAAGTGCAGTAAGCAAGGTCACATTGCCAAGGCCTGCTTTGCAAAGTCTTCGTCTGTTGCTAAATCTAGCCAGTCAAGACAGTACCGCAACCAAAGGCAGCACTATGTTAACTCTCACCAAGACTACCTAACCCAACCAATGAACCACTCTACCTGTGAAAATGCTCAAACTGATTCGCAGCCGGATTTCAACCTATTCTCTGTGAAATCAATAAGTCATGCTCCCATCAATGTACCAGTTAATATCAACGGTAAGAGCATCAGCTTCCAACTTGACACTGGAGCATCTCTAACAGTCATAACAAAGAAAGATTTTGACGCTGTCACAGGAGGATCAGTGTCTCTACAGCCGTGTCACAAGTGTCTAACAACATACACTGGTGACAATGTTCCGGTAATAGGAGAGTGTATGGTTCATGTAAGTTATAATGGTCAAAGTGTTAAACTTCCTCTTCTTGTGGTTGAAGGAAATGGACCACCATTACTAGGTAGGAACTGGTTAAGTGATCTTAAGTTAAATTGGGAGAGTATTTGTTCATTGAAGAATGTAAAAGAATCTAGTCTTACTTCACTAGATAGAGTTATATCTGAAAATAAATGTGTTTTTGGTAACTCTGGATTACTAAATGATAGAACAGTGAAGTTAAGCATTAAAGACACAAATCCAAGATACTGCAAAGCTAGAGTTCCACCTTATGCAATGAGGAATAAAATTGAAAATGAGCTAAGTAGATTGGAATCTAATGGCATCATAAAGAAGGTAGACTATTCCGATTGGGCGTCGCCCATTGTGCCAGTGTTAAAGAAGGATGGTTCTATAAGAATTTGTGGAGATTATAAAGCTACACTGAATAAGCAAATAGAGCTAAATAGGTACCCTATACCTAACATTGAGGAAATCTCTTTGAATTTGGCAGGAGGAGACAAATTCACTGAATTAGACTTTAGTCATGCTTACACTCAACTAGAACTGCATCCAGATTCAAAAGTCTATACGACAATAAACACACATAAAGGACTCTACCAATATGAAAGACTATGTTTTGGCATATCATCTAGCCCTGGAATTTTCCAAGCTGTCATGGACAGTATTTTTAAGGACATTCCAAATGTTTGTGTGTACTTTGACAATGTGTACATAACTGGTAAGAATGACACTGAACATCTTAAAACACTTGATAAAGTATTGAAAATTGTTGGTGAAAAAGGTTTAAAGATAAACAAAGATAAATGTCAATTCATGCTGACAGAAATTAGTTTTCTTGGTTATATATTGAGCAAACAAGGCATCAGACCTCAACCTGAGAAAACAAAAGCCATTAAAGAAGCACCCAAACCTGAAAATACCCAACAACTAAGAGCTTTTTTGGGCTTAATAAATTACTATGCAAAGTTCATAGGGAATCTGTCTGGTAAACTATCACCACTGTACAAGCTGCTACAGAAAAATGCAACTTGGCACTGGGGTAAACAACAAGAAGCTGCTTTTAATTCAGCAAAAGAGGCTTTGTCTTCTGACACCTTACTAACTCACTATGACCCAGGGAAAAGACTTGTATTGACATGTGATGCTTCACCAGATGGTGTAGGAGCAGTCTTGTCCCACATGGATGAGAAGGGTGACAGACCCATTGCTTTTGCCAGTAGATCTTTGAACCAGGCTGAGAAAAATTATTCTCAGTTAGATAGGGAAGGCTTAGGCATCATTTTTGGTGTTAAGAAAATTCATAAGTTTCTGTTTGGTAGGAAGTTCACCATCTTTACAGATCATAAACCATTGCTAGGTTTATTTGGAGAAAACAAAACCCTACCTGAGCATGCCTCACCAAGAATTCAAAGATGGGCTATCACACTAACTGCATACAATTATGAATTGAAATACAAACCTGGATCTGAGAATAGTGCAGATAGTCTTAGTAGATTACCTTTAAAAAACCAAAGCCTGAACTATGTACCAGAAGATGTATTTGTTCTCTACACTATCATGGATAACTCCAATATAAATGTGAATGATATTAAAAGAGAAACACAAAAAGATGAGTGCTTAATAAAAGTATATGAGTACTGTAGGAATGGTTGGCCTGAAGAGTCTGTGAATGATGACTTAAGGCCATATTAAATAAGAAATAAAACCCTTTGTGAAGATAATATAAAAGATGGAGAAGATGCAGTCCATTATCAGTCAGAGTTGCCTAAACAAAGTACTTGTAACTTAATAAATGATTATGGTGATATGGCAATTTCAAATGTTTTAAAGAGAATACATTAGTAAGAAGGAATGTGATCATCAAACAACTTTGCTAACATCATTAGCACTTACAGAAACTAAAAGGGTAACATCAAAAGAAAAAAAAAAGATTTTTTGCCATTTAATACTTTCAGATGCCAATTCAAAAATAGTTCCATTAAATCATGACAACTCATGCATTGAAAGAGAATTTGGTGTTAATAAGAATGTGTATCTAAGAAATTATGGGAGAAAGGAAAAATGGATACCAGGTCAAATTGTTCAATGTACAGGACCTGTGCCTTATAAAGTTAAAAATAACTTGTGCAGATAATAAGTGTGAATCTGTCAATCCCACCAAGTCTGATCAGTTCACACCAACTCAGTTTGTTCCACAACCAAGTTCTGTTGATATGAGTGAACCAAGTTGTCTGGAGTCAGAAAATGTAAATTCTGGAGTTAATGATTTAAATCCTAGACCTCCTGAGATAGAGAATCCAGATGGTCAGAATATTGAGTCACCAAATCAAAGGCCACTGAGAAGGTCAAGCAGGACAATCAAAGTCCCAAATAAGTTAGACCTATGATTTTAAAGGTCAAAAGGACTTTGACATTATTGTTTTGTATTTTAATTATGTTGTAACATATTGTGCATTGTTTGTAAGGATGTAATTTACCATTATGTTCATGTTACAATATAATTGGTGATTTTAGGATACTATCAATTGTTCTATTGAGAGATGTGTTATTGTGTTCTAAGGGTAAAGGGATGTAATAGATTGAGATAATTGTGAGGTCAAGGGAACTCACTCTTCTGTATTAGTATTATATTTATATTGTTATATTGAGTGATGTCCCTTGTGCATTGTACTTCCTTCCGTCTCTCTCTGTGTGGTACCATCATGTAGTTAGACCCAATAAACGTTATATACAACCACATGCTTCTATCGTCAATCTATTATCTCATTCTAGGCATGCTGCCCAGCTTCGCTTAGGCTTTCAAAAACATTGAGAATTTGAATGCTTAATTAATTCGCCCGAGGGTCGGTCTACGACCTCAGGAGCTATGAAGAGGTTCCTACGTGGACAATTTTTTTTCGATTTATAGCTCATATAAGGCGCCGGTCAGTTGAGGTCAGTTTTGACCCCCTCATCGTAGACCTTTAGGCCAACCGGCACCGGCCCCCGTGTTCTGTCGCCCCAAGGCAAAATCCTGCCAAATTTGAAGCGCCTGCGGCGCCGGGAAGTGCCCGATGTCGGACACCCGACAACTTTGCTTCATATATTATAGAGATTAGGAAATTGCATAGATAAACAAAGATTTCCAAAGTAGTTCCTTTCTTTATAGTCTAAAATAGGAAGATTCACATATAAAAAAAAAAAAAAAAAATATTAGGTTCGACTTGATCCAGCACCACCTGTCTCTGGTATCAAGTACACTATCATCTGTACCTTTTAAAATATGGAGAATAAAAGAAGTGGTCAAAAAAATAACTTACACGAATATGCCTATTTTTTCAAATTATTTTTTTTACCCAAAATTAGCCAGTTTCATTGCTAAACAAAGAAAGATTACTATAAAATATTTAAGTCCTGAAAAAGTTTATTATAGAAATTTATTTTTGGAATAGATTCTACAGTAGATAGAGTCTAAATCTAGATCTAGTTTAGAATCTAGAATTTTTTAAAGTTTAAGCCGAGAATATCGTATTGTGTAGTCAACATTTCATAGCGTACATAGCTCTAAATCATATTTGAATGAAATAGTTCATTTTTAAAATTCTAAACTCGGAAGATGACGTCATCAATTTTGTGCTCTTTTTTATTTAGTGTAAACAATAAGCGACGTCATTGTTAAATGCGTTCTTGTCCCAAGTTTATATACTTTTACGGTTGCATAAATAATACTGTTTCTCTACATTCGAATACGCCTTTATTTTTCTTCTTTAAATAAAATTGTGGTTATACATTTAAAACATCTAACATATTATTTTCAACAAAATTCCGTATAAAGGTATCCATATATCGCTGCCGATTCTGACGTGATGTCCGGCGAAAATATTTTGCGGACAGAGAGAGAGAAGAGCGCACATGGCCTTTTATATATTAGGATAATTCGTTTTCGTTCAGCACATAATCTTCTTGGTTACGTATGCAACAGTATTTTAAAAAAAACTGAAAGATACGAGTTAAGTAGATCAACATATGCGGTCAGACATTGATCAAGATCTACAAAAGTCGTCACTAAATGACGAGTCACTTTTAAAACCAAATTTACCCCACCCATGATCCATCAAAAAAGTCAGACCAACATAAAATACCACACTGAATAAATGCGTCTCCCCCCCCCCCCCCAAACCCATTAAAGTGTAGTTAAAATAAAATTATGTTGAATTTTCCATTTCTTTATAAAATACGCGCCTATAAATAATCTAGCTGTCCCTTAATAACAGGATATAAGTTGATATAACCAGTCAGTAATAACCGAAAGCGAAAAAAAAAATAGATCTAGCTATAAATATTTTAGTTAGTGTAGGAGTGCTTGTTTCGGCCAAAGGGAGAGGAAATACGCAAGAAAATAAACAATGTGCTTCCGCTCAACCGTTAAAAGGGGGGGGGGGGTATCAGCACAGTGTTTAAGATAGGAGAGAATATAAGCACCTTGCGTATTTCCTTTTAATTGGCATTGATATATGTAATAAACACGTCCGTTTATTTGCTATCCGGACTATTTCTTGCCGAGTAGATCGCTAATAAATATATTAAATATCACATTGTATTAAATTTTTGGCGAGATTGTGATCAATTTTATTTAAAATGTCCGCAAAAGTCTAGTAATGAAATGTGAATAGTAATGAACAACACATTTAAATATGTAGCACATGCGTAGGGCGAGTCCTGGGATTGTGTATGATGCAAGGATAATGTATGGCTATACATTTAATTAGAACACAAAATTTTAGTCGATGAAACTCGGAATTCAAGATATGTAGAGGTAGAGCGCACGACTGCTAACTCGAAAGTCTCGAGTTCCGATCCATGGCCTCTACGCGGGACATCACTGGGTCCACCCAGCTCAGATGGGTAGACTCACATTAGGTAAAACTAAAAGTAGGGAATATAATGTTGATCACCAGTGTTTCTTTCAGACATTTTTTCTCCGGGGAGGGGGGGGGGGGGTCAGAGTTTCTTTTTGTGGTCAGATTAAATTTATCATCGCGTCCTGACCCACGTTTCGATCGACGACGGACGACAGACATTACGAGGAAGCATGTTGAACAAAAGCTTGTAAAAACTTTAAAAAAAAATTAATCAGATTATTTGCAGGCGTTAACGTTTTGTCTTAATGTTGTTTATGCATTTTACACACATTGTGTTTTCGCTTCTGAGCAAAAGAGGTCGAACAAGAAACAGCTGGTGACGAGACCTTGAAGCGGAAACACCGAAGATGGGTTACACCTAGGGTCATGTTGAGAAATGGCATAGATCAGAGGACTCTGGCCAGAGTTTCTTCCAGGCATCTCTTCGGGGAAAAAAGTCTACCCCCCCCCCCGAACGAAATGGAATTTATATAGAAAATAATATACATTAACAGTGTCCGCCCCCCCCCCCCGAAAACTTCAAGTCCCCCCCCCCCCCCGGAGAAAAAAGTCTGGAAGAAACACTGATTCTGGCGATATTTGGTTGGCGGCCCATACCCAATAGGGGTGACGGGCAGTGATGATGTCATTGATGATGATGATCGATAGTCATGACATATAGATTTAGGCCTATTATATAGACAAAAATAAGTTAATAGTTTCTCCAAATAGCTTAGTCAATTTTGTGTAGAGACGCTTTAGTGCATAATGTTGGGCAGAGGCGTAGGGGGGGGGGGGGGTTCGGACCGCATCCGGTGACACCATTTTGCAAAAAATTGCAAAATGTGCAGAAAAAAAGCCCTTTGCTAGATCCATTAGTGATTACTTAAAATTAAATAGTCTTTTAAGTACAAATCGACAATTAGGCATATTAAAGAGGTTGAGGGTGACACCATGACGTAAACGTACTAACTACAGAGAAAGCAATGCTACAACCAACTGTATTATTAAAAACATCGTTACTACTAAGTCTGCAGTGATTAAAGCTTATACACATATGGCCTACATGCACGCTTATGTGGCATATCTTTAAATTATAGGCCGACACACACAAGGAGCCTATATATATATATATATATATATATATATATATATATATATATATATATACTATGTTTCTGTCTGGGGGGGGGGGGGGGTGACATCACGATGTGCCGCAACGGGCGCTGTATCCAGTGGCGTAGGCAGGGGGGTCATACCCCCCATAGACCTCTCGGTATATATATATATATATATATATATATATATATATATATATATATATAAAGTATGAGGTGGGGGGTACATCGAAACTTTGAGGGGGGGGGGGTGCAAATCAAAAGTGTGACAGGGGTTGCAAATCGAAAGTTTGAGGGGGGTGCAAATAAAAAGTTTGTCCCCGGGTAAAAATTTGAACCCCCCCCCCCCCCATGAGACGATCCTGGCTACGCTACTGGGTATATCAACTATCAACTTCTGAGAGATTAACTAACAATATTTCGGTTCCGAAAAAATATGCATTACGCATCTTGGACATATCAACAGGAAAACTTAGACACAAAAATATAAGTTATACTTAGTGTCTTTAGTCAAACTTGTAAACGAAAGTTTACACCATTTTCTATCTTGACAAAATCTAACTTAACAAAATCTGATAACAATCCAGTGTGACATAAACTTTGACATAACAGTGTGTTTAATGTTTTAAAAACATTAAATCAAAGATTACAATATTAAGTTAACATATTTACACGCTTTTACATATTTGTTGTGTTTATTTCGTTTATAGTTTAGAATTTTGATTCTAGATCTAGACTAGATCTAGATTTAGATTCTAGTACTATACTAGATCTAGATCTAGATCTATATGCGATGGAATATGATTTTTAAAAAGTTGATAAAAACGATGATAATAACACGTTTTTATTTTCTAACAAGCTTTTTTTTTAAAAAAATCATTTTATATTATCTTTTTAGAGCATATAGAGGGGTCTAGATCTAGATCTAAATCTAGATTAGATCTAGAATCTATAAAAGATTTCTTGTATTTAAGATTTTATGAAAATAGTCTTGTCTACATTTCATTTTCATAATAATACAAATCAGCAGAATAAAAAAAGAGACATTCGGGTAAGTGGAGAAACCATGGAATCATATCAACAGTGGAGTATTATTATTGAAATAAACTACGAAAGTGGGTTGGGCAAATCTACATTTTATCAGAGTTAAATGCAGTTCAAATACAACAATGGCACTTTCTTATTGTATTAACAGCTTCAAGTAGTCATACTAGATCTATATGGAGTAAACACGAACTGAGTAACAATTCATAGTTGTGATGGCTTTCAAGCTGAAATTAAAATCTTTGATTGGAGGACGACAGGTAACTTAAACTTTTTTTAGTTTTACAATTTTTTTGTAAGTACTAAAAAAAGTAGCTCTAGATCTAGATCTAGTAGGTTAAGTCAGTTAAGTGAAAAAAAAAAATTTTAAATAAGTAGGGTTTAGTTTTAGATCTAGATCTAGTTTTAATTTTCTGTTTAATTTCTGGATGCCAAGTTCATCAAGTTGGACTTTGTTGTGCACTTTACTCAGTTACTGTCTTTACAAACTACAACTAGCTTTCTAAATTACAACTTTTAACTTTTAGGCCTAATAATAAATGTGGGTTGCATTAGGACTTTGGTAAAATCAGGATATAGCGTCGGAAATTATTGGGTAATGTTCGTTGAGTTTCGGTAACATTTGTTACTGTAAACCATAGTTTTTTTTACCGTTGAAAGAAAAATAAAGTCAAGTGCATTAAATTAATGTTTTAACTTAATTTAATTTTTAACTGACAAAAAATTAGCAACAATTAGTAAATCTAAATATAACTAATAAAGTCGAGTGTAGTAATTAATGTTTTTTTTTAAGAAACAGAAAAAACCTGCAGAAGATTTGCGACAACCAGCTCTAGTTCTGTTAGTAAATAAGACGATTAGATTTACTAAAGTTAAAAGTAGTAAGAATAACTAGAATAATGTTTAGTAGCAGCAATAATTAGCACATACACTTAAAATAATTAGAAATACAAAATAATTAGCAAAGCAGTATTTAAATTGCAACTAAAATCAATCCTTGTACATTTTTCAACATTATGTATTAAAAATAATATGGCGGCAAATAAATGATGGTTTACAGTATTTCCGGTGGTTTCCGGAACGGCTCGACAGACTACTGTTTTTTTACTGCTGTACAGTTCCGGAATAATAACCGACGCTATATTGTGATTTTACCAGGACTTTTAGGTACGTAAAATCAGCCGAGGCTAGTAATGTGAAAAGAAGGTGCCTCATTAAATTTTAGTAATTATTTAACATTTTAAGGAAGATATTATATCACATAGCCTATATAATGTTTTGAAAGTTACAAAAATGTTTCAGTTTCATTCATGTACCTGTTTTTAAACAATTTTTTTAAAAACTTTTCAGTAATAAATAAAGACTAGCTATGTTTTCATCAGTTGCAACAAAGCTCGTTTACTTCAGCAGCCATCTTGTTTGAGGTTTTTTTTTTGTAAACTTATAATAGCGGGAGATTCAGGGGAAGCCACTCTATTTTACAAATGGCTGCTGTTTATATAGCAAATATAGCTCGCAAACACTGCTGTTTAAAGTTAATTTCTGGCCTATATTGATATATTTAGCCATTGATTTTGGTTTAATATTCAATTATCCATAATATTTGACACAAATATATCACAATATACTTCTATTAAAGCCTTAACAATGAGGTAACTTTGGCGCACATGACTAGCCCAAAACCAAGTATGATGGAGAGTTGTGGTTCCATCCCTGTGTGTACAGGACTGAGGAATGATAATGATTAACTCAGTACTAATTACTGTCATACTACATATTTTTATTTTTACTTTCCTCCTTTTAGTCTTAGACCTTTAGTTATGTCTAGAAGTGGAATAAGGAGACCTCTCTGATTGTATGTCATTGCATGTTACTTGTCTAGAATCTGGAATAAATGTTTAGTATGTAGGCCCTAGGACAGGGTATTTAAATATTTAATACAAGTCTGTATTAGTAGTACTTAGTAGTACCTGAATACCTATTTATTATTATTTGTAGTGATGTAATGTAATGCATGGTTACTTTTTAAGGAGAGCATTCAGTCTCCTTTAGAAGAAACAGTGACAGACATTCTAAATGTTGGCGCAGCAGTCACCAAAAGTAAAGTAAGTAAACAGTAAAAGTAGATGTATATTCAACAGTCTGTAGGAGTATAGTCTAGAGAACAGTAGTAGATCTAAACAGTTTTAGCAAATCATTTTATCTTTCTGCAATACAGATGATATAGATCTAGGCCAACAGAATATATATTGGAAATAAAAATAACACCTAAAACACCTTAAAATATTTCACATTACAAATGATTAGTCTGGTCTAGAGACTACATCCTTGTATTAGTATTAGCTGCACACTTTTTTCAGCGTATTGAAATAGTCAGTTTGTTTTAGGTTGAACAGAGAGCTGTCAACCCACACGATGAACAAGAAATAATTGATGGCATTGAGCAGAGTTACTACAACAATGAGACCTTTGACACCAGTCTTCATGAGTTACAGGTAAATCCCAGCCAAAACTTTTGGAATTTATGTTGTCATAGAAAGAAATGACTGGGGGTAATTGAAAGGAGGGGTCAAATGTCATGCTCCAGTTTTAAGCCACTCTTATCCTATTATGGAACATTACTGAACATCTCTGAAGGCATAAACACACTGAGCCAACCCAGACACACACTACAAAAAAGTACAACCAACTTTACTACTACTATGATATGGATTATTAAAAATAATAATGAGGGGAATCACATCAATTTACAGACTAATTTTACAGTTTTATAAACTAATTTTGCAATAAAAATTAATTATAACATAATTATTACTAATATTTGAGATAGAAAGAGTTTAGTGAATAAAAAATAATAAATTATAACACAATTATTACTAATATTCGAGATATAAAGAGTTTAGTGAATAAAAAATAATAGCAAAAAACTTCGCTCTATACTACCCTATCCAATTCACATTACTTTTTTTAAAAAAATATAATTAAAAACAACTTGCATGTTTTTGTAAATTAATTATTCTAATCAGTTTAACTGTCAAAGATCTTAGGTCAAAACTGTTTGCATTGCTCTTTCTTTGAGTTTTCTCATTAGTACTTTTAACTATTGAATAGCAAAAAACTTTTCAATGCTCTATTTAAAAGTCAATACCTCAGAAAATTTGCACCAAACGCACTAATGAACTAATTTCCCCGTTAGAATGAGCGTGAACCGCACATTTTATCAAGAAAAATTCTCTGCAACTTATTTGCAAGTACCAGATCTAATGGGTGTGAGTAGCATACAAACAAACCACACTTTGGTTTTTAGGGTATAGGTAATGGATCTCACTTTTATAGATATAGGGTAATGAATCCCACTCAACATTTTCAACAGTGTCTGTTATGGTTGAATGATGTGCAAAACCCTTGTCATTATGTCAATACATTAAATGTTACAGATGTTTTTGCTTATAGTGGGATTGGAAAGATTAACAGAGTAAACAAAGTGAACATTTTCTCCTCTTGACCATTTTGTTTTCAGAAATTGCCAGAGCAGTTAGATCTAGATAAGATTACTGAAGACTGTACTAAGCTAAGGACCCAGCTACAAGCTGTAAGTGCTTCAGCTAATTTTTAATGTTTTTTTTTTTTATTATGAAACCTTATTTATTGCTCAATAGTAGTTTACATTACATTAGTTAAACAATTGTGTTTTTATATAATGATGCTGTATAAACATTGAGTAAAGACTAGGTGTCAAACTTTGTCTACCCTACCTACTTGCAGGTGTTTTTAATGATGCTGTATAAACATTGAGTAAAGACTAGGTGTCAAACTTTGTCTCCACTACCTACTTGCAGGTGTTTTTAATGATGCTGTATAAACATTGGGTAAAGACTAGGTGTCAAACTTTGTCTCCACTACCCACTTGCAGGTGTTTTTAATGATGCTGTATAAACATTGAGTAAAGACTAGGTGTCAAACTTTGTCTACACTACCCACTTGCAGGTGTTTTTAATGATGCTGTATAAACATTGAGTAAAGACTAGGTGTCAAACTTTGTCTCCACTACCTACTTGCAGGTGTTTTTAATGATGCTGTATAAACATTGAGTAAAGACTAGGTGTCAAACTTTGTCTACACTACCTACTTGCAGGTGTTTTTAATGATGCTGTATAAACATTGAGTAAAGACTAAGTGTCAAACTTTGTCTACACTACCTACTTGCAGGTGACCAAAAGAGTATCAGAACTGATCCTACAGAACCACCCAGCCTATGCCACAGAGTTACAGCGTGTGATGGACCTTCAGAGGACACTGCGCTCAGCTGGTCTTGTCTGTCGGAGTGGTAGAAGGTACATGCTTCTTGTTTCATCTATAGCTTGTGGTCAGCTGGTCTTGTTTCATCTATAGCTTGTGGTCAGCTGGTCTGGTTTCATCTATAGCTTGTGGTCAGCTGGTCTTGTTTCATCTATAGCTTGTGGTCAGCTGGTCTTGTTTCATCTATAGCTTGTGGTCAGCTGGTCTTGTTTCATCTATAACTTGTGGTCAGCTGGTCTGTCAGAGTGGTAGGAGGTAGATGTTTCTTGTTTCATCTATAGCTGCCATGTGTTCATGTTTTGATCCACCTGATGTGAAAATGTTACTGCCATGTGTTTGTGTTGATCCACCTACTGCCATGTGTTTGTGTTGATCCACCTGATGTGAAAATGTTACTGCCATGTGTTTGTGTTGATCCACCTGATGTGAAAATGTTACTGCCATGTGTTTGTGTTGATCCACCTGATGTGAAAATGTTACTGCCATGTGTTTGTGTTGATCCACCACATGTGAAAATGTTACTGCCATGTGTTTGTGTTGATCCACCTCATGTGAAAATGTTACTGCCATGTGTTTGTGTTGATCCACCACATGTGAAAATGTTACTGCCATGTGTTTGTGTTGATCCACCTCATGTGAAAATGTTACTGCCATGTGTTTGTGTTGATCCACCTGATGTGAAAATGTTACTGCCATGTGTTTGTGTTGATCCACCTGATGTGAAAATGTTACTGCCATGTGTTTGTATTGATCATGTGAAATGTGTTTCTATCATCAGACAACTGAATGAAGCCAGAGAAAATTTTACTATAGCCAGTCTGGGACTTCTGGCCAACTACAGAAAAAGACAGCAGCTCATTGGTTTGCTGAAGTCGTTGGGAACTATTAAAACTTTACAGAGAACAGATCTTCGTTTGCGAGAGATGATGGAGGTAACTGCATTAGAGTAGCTTGTAGGTTGTAAGGTCTTTTTGTAGGTTTAACAGGTAAGGTCTTGTTGTTGTAGGTTTGATTGGTAATGTCTTGTTGTAGGTTTGACAGGTAAGGTCTTGTTGTAGGTTTGACAGGTAAGGTCTTGTTGTAGGTTTGACAGGTAACATCTTGTTGTAGGTTTGACAGGTAAGGTCTTGTTGTGAAATTCATTTGAATATGTTGTAGACCTAAGTAGTATTAATGTAAAAAAAAGATTGGGTCTAAACACAGATTAATAAAGCCAATTTCTGTTACAGGAAGAAGATTACTGTGGTGCTATCCAGTTGTGTCTTGAATGTCAGAAGGCTGCCAGCACCTTCAAGCATTACAGGTGTATTAGGTCAGTTGTTGGTCATGTATTAGGTCAGTTGGTGGTACATGTAAGACTAAGATTGCAACAGAAAAACTGACTGTGATATAAAAATATTATGACAGACAGACTGAGCTTGTGACAGGCATACTGAGATTGTGATGGGCATACTGAGATTGTGACAGGCATACTTAGATTGTGACAGGCATACTTAGATTGTGACAGGCATACTTAGATTGTGACAGGCATACTTAGATTGTGACAGACATACTTAGATTGTGACAGACATACTTAGATTGTGACAGGCATACTTAGATTGTGACAGACATACTTAGATTGTGACAGGCATACTTAGATTGTGACGGGCATACTTAGATTGTGATGGGCATACTTAGATTGTGACAGGCATACTTAGATTGTGACAGGCATACTGAGATTGTGACAGGCATACTTAGATTGTGATGGGCATACTGAGATTGTGACTATTATTATTCTGACAGACAAAGATAAGGACAAAGCTTGTGACAAACAAGATTGTGACTGAGAAGATTGTGACAGATAAGATTGTGACAGTGAAGATTGTGACAGTGAAGATTGTGACAGATAAGATTGTGACAGATAAGATTGTGACACAGAAGATTGTGACAGTGAAGATTGTGACTGAGAAGATTGTGACAGATAAGATTGTGACTGAGAAGATTGTGACAGTGAAGATTGTGACAGTGAAGATTGTGACAGTGAAGATTGTGACTGAGAAGATTGTGACAGTGAAGATTGTGACAGTGAAGATTGTGACTGATTGTTGCAGTGAGCTGAGCTCTAAGCTACAGGACACTCTGGAGATGATAGAAGAACAGCTGGATGTGGCTTTATCCAAGACTTGCGCAGGCTTTGATCAGCTACACTATCAGAAGGTCCAGAGAGCCTACAAGCAGCTGGGCAAAACACAGGTAGGACTTTATGGGCTAAACACAGGTAGGACTTTATGGGCAAATCACAGGTGGGACTTTATAGGCTAAACACAGGTAGGACTTTATGGGCAAATCACAGGTGGGACTTTATGGGCTAAACACAGGTAGGACTTTATGGGCAAAACACAGGTAGGACTTTATGGGCAAAACACAGGTAGGACTTTATGGGCAAAACACAGATAGGACTTTATGGGCAAAACACAGGTAGGACTTTATAGGCTAAACACAGGTAGGACTTTATGGGCAAATCACAGGTGGGACTTTATGGGCTAAACACAGGTAGGACTTTATGGGCAAAACACAGGTAGGACTTTATGGGCAAAACACAGGTAGGACTTTATGGGCAAAACACAGATAGGACTTTATGGGCAAAACACAGGTAGGACTTTATGGGTAAAACACAGGTAGGACTTTATGGGCAAAACACAGGTAGGACTTTATGGGCTAAACACAGGTAGGACTTTATTGGGAGTGGGCAAAACACAGGTAGGACTTTATGGGCAAAACACAGGTTGGACTTTATGGGCAAAACACAGGTAGGACTTTATGGGCTAAACACAGGTAGGACTTTATGGGCTAAACACAGGTAGGACTTTATGGGAAAAACACAGGTAGGACTTTATAGGGAGATGGGCAAAACACAGGTAGGACTTTATAGAGAGATGGGCAAAACACAAGTAGGACTTCATAGAGAGGGGCAAAACACAGGTAGGACTTTATAGGGAGATGGGCAAAACACAGGTAGGACTTTATAGGGAGATGGGCAAAACACAGGTAGGACTTTATAGGGAGATGGGCAAAACACAGGTAGGACTTTATAGGGAGATGGGCAAAACACAGGTAGGACTTAATGGGCAAATTACAGGTAGGACTTTATAGGGAGATAGGCACACAGGTAGGACATTGTGAATTTTGTAAGTAAAACTTAAATTTATTCCTTGTTAGAAGCCATACTTTATTAACAATTTTATTTGAATTAATTTGTTATCTTTACAATAATGTATTTGTTAGCAAAATTTGAATTACAAATTTAATTTGGTAGTCATACAATAATTAATTTGCTAGCCGTACATTAAGTAATGTGGTAGCCATATTTGAATTAATTTGGTAGCCATACAATAATTAATGTGGTAGCCATATTTGAATTAATTTGGTAGCCATACATTAATTAATGTGGTAGACATATTTGTATTAATGTGGTAGCCATACATTAATTAATGTGGTAGCCATACATTAATTAATGTGGTAGCCATATTTGTATTATTGTGGTAGCCATACATTAATTAATGTGGTAGCCATATTTGTATTAATGTGGTAGCCATACATTAATTAATGTGGTAGCCATACATTAATTAATGTGGTAGCCATATTTGTATTAATGTGGTAGCCATACATTAATTAATGTGGTAGCCATATTTGTATTAATGTGGTAGCCATACATTAATTAATGTGGTAGCCATATTTGTATTAATGTGATAGCCATACATTAATTAATGTGGTAGCCATACATTAATTAATGTGGTAGCCATATTTGTATTAATGTGGTAGCCATACATTAATTAATGTGGTAGCCATATTTGTATTAATGTGGTAGCCATACATTAATTAATGTGGTAGCCATATTTGTATTAATGTGGTAGCCATACATTAATTAATGTGGTAGCCATATTTGTATTAATGTGGTAGCCCATTAATGAACTATTGTAGGTCTGGGCTCTGTTGTTCCTTTCTCTCATCCTCCAACATGTTTTCTAGACTGCGATGGACCAGCTACACATGCATTTTGCCAGTGCCATCCACAACACAGCCTTCACCATCATTCTTGGATATGTGGAGCTTACGTCAGGTGGGGGAGGGGCAGTCAACTTCCAGAAGAGACAGTACCCAGACCTTTGCAAGGTAACATTGGCAGTGGGGGGGTGTACATCAGGTTGCGCAGGGTGTGTATGTTTGCTGGTTTGTTTGCTGGTATGTCTGGGGGTATGTCTGAGGGTGTTGGCGTATCAACCTCAGAGATCTAACTTTTCTGCTTTCTTCTGAAAAGCAGATTTTTCCACCTGAAATAGTTCTTGGTGAAAAAAAAACCATAGAAAAACATTGGAAATATTTTCAGCCAATACATTTTTCTGACTCCACTCTCTCGACTTTACCCCATTATTTTACATAATTTCATAAATCTAGTCAGAAGTGGCTGGCAGTCCTGAAAAAAAACATTAGTGGTTAGGTGTGTGGGGCTGTAGACCGAACTTGTTGATGCCATTAGTTGTGTGGTTGTCTAGCTATTGATGATGATATGAGATGGGGTCTTGTTAATGTGATGTTAGTTATGTACAATTGCTAGGCTGCACATTACATATAACTTTATCAATCTGCTTCTTTATAGGATTATCTCTTGCAGATATGTAACATTTCAGTTTTTATAGTATAAGCTTTTTCCAGAAAAACAAACAAATGGCAGATATCTTTTGCATCAATTTAAACTCTTTCTATTTTGTATTGAAAAAAATAATGCAAATTGATTTGAAAGACAATGAAGTTAGTGGAACATTTATGAGTCCACCCAGCTCTGATGAATTTCTCACTCGTGTTAGGGAAAATAAAGGTGGCTGGGGATAGTTCTCAATACACGATCCATTCATAGGCACTTGTTCACAGAAACTCATGAACTCTACTTCACTTGCCCCATGGACAGTCTGTTTCGAAAAGGGAACTTTACTTCATAAACTGTTGTTAATTAAATAGCAATTAAATTTTAGAAGGAAAATGATAAAGCAAACTATTGTACATAATTTGTGTATTACTTTGCAATTTGTCCTCTTTTAGTAAAATGGTCAGTTAAAAAAATGACTGTTCAACTGAATAAATCTGTTCAAAATGTCATTTGTTCCATGCAATCCAAAAAGCAGATGCAGTAATGAAGGAAGTAGCCATTTCATAGGGAGCCACTTTGTCTGAAGCCATTTTGTTGGGAGTCAGTTAGTCTTAAGCCATATTGTAGGGAGTCAGTTAGTCTTAAGCATTTTGTAGGGATTTGTCTTAAGCCATTTTGTCAGTTAGTCTCTAGTCATTTTGCAGGGATCACTTTATTTTAAGCCATTTTGAAGTAGTCAGTAAGTCTTTAGCCATTGTGTAGGGAGCCACTTTATCTTTGACTAGAGGCTGATTGTTGACATTGATGTTGAATGGTTGTTTTGATAAGGCAATGTTACTTTTGAACCTTCACAACTTTGACCACATGCTTTAAATTGTTTGACAGAATATAACCATTGAAACCTTCACCCTCCCTGTCTTGTTCATCTGTTGACAGAATATAACCATTGAAACCTTCACCCCCTGCCTTGTTGATTTGTGCAAGGCATTGTGGGAAGTGATGAAAAGTTACTACAAGACCATGAAATGGCATGAGGTCAATGACCAGGACATGACCCCTGCTGAACTAGGTCTGTTTGGAGATGATCACACACAAATATTTAAGTAGATAACTAGCTTATATTGATCTGTGTTAATTTTAGTTTTTTTTTTAGCTTTTATCTACTAGTTGATTACCAGCTATGGTGTTTGTTACTTTTTTTTGTCTAACTTGAAATTTGAACCAACAGAAGATCCAGGCACAAATGTTGAGTCGACGTTTAACAGACGGTACGTGAATCAAAAGTTGGAATATGGGCGTGGCCGCGTCTGGCAGGACGTCCAGCAGAAAGTCAAGATGTTTGTGCTGGCCACCAACCTGAGCGGCTTCAAGCTGGACGAGTTTATCTACGTGCTGGACATCATCAACAGGTACAATCTGGTTACATCTGGTGTACACAGGTTGTCTGCTTACATCTGGTGTACACAAGTTGTCTGGTTACATCTGGTTACATCTGGTGTACACAAGTTGTCTGGTTACATCTGGTGTACACAAGTTGTCTGGTTACATCTGGTGTACACAAGTTGTCTGGTTACATCTGGTGTACACAAGTTGTCTGGTTACATCTGGTGTACACAAGTTGTCTGGTTACAGCTGGTGTACACAAGTTGTCTGGTTACATCTGGTGTACACAAGTTGTCTGGTTACAGCTGGTGTACACAAGTTGTCTGGTTACATCTGGTGTACACAAGTTGTCTGGTTACATCTGGTGTACAAACGTTGTCTGGTTACATCTGGTGTACACAAGTTGTCTGGTTACATCTGGTGTACACAAGTTGTCTGGTTACATCTGGCGTACACAAGTTGTCTGCTTACATCTGGTTACATCTGGTGTACACAAGTTGTCTGCTTACATCTGGTGTACACAAGTTGTCTGGTTACATCTGGTGTACAAACGTTGTCTGGTTACATCTGGTGTACACAAGTTGTCTGGTTACATCTGGTGTACACAAGTTGTTTGGTTACATCTGGTGTACACAAGTTGTCTGGTTACATCTGGTGTACACAAGTTGTCTGGTTACATCTGGTGTACAAAAAATGATCTGTTTACAATGGTGTACAAGAGCAAGTCTGAAGGTCTGCTGTTTGTGTTTGTAGGATGATTGAGATTGGGGAGGAGTTCTGTGGCAGCAAGTCTGAAGGTCTGCTGTTTGTGTTTGTAGGATGATTGAGATAGGGGAGGAGTTCTGTGGCAGCAAGTCTGAAGGTCTGCAGGACTCCCTCAAGCAGCAGAGTCTCAACTACTTCAAGACACACCACCAGATACGCCTGGACGAGCTGCGCATGTTCCTTGAGAACGAGGCCTGGGAGATGTGTCCTGTCAGGTCCAACTTCAACATCCTGCAGCTCATGGTAAGGCTTGCTTGGTGCTCTCATGGTGAGACATGGCTGAAGGTCATGGTTAGACAGGGCTGCATTACATTGGTTACATTGGTGGTGAGACTGATGTTTTCTCTATCAGGAGTTCAGGTTCATGAGAAAATGGGCCAACTCTCGTCACTTGATCCCAGAAAATGAGCGTAGGAAGGGAGAGAATTTTGAGGCAGCTAGCCCTGATGGAGATGGGAAAAGCTACTTTGGACTTTACTTGGAGGAAGGAAATCCTTTTGATAAGCAGGTGGAGGAAGAGGAAAAGGAGGACGTGTTTTCTGGATTAGGGGTGAGCTGTATTTTTTTACAAGCTTTTATTTAACTCGCTTCCTCTGTCGTCAGTCTGTCTAGACCGAAACGCCAGAGTGAAAATTCGGACACTTCTACTTGACCGATACGATTCACACTTGGCACGTGGGTCAAGACATGAAGACAATGCAATCTGAAATTAAATTTGACTTAATTGGATGCCTAATTAATTTTTTATGAATTAATTAAAATTTAAACCGAATCAATAGGCATGTCTATCCAACCACACCACACGCGTCATCACGTTCAATAGCTGCGCCATCAGGTTTAATAGCTGCGCCATCACGTTCAATAGACGCGCAATGGTTTTTAGTCATGTAACACTATTGTGAATAAAACATGTAAAGTACTGAAAAAAAAATTCATAAAAAACGTTTTAATAACAAGCTTTTATGTAATGATGCACTAAAAAGTAGAAAATAAATTATATACTACTATTTAAATTACCATAAAGAAAAGCGTGGGTCTCTTCTCAAATATTAGTAAAGGTATCCAATAGCTACTAAAGTACTAAAGTGACCCACGCTTTTCTTTATAGTAATTTAAATAGTAGTATATATAATTTATTTTCTACTTTTCTCCCCCCACCTGTCTGGTTAACTTTTCTCCCCCCACCTGTCTGGTTAACTTTTCTCCCCCCACCTGTCTGGTTAACTTTTCTCCCTCCACCTGTCTGGTTAACTTTTCTCCCCCCACCTGTCTGGTTAACTTTTCTCCCTCCACCTGTCTGGTTAACTTTTCTCCCCCCACCTGTTTGGTTAACTTTTCTCCCTCCACCTGTCTGGTTAACTTTTCTCCCTCCACCTGTCTGGTTAACTTTTCTCCCCCCACCTGTCTGGTTAACTTTTCTCCCTCCACCTGTCTGATTAACTTTTCTCCCTCCACCTGTCTGGTTAACTTTTCTCCCCCCACCTGTCTGGTTAACTTTTCTCCCTCCACCTGCCTGGTTAACTTTTCTCCCTCCACCTGTCTGGTTAACTTTTCTCCCTCCACCTGTCTGGTTAACTTTTCTCCCTCCACCTGCCTGGTTAACTTTTCTCCCTCCACCTGTCTGGTTAACTTTTCTCCCTCCACCTGCCTGGTTAACTTTTCTCCCTCCACCTGTCTGGTTAACTTTTCTCCCTCCACCTGTCTGGTTAACTTTTCTCCCTCCACCTGCCTGGTTAACTTTTCTCCCTCCACCTGTCTGGTTAACTTTTCTCCCTCCACCTGTCTGGTTAACTTTTCTCCCTCCACCTGTTTGGTTAACTTTTCTCCCCCCACCTGTCTGGTTAACTTTTCTCCCCCACCTGTTTGGTTAACTTTTCTCCCTCCACCTGTCTGGTTAACTTTTCTCCCTCAACCTGTCTGGTTAACTTTTCTCCCTCCACCTGTCTGGTTAACTTTTCTCCCTCACCTGTCAGGAAAACGAGGACGGCTATGCAGATTCTGACAGTGACTCAGACATTCCTGAAGAACTTAAAAAAGATTACATCGATGAAATTACTGGCGAGGCCCATTCATACAAGTAAATTGTTTATATAGTCAGTTACATCGATGAAATTACTGGCGAGGTCCATTCATACAAGTAAATTGTTTATATAGGCGGAACAGAACTCACCCACCCTCAACGGCAGCTGGTTGTATGCTTATAGAACCATCTGCCATTGGGGGGGGGGGGGGTGATTGTGTTTTAGGATTGTGATTGTCTTTAATATGGCTGTACAGATATTTTATGCATTGATTGATTCAATTCTGAGCAGACATGGAAGGCGCCGCGGCTCAAACAGAAGCAAGTCTCACAAACAAGGTCCACTCATCACCAATACAACACTCAACGTGCTGCGTGTGATGGGTGAGTTCACACTAAACACCTGCTACCTTGTACTGTTGATCCTGTTGGAACATAAAACACAACCACACACAACCCAATCACATCCAACCCAACCCAACCACATCCAACCCAACCACACCCAACTTAACCACATCCAACCCAACCATACCCAACCCAACCACACCCAACCCAACTATACCCAACCCAACCACATCCAACCCAACCATACCCAACCCAACCACATCCAACCCTACCATACCCAACCCAACCCAACCACATCCAACCCAACCATACCCAACCCAACCCAACCACATCCAACCCAACCATACCCAACCCAACCCAACCACATCCAACCCAACCATACCCAACCCAACCATACCCAACCCAACCACACCCAACCCAACTATACCCAACCCAACCACATCCAACCCAACCATACCCAACCCAACCACATCCAACCCTACCATACCCAACCCAACCCAACCACATCCAACCCAACCATACCCAACCCAACCCAACCACATCCAACCCAACCATACCCAACCCAACCATACCCAACCCAACCCAACCACATCCAACCCAACCATACCCAACCCAACCACATCCAACCCAACCATACCCAACCCAACCATACCCAACCCAACCATACCCAACCCAACCCAACCACATCCAACCCAACCATACCCAACCCAACCCAACCACATCCAACCCAACCATACCCAACCCAACCATACCCAACCATACCCAACCCAACCATACCCAACCCAACCCAACCACATCCAACCCAACCATACCCAACCCAACCATACCCAACCCAACCACTTCCAACCCAACCGAAACACACCCAACCCAACCATACCCAACCATACCCAACCATACCATACCCAACCCAACCCAACCACATCCAACCCAACCATACCCAACCCAACCATACCCAACCCAACCACTTCCAACCCAACCGAAACACACCCAACCCAACCACACAACCCAACCACATCCAACCTGACCTTGACCCTGACCATTGTGTATTGTCTGACCCACCAGGCAAGTACCTCCAGATGATCTCCATCCTCAAGCCCATAGCTTTTGATGTCATCAGCTGCATGTCACAACTCTTTGACTACTACCTGTTTACAGTAAGTCATATGTCATATGTCATCAGCTGCATGTCACAACTCTTTGACTACTACCTTTTTACAGTAAGTCTCTTGTCATATGTCATATGTCATCAGCTGCATGTCACAACTCTTTGACTACTACCTTTTTACAGTAAGTCTTTTGTCATCTGTTGTCATAACTCTCTTGTCATTTGTCATCTGTTTTCATCTGTTATCACAAGTCTGTTGTCATGTCTCTTGTTTCCCGTCGTCATAACTCTCTTGTCATCATTTGTCATCTGTTATGGTTTAGATGTTCAACTTTTCTTTTCTCTTCTCTAGGTTTATTCTTTCTTTGGCTCTGAAGTGGTAAGTTTAATTCAAGGTGGATGTTTCAATTTGTTAGTTTTAAAATGTTGATGAATTGATTTGTGTTTAATTTTTTATTTTATAATTTTTAAATGAGTTCAATATTTTCAATATGTAATCATGTAAGCGTGTAAGTTGTTCCTGGTGAACTAGACCAATGTAAGTTGTTCCTGGTGAACTAGACCAATGTAAGTTGTTCCTGGTGAACTAGACCAATGTAAGTTGTTCCTGGTGAACTAGACCAATGTAAGTTGTTCCTGGTGAACTAGACCAATGTAAGTTGTTCCTGGTGAACTAGACCAATGTAAGTTGTTCCTGGTGAACTAGACCAATGTAAGTTGTTCCTGGTGAACTAGACCAATGTAAGTTGTTCCTGGTGAACTAGACCAATGTAAGTTGTTCCTGGTGAACTAGACCAATGTAAGTTGTTCCTGGTGAACTAGACCAATGTAAGTTGTTCCTGGTGAACTAGACCAATGTAAGTTGTTCCTGGTGAACTAGACCAATGTAAGTTGTTCCTGGTGAACTAGACCAATGTAAGTTGTTCCTGGTGAACTAGACCAATGTAAGTTGTTCCTGGTGAACTAGACCAATGTAAGTTGTTCCTGGTGAACTAGACCAATGTAAGTTGTTCCTGGTGAACTAGACCAATGTAAGTTGTTCCTGGTGAACTAGACCAATGTAAGTTGTTCCTGGTGAACTAGACCAATGTAAGTTGTTCCTGGTGAACTAGACCAATGTAAGTTGTTCCTGGTGAACTAGACCAATGTAAGTTGTTCCTGGTGAACTAGACCAGCTTGTAACCTGTTGAATGTTTGATGTTTCCCCCAGAGTGATAAAACTGTCAACACAAGGCTGTACACCACGTTACAGAGGATTAAAGATAACCTCATCGCTAACCCTAACCCAGGCAGCACTGTTGGAGGTGACGATGGCACAGTGGGTACTGGGTTAATGGGACTTATGGTTTTAACTCCATGTACAGAATTTATGTTACTTAAGGTTTTAACAGTACAGAATTTATGTGACTTAAGACTTTTAACTCCATGTTCAGTTTATGAGGCTTAATTAACCTCACTGCTGGGTATATGTGACATAAAGTTCCAACCCAGTACGAAGTTGTATGTGACTTAAGGTTTTAAAAATCTTCCATTTTTCCTCTCCAGGACAAAGTTGCGGCTGCGCTGTTGTCTCCCCTGGTCAGACTGTCTGATGCCTCCACACTGTATGGTCTGGCAGAGAGAGTGGTGGCCACAGAATCTTTGTAAGTCACTTTTTGATTGGTTGAGACTTTTTCTCTGTGTGATTGGTTGAGACTTTTTTCCGTGAGTTACTTTCTGATTGAGTGAAGATGTAAATTTGTTTAATTTCTTAAACTTCAATAAAATGAGTCTCTTATAAAAAAAATCTTCACCATATTGTCCAGAATTTGATTTTAATGTTTTACAGTTGTAAATTAAAGTCAGAGAATGCTAATTTTACATGGGCCAGTGATTTTAGCCCTTAAGGTTGTGGTCTGTACATACTCCACTGAGTGAAACCAAAGAAATATGTCATGTTTAATGTCATGTTTAATGTCACGTCATGCCAAATGTCATGTCACTTGCAGGATGTTTCTGGGCAAGCAGCTGGAATACCTGCAGCCTTACCTGGAGGAGCTCATCCCTAGCAACAAGAAAGCTTTCCTCAGTCAGTTCTATTCTCAGGTCTGTCACACCTTTACTTACATCTGTCACACCTTTACATCTGTCACACCTTTAAATCTGTCACACTTTTAAATCTGTCACACCTTTACATCTGTCACACCTTTACATCTGTCACACCTTTACATCTGTCACACCTTTACATCTGTCACACCTTTACATCTGTCACACCTTTACATCTGCCACACCTTTACATCTGCCACACCTTTACAACTGTCACACCTTTACATCTGTCACACCTTTACATCTGTCACACCTTTACATCTGTCACACCTTTACATCTGCCACACCTTTACATCTGCCACACCTTTACAACTGTCAGACCTTTACATCTGTCACACCTTTACATCTGTCACACCTTTACATCTGTCACACCTTTACATCTGTCACACCTTTACATCTGCCACACCTTTACATCTGTCACACCTTTACATCTGCCACACCTTTACAACTGTCACACCTTTACATCTGTCACACCTTTATATGTCACACCTTTATATCTGTCACACCTTTATATCTGTCACACCTTTATATCTGTCACACCTTTATATGTCACACCTTTATATCTGTCACACCTTTATATCTGTCACACCTTTATATGTCACACCTTTATATCTGTCACACCTTTATATCTGTCACACCTTTACATCTGTCACACCTTTACATCTGTCACACCTTTACATCTGTCACACCTTTAATCTGTCACACCTTTACATCTGTCACACCTTTAAATCTGTCACACCTTTAAATCTGTCACACCTTTACATCTGTCACACCTTTACATCTGTCACACCTTTACATCTGTCACACCTTTACATCTGCCACACCTTTACAACTGTCACACCTTTACATCTGTCACACCTTTACATCTGCCACACCTTTACATCTGTCACACCTTCACATCTGTCACACCTTCACATCTGTCACACCTTTACATCTGTCACACCTTTACATCTGTCACACCTTTACATCTGTCACACCTTTACATCTGTCACACCTTTACATCTGTCACACCTTTACATCTGTCACACCTTTACATCTGTCACACCTTTATATGTCACACCTTTACATCTGTCACACCTTTACATCTGTCACACCTTTACATCTGTCACACCTTTATATCTGTCACACCTTTACATCTGTCACACCTTTACATCTGTCACACCTTTACATCTGTCACACCTTTATATGTCACACCTTTATATCTGTCACACCTTTACATCTGTCACACCTTTACATCTGTCACACCTGTATATCTGTCACACCTTTACACCAATTCCTCAGTCAGTTCTACTGCTATATCTGTCACACCTATACCAAACTTGCACCATGCACAAATCAGTACATTTTTTAATGTCCAAATGTTTGCTGTCCCCAGACAGTCAACATGGCAGGCGAGGTACGTAAACCTGTGTACAGTGTCCTGTCCCGTCAGTGTATCAGCTATGATCACATCCTGCAGCAGATGGGCACAGTCAGGTGGGATGTGAAGGAGATTATGTCACAGCACAACACGTACATTGATACGTTGCTTAAGGTAGGGGTCACAACACGTACATTGATACGTTGCTTAAGGTAGGGGTCACAACACGTACATTGATACGCTGCTTAAGGTAGGGTCACAACACATACATTGATACGTTGCTTAAGGTAGGGGTCACAACACGTACATTGATACGTTGCTTAAGGTAGGGGTCACAACACGTACATTGATACGTTGCTTAAGGTAGGGGTCACAACATGTACATTGATACGTTGCTTAAGGTAGGGGTCACAACACGTACATTGATACGTTGCTTAAGGTAGGGGTCACAACACGTACATTGATATGTTGCTTAAGGTAGGGGTCACAACATGTACATTGATACGTTGCTTAAGGTAGGGGTCACAACACGTACATTGATACGTTGCTTAAGGTAGGGGTCACAACACGTACATTGATACGTTGCTCAAGGTAGGGGTCACAACACGTACATTGATACGTTGCTTAAGGTAGGGGTCACAACACGTACATTGATACGTTGCTTAAGGTAGGGGTCACAACATGTACATTGATACGTTGCTTAAGGTAGGGGTCACAACACGTACATTGATACGTTGCTTAAGGTAGGGGTCACAACATGTACATTGATACGTTGCTTAAGGTAGGGGTCACAACACGTACATTGATACGTTGCTTAAGGTAGGGGTCACAACACGTACATTGATACGTTGCTTAAGGTAGGGGTCACAACACGTACATTGATACGTTGCTTAAGGTAGGGGTCACAACACATAAGGTAGGGGTCACAACACATAAGGTAGGGGTCACATCACATAAGGTAGGGGTTACATCACATAAGGTAGGGGTCACAACATGTACATTGATACATTGCTTTAGGTAGGGGTCACATGACATACATTGATACGTTGCTTAAGGTAGGGGTCACATGACAAGACTTGCGCTAATATTTTGGTTGTTTATTCAGAACTTGACAGAGTTCCAGACCAGGCTGGAGGAGGTGGACAAAAGAGTTCCACTGCCAGCTGTTGTCACAAAACTTATATGGGAGCAGTGTGTCAGGAATGCCAACAGGACATTTGTAGAGGGGTAGGTCTTTCTCTTATCACTGACATGTCATGCCATTGTGTCATTTCTCTCACCTGTTCTGTCACTGACATGTCATGCCCTTGTGTCATTTCTCTCACCTGTTCTGTCACTGACATGTCATGCCATCATGTCATTTCTCTCACCTGTTCTGTCACTGACATGTCATGCCATCATGTCATTTCTCTCACCTGTTCTGTCACTGACATGTCATGCCATCATGTCATTTCTCTCACCTGTTCTGTCACTGACATGTCATGCCATCATGTCATTTCTCTCACCTGTTCTGTCACTGACATGTCATGCCATCATGTCATTTCTCTCACCTGTTCTGTCACTGACATGTCATGCCATCATGTCATTTCTGTTAATTTTTATGTCACTGACTGGTAGAAAAAAAAACAAGCTGTTAAAAATTGTTTCATCAAATAATGCATGACTATTTACCCATCAGCTATGCAAGCACCAAAAAATGTAGCAATGAAGGCCGTGCGTTGATGCAGTTGGATTTCCAACAGTTTCTCTCCAAACTGGACCACATCATAGAGCTAAGGTCAGTTGCTTCAGACATGCTTCCGTTGTTTTAGCTATCATAGTGTATGTGGTAAACATTTTAACGTATCCTTGTACATTTGTTGTGGTATCTCCAATTTTCCATGATCTGCAGGCCTATACCAGAGAGAGAATATGTGGAGTCTTACATTAAAGCATATTACATGTCAGAGTCAGAGCTGGAGAGATGGGTCCATGACCACAAGGTAAGCCCTTCATTCTTTGCTGCCCAAAGTTTTATCATTGAAGCCATCAGTTGTTGTTATGTTTAACCCTGTAACTGCTGATATGTGTACATTTAACCCTGTAACTGCTGAAGTGTGTACATTGAAGCAGATGAAATCAGTTGTTGTTATGTTTAACCCTGTAACTGCTGACATGTGTAAATTTAACCCTGTAACTGCTAACGTGTGTACTTTTCTGATTGCAGGAATATTCCAACAAACAGCTCCTGTCTCTCATCAACTCAGTCAATCATTTGGACAGAAAGTTACGTCAAAAACTAATTAACATGGTGGAAGTCATGGACAGGGGTCGGAGGTTGTAGCAGGAAATAGATGATTGTCACTGGTCCAATGTAAATTTACAGTTTGAGATGCATGGAGCATAAAACAATTCTTTATTTGCCAATAGCAGAACAGACAAGACAGACAACTCTAGACCAAGACAGACAACTCTAGACCAAGACAGACAACTCTAGACCAAGACAGGCAACTCTAGACCAAGACATCTCTTATACATAACAAGACATTTATTTATATAGCTATCATCCTGTACATAAAGGTGAATTGTATTGTACATTTTTCATGTATTAACTATAATATGTAGCAGTATGAAAAGTCAGGTTAGCTGAATGGAAATCTGCATTTATATGTACATAAAGCTTGGAAGGAAAAACTTTGTTTAGATGCCCTGTTAGCAATATTGATTAGCTCCAGAAGGATGTCAGCATTAGATAACTGTACATAGGTGACTTGATACGTGGTGTGTAGTGTTTGTGATATTTGATGAACATTCCACTGATCTAATTATAGATGGTTGTGTCATTGTGAACAAGTTTGTATCATGTCATATCGCAAGGTGGTGTCATGTCACTCAGTGTTGCCGTCATGTCAAATAAAAAACCATTGAGACAGTCCTGACCAAACATGTGCTGGTATATCCGGTCTTGTTTTATCCAGATATCTGTTGTCTTGTTTTATCTAGATATCTTGTGGTCTTGTTTTATCCAGATATCTGTTGTGGTCTTGTTTTATCCAGATATCTGTTGTGGTCTTGTTTTATCCAGATATCTGTTGTGGTCTTGTTTTATCCAGATATCTGTTGTGGTCTTGTTTTATCCAGATATCTGTTGTGGTCTTGTTTTATCCAGATATCTGTTGTGGTCTTGTTTTATCCAGATATCTGTTGTGGTCTTGTTTTATCCAGGTATCTGTTGTGGTCTTGTTTTATCCAGATATCTGTTGTGGTCTTGTTTTATCCAGATATCTGTTGTGGTCTTGTTTTATCCAGATATCTGTTGTGGTCTTGTTTTATCCAGATATCTGTTGTGGTCTTGTTTTATCCAGATATCTGTTGTGGTCTTGTTTTATTCTCCTTGATTGCCCACCACTTATTGTTTGTACAGTGCTAAAAGTAGGTTGTTAGTAAAACCTAGTTATAAAAAATAGTTTGTCTAAAAGTAGGTTGATGTTAGTAAAACCTAATTTTGAAAAATAGTTTGGCAGTTTTTTTTTTAACAGAATTTCCAAAATATTTTCTTACAAATAAATTTGAGTGACCAAAGATAAGAAGTTTTTTGCTTAGAACCGTGTAGCCTGAAATATGCTGTAGAGCGAGCAGCCACCCATCTGGCCATATACATTCCCCCAATGTCCTGTTGTACTCATGGTTCTAAGAGTGTTCATAAAATATTTCAAGCCACCCACAAACTCATATCCTTCACACAAGCATGAAGACAACCCTTGGAGCTCTCACACTTTGAAAACAATAAAATGCAGTCATTCATATTTGTGAGGGAGTATTTTTACATATTCTACACAAACTTAATAAATAAAATTAAAAGCAATAATAGTAATAGTTTTCCTTTATAGTGGTACCTCAAGATATGAATTCAATACATTCCTTATGCTTGCTCATGTGTCAATTTGCTTGTATCTCAATGCAATTTTCACAATTGAAATGAATTAAAATGCCATTAATCTGTTCAAGCGCACAAAATGCCACTCCAGTTGATTTTTGTAATAATTGCAGGTTGTTTAAAAAAAACCTGTCCAAGGTTTCTAATATCTCAAATTTATTTGAAAGCAAAATATTGTGGCTTACATCTAATATCTTGTTTTTTAGGGCATTTCTATGTCAAGGTACCACTGTATGGTAAATATGTTATTACAACCCCAAAATTTTTGGCCATTTATTGTATGTAAAATTAACAAAAATTGGGTTAGTTTGTTAACAAGTGAACTGATTGGTTAGTTTTCTGTGTAAACTTGAACAAGTGTACTGATTGGTTAGTTTTCTGTGTAAATTTTAACAAGTGAACTGATTGGTTAGTTTTCTCTAAAAAGTTCTGTTGTATACACAAGTGATGAGACATTCCCCTGCCATCCAATGTCTGATGTGTTCTGTCCTTTAAATGGTTGAAATCTAACTTGATGTTATCTACATAGGTATGTTTCAAATGAACAGCTAATAATTGCACCAAAAGTGATATGTTATTTCTATTCATTGATTATAAATGAACTATTTTATTTTCATTAGAATAAAATTGGAACTAAACTGTACAGGCCCTAAGAATTTGTGAAACAATAAAAAAGGTGTCAAAATCAGATGTGTTGACTTTACATTAATCAAATGGTTTTCCATTAATTAAATCAATGGTTTAATGAGTTAAAGACTGAGCAAATGGGAGTCAATGTGGTGAGCAATTAGAAAGCTGGTCACAAATTGTTTACAGTAGTTTGGATTCTGAACTGCTGGGTTTTTAGGTATGTAAAACAATTCAAAATTTTGCCACATTTGTTTAGTGCTGTAAAGTGAGACATTTTTGTTCTATTAGTTGTGTGTGCATTCAGCTAACTCCTAGTATTTCCTAACATTTTTCTACCGAATTGTATAAAACACTAAATTCTGGGTGTAAACAAGTTAATAAAAAGTCTAGTGACAATTTAAGAGCAATTTCCTTATGTTATCTAAAAATAGATATAATGCTGGGGTGCGTTCAAGCTAGGAGAACGATCGGTTTGTAGGTGTTTATGTAATTTTAAACAAATTTTTGTGACCGAACGAAAGGATATTTTTGAAAAATTACTTCGGCAATATTGTTCTAAATTAGGGCAGGAATCGATTGGTAAATGTTTCAAGTCGCTAAGTGGTCTGGTTGCCGAGATATGGGCCAAAAACTGCTTTTTTTTTTAGGTTTTTTGGCTTTTCCGGGAAATCCAGGAAGGAATTCCGGGAATCTTTTTGGCCCACAATCATCCTCGGAATTTGCTTAACATATTTGCTTTTGGAACTAGTCCTCGATATTGCTTCGTTGAGGAGGAGATACGACTTAAAGCTGCGGACACACATCCATTCATTCATTCATCCATCCAGAAATAACGAATTAATAATCGCAATTCCAGTATGGAAATTGCGCTAAAAAGTGAAATAATCAAAAATTTGAAGAAGACATTTGATTTTATTTTTGCTCACGCCGAAGCACAAAAACAATAAGAGCTAGTTTAACTTGTAGCAGGTCAGACTTTAATTGAAAGCTATCATGGTGTATGTACACAGCTATTTAAGTAGAATAAATGTTGAGCCCAACACCTTTGGGAACTTTAAACCTTTTTTTGTGCTGTAGTTTAATGTTGGCCAGACTAGTTTTAAAACAAGTAAAAAATCTTTGTTACACATATTATGGTGGTTGTAACTTTGTTATATCCCATTTTTTAAATTTTCATCATCTGAAGAAACAACCTAAAGAATTCTTTTGCTAATGTTTAGCACTTGCTTTCATGTGCCAAAGATGGTTTAAAATTATTTTTTAAAAAACATTAGGTGTTTAATTAAAAAATAAAAGAAAAAGGGAATCACCTCCCCTTACATTTGCCAGCATAGTATGTTATTTGACTTTTAATATGTTTATATATCAAAAGGATTTTTATATTAAAAGATAAAGGTTTTTACATCTTTCAAAAGCATTTCATATTAGGGGTCATCCATAAAAGTAACACTCCTAGGCTTGGGGGCGGGGGGAGTTTGCACTTTTATAGCTAGGGGAGGGAGGGGGGGGGGGGAGTGTGACATCACATTTTTGTGTAACAAGGGGCTAGAGGAGGGGGGGGGGGGGAGAAAATGTGACATCACATTTTTGTGTAACAAGGGGCTAGAGGAGGGGGGGGAGAAAATGTGACATCACATTTTTGTGTAACAAGGGGCTAGGGGTGGGAGAAAGTGTGAGGTCACATTTTTGTGTAACAAGGGGCTAGGGGTGGGAGAAAGTGTGATGTCACATTTTTGTGTAACAAGGGGCTAGGGGTGGGAGAAAGTGTGAGGTCACATTTTTGTGTAACAAGGGGCTAGGGGTGGGAGAAAGTGTCAGGTCACATTTTTGTGTAACAAGGGGCTAGGGGAATTTTAGCTCAGTAAATATTTTATTCAGAAATTGTAGGGGGGAGGGGTAGGTTGAGGTGTGAAGTTGGATTGGGTGGATTGACATTGAACAATAAAATGTTTTCATGAATCAATATAATATTATTACAAAACACCAGTTTGGCTTCTATAATTAATGCTCAAAACATTTACAGCACAACAGTTTTGAGTAAGCTGACATGATGTTAATTTTTTAAATTTACAGCATTTAATGTACACACAAAAAACATACTTATTAATATACTGTTTATTTTAAATTTTTTTTACTTGAATTGCTAAATTGTGTTCACCAAATCCGTAGGATTTTAAAGTACAATCATCATGTAGCTGTTGATTTCCACAGTGCCAAATTTGTTGGTCTGCCGGTATATTGAACTGAAATTAAGATAAGTGGTGTTTCTAAGTTTAGAAAATACTAGAGATTTGGTGTCACCTAGCATAAAATTGTTAATAACCAGTTTTATTAGAACATGGGAAAAAACTCCACCATAGCAATCTGACCAGCTCCACCATAGCCATCTGACCAACTCCACCATAGCCATCTGACCAGCTCCACCATAACCATCTGACCAGCTCCACCATAGCCATCTGACCAGCTCCACCATAACCATCTGACCAACTCCACCATAGCCATCTGACCAGCTCGTCCATAACCATCTGACCAACTCCACCATAGCCATCTGACCAACTCCACCATAGCCATCTGACCAGCTCCACCATAGCCATCTGACCAGCTCCACCATAACCATCTGACCAGCTCCACCATAACCTCACTGAGCCATCTGACCAACTCCACCATAGCCATCTGACCAGCTCCACCATAGCCATCTGACCAGCTCGTCCATAACCATCTGACCAACTCCACCATAGCCATCTGACCAACTCCACCATAGCCATCTGACCAACTCCGCCATAGCCATCTGACCAGCTCCACCATAGCCATCTGACCAACTCCACCATAGCCATCTGACCAGCTCCACCATAACCATCTGACCAACTCCACCATAACCTCAGTGAACCATCTGACCAACTCTACCTCAATGAGCCATCTGACCGGCTCCACCTGAGCCATCTGACCAGCTCCACCTGAGCCAACTAACCAGATAAAAATGAGCAGGGCACCACTCACCTCATCTTGCATGTCTTCCTTGAGCCCCAGTATGAGGGTGTTTAAAGGACAGTCAGCCTGAAAGTGTTCATGTTACAATTCAATTGTTACTAAAAGTGACAGTGTGAACAGTGTATGTATACCATAAAGTGACAGTGTGAACAGATTTGATAAGTGTAAGTATACCATATGAAAAGTGTGAACTTATTTGATAAGTGTATGTATACCATCAAGTGACAGTGTGAACAGATTTGATAAGTGTATGTATACCATATGAAAAGTGAACAGATTTGATATGTGTATGTATACCATATGAAAAGTGTGAACAGATTTGATAAGTGTATGTATACCATATGAAAAGTGTGAACAGATTTGATAAGTGTATGTATACCATATGAAAAGTGTGAACAGATTTGATAAGTGTATGTATACCATATGAAAAGTGTGAACAGATTTGATAAGTGTATGTATACCATAAAGTGATAGTGTGAACAGATTTGATAAGAGTATGTATACCATATGAAAAGTGTGAACAGATTTGATAAGTGTATGTATACCATATGAAAAGTGTGAACAGATTTGATAAGTGTATGTATACCATATGAAAAGTGTGAACAGATCTGATAAGTGTATGTATACCATAAAGTGACAGTGTGAACAGATTTGATAAGTGTATGTATACCATATGAAAAGTGTGAACAGATTTGATAAGTGTATGTATACCATATGAAAAGTGTGAACAGATTTGATAAGTGTATGTATACCATAAAGTGACAGTGTGAACAGATTTGATAAGTGTATGTATACCATATGAAAAGAAGTGATCAGACAGCCTTGATCTTTGTTGCTATAATGCTCCATCAACTAATATTAGCATACAAGATAGGCCTAAATAAGAACATTAATTTCATTCATATTCAAATACTGAATGCACTATGAAGGTAAAATATGGTATGCACTATACAGGTAAAATACTGTATTGTTTGCACTATGAAAATAATATACCGTATGCACTATTTCTGTTCCATGTGCAGATGCTTTGACATAAAATCTGATTTCAAGGCAGGGGTCGGCTTCAGCAGAACCCAGTACTTGGCCAGACATACTGTATAATGTCCTGACACCCAACACAATTATAATTAATAACATATTTATTTATGGTACAATTGGTGCTAACTGGGACTAGATCTAGAGGCCCTATTAATATTAATGTAGGCCTATTAAATAGTTAGAGAGGGTCAAACAGCATTCATACTAATACTATTTATATTTAGTATGATGGAAGTAGCCTCCTACACATAGGATAGGCCTACATCAGACCTAAAATTATAATTATAAAGACTATTAATTCAAAATATAATTTTGAAAATAAGGATTATCATTTTTTAGACCTAAGGGGTCATCCATAAATGACGTCACACTCGTAGGGGGGAGGGGGGGTCCGTAATTTTGTGACGATGTGTGATGAGGGGGAGGGGGTTCAGATGTTGCGACGTCACATTTTTGCATTATAAAAAGCAATGTTAGAAAACGAATTTTAGACGTTATTTCGTCGTTATAATCTAGTCCTGTTTTTTAGTTTTGTTATAAGTCTTCAGGCCTTTTTAATTTATATAACTATACAATACACTACAGTTAAAGTGTAATGTACTGTATAGAAATATATATATACCTATATATATATATATATATATGTATATATATATATATATATATATATATATATATATATATATGTATATATATATATATATATGTATATATATATATATATAGGTATATATATAAAATTATATATATATATATTATATATATAATATATATAGATCTATATATATAATATATAGATCTATCTATATAGATCTATATATAATTATGCTATACTTATACTAGTTACTACACATACAGCGATACACTGAGATTAAGAATTTAGTTTAAACTTTAAATCAAGTTTGTTTTAAAACGAGTTAATTTGCACAATTTAGATATAAAATAGAACTAGATCTATGATCTAATAATTTAAATTTATAATATAGGCCCTATATTATAAATTTAAATTATAATAGGGCCTAATAATAATAAATAATAATAATATTAATTAAAATAACACAACAATAGGCCTGCATATTATATTACATAATTATACATAGGCCTATTATTTAACACACTAACATAGTCACATACTAATAAAAGTAGTAGGCCTAAATATTAGTAAATATCAATATTTATATTTGTAATAAAAGTAATAATTAGGCCTAATATTAATTAATAATATTTAGGCCTAGGCCTAATAATAGTAGTTACTTAGTTTAGTTACTTTAGTTTAGTAGAAACTAGAAAGGCATAAATTAAATAATGAAGTTCTAAAAATATTAGGCCTATCCTATGCCTGAGCCTATGACATGAATATTTATAATTTATTATATACCTAGACCTATATAATAGTATAATATTATAATTATATAGTACTATATATTATAATATTATTATATAGGCCCTATACTGCCTATAGATCTATAAATCTAGTAGAATCTATTAGTAAAGAGTAAAGGAAGATAGATTATGGATCTTTGATCACCTAAAAAAGAATAATGCGCTTAACTTAAAAGCCAATTTAAATTTAAATGAATTTTTCTTCTGTCTTGTTATCTAGATCTAGTAGATCCAGATCTGCTATCATCAGATCGGAATTTCCCGATTTTAAATGACAAAACTACTTTGGTATTTATTTTGGTATTTTTTTTTGTGTGTGGCCAAAAACAAATTGTGTTGAGTAAAGGCTAGACCCTATCCTTGCCTTATAGAATAGATATTAGATAAGCTTACGTTAAACTTGATGTATCTAGTATCTTCTGATTTTATAAATAGGGGAAGGTGGGTCTTGCCGCTAAACGTCACAATTTAGTCTAGATCTAGATGTTTTATAGTAAACCCATTTAGTGCGGCATTTAGAGTTATACAGTAGGCTAAATCGATACAAATAAGACTGAACTAAATGCAACACATACATTTAAACAACAAACGAAACAAATAAAATGAACTTTATCTTTTCAATTTTTTGAGATATTGATGAAAAATGTGTTCTGGTCAAGGTTGTTACTTCTTGCCCCATGTTGGAGAACGTTGACACAAGACATGGGGCAAAAGTTAAATTTTCTACAGCATTATCTAGTCACCAAACTGAAATCTATTAGTAGTGAGGTCTTTTATAGAGAGATAGCAATATAAACACCCATTGACATATTTTCCTTGCTAAAAATCCATGGGGTTGTTGAACGTACAGTTACGTCACAAGGCGGGGGTGCGGACTGCAGAACTACCCCGCCGGACCCTACATAGTTATAGGGCAGGCCATTTAAGCAGTTTTTTCCTGGCATCTCTTGGGGGGGTGGGGGGGGGGAGACGACTACAGCAAGATGGAATTTATATAATAAATACATACTTTTACTATATAGTGTTCCCCCCCCCCCCCCCGAGAAAAAAAGTCCATCTCTGCCACTTTGATTATTTCAGTGACTGGCAGCCTCATCCAATCCTTGATGTCATCCATCCAGTGTCATCTTTTTATAAATAACCCACTTAGTGTAGGCCTACCTTTCCTAGAATATTTCCTTAAATTATGTCTATATTATAACCGATAACATTTCTAGATCCAGCTCACACCTTCAAACCATGACAGAGTTTGGTAGGCAGCAACCAAAATAGGACGGTAAAAAATGGCTACACAATCTGAGTATGTTTTACTTTCTCGTATACAAAGTATAGAGGAAGTGTTGTAATCGTGCAAAAAAGAAAACAAATCAAGATTTGTACAAATCTCGACGTTTTACTACTTCTTGAGTCGGAAAAACATTGTTTTGCAATTTTGTCCGTATGTCTCTCTGCGTGTATATGAACATGATAACTTGAGTACCGTTACAGCTAAGTTGATGAAATTTCAGTGATTTCCGGTAGCCGGAAGTGGAACTTATTCTACTTTCAATTTTTCAAAAACCTATAACTTGAGTACTGTTTCAGTGATTTCCGGTAGCCGGAAGTGGAACTTATTCTACTTTCAATTTTTCAAAAACCTATAACTTGAGTACTGTTTCAGAGAGATAAATTAAATTTTATATGTACGTAAAAGATCTAATTCTCTGCTTCTCTGTCAAATTTTTAGTAATTTCCGTTGACCAGAAGTAGTAATTTATGCTGTTTCTGATTTCTCAAAAAACGCATGTGAATTTATAAAGTACTAATAATATTCCGCACTATTATACACATATTGTTTGGCGTTCAATTCTTTTTTCTACTAGATTCTATTTTAAAAAGTTTAAGTAATTAAAAATGGATTAAAGATAATGTTTATATTCCGAGTAGCCATCCCCTTAGTGTAAAATAAGAATATTCGAGAAAGTTTAGGGGAGATCACTCCCGGTTTATTTTATAGAGAAAATCACTTATGGGAATGATGTAATTAGTCCACGAAGCTTAATTATAGCAGTCACAAAGCAACTCACATCAAAACAAAATATTTTAATTACTTTTTACATATGTAAATGTGAAATGAAATTTACATGAAGATAAAAACTAATACATATTTCTGGTTCAAACATGTAGTGGTCTGCGAAGTCCCATTTGAAAAAAAACAACTGAATATGAAATGTTTTCTATTTGAGAATGACTTATGGTAGGCCTACATGACAAATGGTAGTCTTCCTGTAAAAACCACTAACAACATGGTGGACAAAGACTTTTGGTCAATGCGTTGTTACAATCAAAGCTTTTCACATTTGAATTAACACAATTGTTTTCAATTGATAAACATTCAATTTATAAACACAATAAGAAATTTAAAAGCCTTGACAGCTAAAACAAGAAGGCTACCACGTTTTAGTATACAACATGAAAAATATTTTACACTTTATGAGGAAACATTAAAAGAAATAGTATGAAGGCAACAATAGAGCCAGTACTATACGTGTGGACCTTTGTTACGCATATACCGCTGGTGTTGGTGCTGGACTGAGATGTGGTCTCCGTGCTTGATGTTGTAGTCTTTCAATGTTTGCTCATCTGACAGTAGTGTGTTGCCATGGTGCCAAACCTGGTCAGCAGCAGGTATGTTGTACTGTAAACAAAAGAGCTCTGTTAGTTTTATTCTCACTTGGACATTTATTCTCAGGGCACTTGGACATTTATTCTCAGGGCACTTGGACATTTATTCTCAGGGCACTTGGATATTTATTCTCAGGGCACTTGGACATTTATTCTCAGGGCACTTGGACATTTATTCTCAGGGCACTTGGACATTTATTCTCAGGGCACTTGGACATTTATTCTCAGGGCACTTGGACATTTATTCTCAGGGCACTTGGACATTTATTCTCACTGCACTTGGATATTTATTCTCAGGGCACTTGGACATTTATTCTCAGGGCACTTGGACATTTATTCTCAGGGCACTTGGGCATTTATTCTCAGGGCACTTGGACATTTATTCTCAAGGCACTTGGACATTTATTCTCAGGGCACTTGGACATTTATTCTCATGGCACTTGGACATTTATTCTCAGGGCACTTGGACATTTATTCTCAGGGCACTTGGGCATTTATTCTCAGGGCACTTGGACATTTATTCTCATGGCACTTGGACATTTATTCTCAGGGCACTTGGACATTTATTCTCAGGGCACTTGGGCATTTATTCTCAGGGCACTTGGACATTTATTCTCAAGGCACTTGGACATTTATTCTCAGGGCACTTGGACATTTATTCTCAGGGCACTTGGACATTTATTCTCAGGGCACTTGGACATTTATTCTCAGGGCACTTGGACATTTATTCTCAGGGCACTTGGACATTTATTCTCAGGGCACTTGGACATTTATTCTCAGGGCACTTGGACATTTATTCTCAAGGCACTTGGACATTTATTCTCAGGGCACTTGGACATTAATTCTCAGGGCACTTGGACATTTATTCTCAAGGCACTTGGACATTTATTCTCAGGGCACTTGGACATTTATTCTCAGGGCACTTGGACATTTATTCTCAGGGCACTTGGACATTTATTCTCAGGGCACTTGGACATTTATTGTCAAGGCACTTGTTTTAACTAGCCTCACAAGGGATGGTGTGGTCAAGTGATAGAATGTGTTTGGTAACCTGACAGTCATCAATTTGATACTCAGGCTTGGGACTGTAGGTTGTCCCGTCACCATCCCCCCCCCCTACACATTTCTTGTCCCCAATATTTAAACAATAAATGATTGAAGCTTTAATTATTGTTTAAAAATAAATGAATGACAATCTAAAATATGCCGTTTACTATAATGACTGACAGTCTAAAAGTTATTTGCAATAACTTGAATAACAAACAAGAAATCTGTATAATATTAATAATGGCCTCTGTTTTGTTACCATTTCAACTGAGTTATACTAACCAGAGTTTCAACATCCTCCTTAAGCTGCCTTATACTTATATCATCAGGACAATCTGCCTGAAACAAAAGTAAAGATATTTACATAACAGATCTTTGTGTACACTTGTACACATTATCAGTGCTAGTACAGAATTCAATCGCAGGTTAAGGTAACATTTCCAGCACAATACACACAAAAAATTGTCCTGCTGGGGTATGGGCTGCCAACCAAAGATCACTAGAGCCCTCTGTCCTGTGCCATTTTCTTAAATTGACTCCATGGTGTGGCCCATCTTTGTAGTGTCAGCTTCATGGTGGCATCATCTGGTATTTCTTGATAAACCTAATACTTGCACTTTCCTTGTGGATTCCATGTTACTGCCTGATGATACTGGTTGGCAGTTTGCATAGGCATGTCATATCCAGCCCCATCTACACTTCATGATTACTTCATCAGCAGACAGTTTTTCTATTCTTTCCCAGAGGTTTGCATTGCTGATGGTGTTGGGCCAGCGGATCCTGGGTATTTCACTGAGGAAGCTGCTTATAAAGGTTTGGACTTTATCACTGGTGGTCTTTGTCATCCTTCAAGTCTCTGCCCATACATCAGCACTGATGTGTCACTAGGTTTTAATGGGCACATCATGGTAGTCAAGGACAACTCTCTGTAAGTCCAGATGTTCTTTAGTCAGGACAACTCTCTGTAAGTCCAGATGTTCTTTAGTCAGGACAGCTCTCTGTAAGTCCAGATGTTCTTTAGTCAGGACAACTCTCTGTAAGTCCAGATGTTCTTTAGTCAGGACAACTCTCTGTAAGTCCAGATGTTCTTTAGTCAGGACAACTCTCTGTAAGTCCAGATGTTCTTCAATCAAGGACAACTCTCTGTAAGTCCAGATGTTCTTTAGTCAATGACAGCTCTCTGTAAGTCCAGATGTTCTTTAGTCAAGGACAACTCTCTGTAAGTCCAGATGTTCTTTAGTCAAGGACCACTCTCTGTAAGTCCAGATGTTCTTTAGTCAAGGACAACTCTCTGTAAGTCCAGATGTTCTTTAGTCAAGGACAACTCTCTGTAAGTCCAGATGTTCTTTAGTCAAGGACCACTCTCTGTAAGTCCAGATGTTCTTTAGTCAATGACAGCTCTCTGTAAGTTCTGTTGTTCTTTAGTCAAGGACAACTCTCTGTAAGTCCAGATGTTCTTTTTGTCAGGACAGCTCTCTGTAAGTTCAGATGTTCTTTTTGTCAGGACAGCTCTCTGTAAGTTCTTTAGTTGTGCCAATGGGGCTTGTGCTTTATCGAATGTCTATTACAATTTCAAAAAAATCAGTAAAAGTAAAAAAAAAAATGCAGACCTACCTCTTTCAAAATGACTGTTCCATGAAGTGGCCTCGTAGAGTTAAATTTGATTTTTTGAATATTTGATGGCTTTGGTGGTGAAAATTTTGAATCCATGCTTGACCTAGATAAGGTGATAAAACCTAACCATACATAAAACAGCAAACAGAAATGATGTATACAATTTTTTTTATAACAATAAAAATGTAATAACATTACATTTGGACTTTAGTAATGCTATTCATACGTTTGTAAAAGAAATTATTAAATTAATATTTTACTTACCAAAATCAAATTAGGCTTGTTTTAAAAATAGATGTATTACAATAAACTGAATATGACTGTAGCTTAAGTTAACACAAAGACCATCGCTATGTCTGACCAATGAATTCTGTTTTGTCTGACCACTGGATTCTGTTTTGTCTGACCACTTAATTCTGTTTTGTCTGACCACTGAATTGTTTTGTCTGACCACTGGATTGTTTTGTCTGACCACTGGATTCTGTTTTGTCTGACCACTGGATTGTTTTGTCTGACCACTGGATTCTGTTTTGTCTGACCACTTGATTGTTTTGTCTGACCACTGGATTGATTTGTCTGACCACTGGATTGTTTTGTCTGACCACTGGATTCTGTTTTGTCTAACCACTGGATTGTTTTGTCTGACCACTGAATTCTGTTTTGTCTGACCACTGGATTGTTTTGTCTGACCACTGAATTCTGTTTTGTCTGACCACTTGATTGTTTTGTCTGACCACTGGATTGTTTTGTCTGACCAATGAATTCTGTTTTGTCTGGCAACTGGATTCTGTTACAGCTTACTATTGGATCCTCTGTTGGGAGAAATAGATATTTATCAGTTTTCATATCTTTAGACAAAAAAGAGATATTTGCTGTCATATTTGATATTAATTATTATTAGCTCAGTACTTCTATGTCAATGCCAACACATGTAGGCCCTATATGATATAGGCCTAGGCCTATTAAATTATTAATCATTTAGTCCTTAATGCCCAAATGAATCTTCTAAATCTATTGTCAATTGTCATCTAATGTGTAAATCGAATAAAAATATAATATTATTAATAATAATTATAAGAAAGTGCCTACTTTTAGTACTTAGCTTAGTAATAATATTGTACAGTTATGATAGGTCTACTAAAATAGTACTAGACTATAAGGCCTACTATGTTTATTATATCATATAAGACAAGATTAAAGATAATAAGGCATATGTCATATAGATAGATCTATTGTTATATACTTATAGTAAAAAGTTATAGTGTAGGACGATATTTCAAGACGGCCATTTCTATTTTTAGGGTTTATAGTTTATATTATATTAAGTTTATAATTATATAGATCTAGAAGATCTATCTAATCTATAGTTATATATAACACATCTAGATCTAGCCTACATAATACATATTAAATGAGTATTTACCAAGAAAATATTAGACAAAATGTTTCTCTAATATTAAAATTTGAAGCAAAATTTACCTTAGAATATGGCGGCTCTCATCTGTGAAACAAACACTATCAGCTTATGTGAACAGAAAATTCCGTGTCTGTCAACTTTGGTTTTTCCGATAGTGCTAAATATAGATCTAGATCTAAATATCAAAAGAACATCAGAGGCGAATCGAGAAGGTAGGTGGTGTCGAGTTTTTTTTTTCTCCGGGGGTGCACTTGAAATTTGGGGGGGGGGGGGGCGGACTCAAATTTCCGGGGGGGGGGGGGGGCGGACACTGTCAAAAGTATATATTTTCTATATAAATTCCATTTCATTCGGGGGGGGGGGGGGGGAACTACAGTGCCGCCAGACCCCGCAATGCGGGAGGCCCAGGCCGTTTGGGGGCCCAAAAATCCTGGCTAAATAATTTTTTTTTAAAATCTAAAAAATTAAAATAAATAAATAATTAGGTGGAGGTCGAGTTATCTTTCTTCTACAGTTACAAACAGACACGATAGTCGGCAAACGTTTTGAGAAAAATGCACAGACTAGCTCGAGAGACCGCCAGACATATAGACAACTTCAAAGACGTAGCCTACCGTTCTTTTTAGTGGCGTCGATTAGGAGAACAAAAAAAGCATTGTTATATTGTTTACATTGTTAAAATACATATCTATGATTGTGTGTTTAAACTACTGGCCTGAATTCTACAAAAAATATTATTATTTATTTCGATCTCATACATTTTTAATTGCGTTCATTTTTATTTTAACAACTGTATCAATAAATTTGTAAAAGTTTAAGTTATCTCCCTTCAGCGAAGCATATGAAATTTAACTGTGCCGGCACGCTTTGAAATCGGGCTGGGGAAATGTTGCGGCGACTATCATGTTCATCGGCGCTTTCTTGTCCCCTTCCCTTGAACCTTCCCAACGCTCTCCCCCTCCCTCACCCCTACCCCTCACCTCTACCCATCACCACACCCTTACTCTTACAATAAGATGTAATGCATAGATTAACGAACCGTTTATGAACTGCTGAACTGTAAACTGACCATTTCTGCACATTTGTTAAAGACACTAGTCAGTAGTTGTTCATTTACCTGATGAAGTATTTTGGTGACGAATCTAATTCACACAAGGAAGGTAAGACTCATCTTTATATTATTAATCGTTTTATAATTAGTACACGTATTAATTGAACATTAGTTATTATCACTAAATACAATGAAGTTAAAAAAAATTAGGATTCAATGATCTAGCTTTTAAGCCTAAAAACAACCAAAAGATCTATACAGGGGCGGAACTACAGTGCCGCCAGACCCCGCAATGCGGGGGGGGGGGGGGGGGGGCTGACCATAATTAATATTTTTTTAAATTTTGAATTTAATTGACTCGTTGCCCCCCTTTGATAGCGAAATAGAGGACACGTAACCAGAGTTTCTTCCAGGCATCTCTTCGGAAAATTTTTACCGCCCCCCCCCCCGAACGAAATGAAATTTATATAATTTATATAGAAAATATATAATTTTAACAGTGTCCGCCCCCCTCCCCCCGAAAATTTCAAGTGCCCCCCCCCCCCGGAGAAAAAAGTAACAAACACTGCACGTAACTGTTTGACCGATCATCCAAAGCAGGGGTCTCCAAACTTTTCAGTCCGAGGGCCGCATTAACTATCAAATTTAAGTTCGGGGGCCAGTTTCTTCCAGGCCTTTATTTGATTTTTCTGGGCAAAGTTCCTCAGCCATTTCCAACAAACGATTTTTCCTTGGACAAAAAGATCTCTCTGGGCCGGATGAGAGGACTTCGAGGGCCGCATCCGGCCCGCGGGCCGTAGTTTGGAGACCCCTGCTTTAGATAATCGTACTGGATTGTTCATCCCCGAGATAACATGTCTGCAACTATGTTATCTCTCCCTTGAATGTCTTTAATTTCCTGATACCAGGGGTATTAATCACATAATTCAATTTTGAATCTATCGTATATGGAACGAATAATTTGGCCCTAAGTGGTTGGCCAGGGACAGGAAGAGACGATAGGACCTGGTCGCCAGGTTGGAAACTGTGAACCTTTGTCTTTTGATCGAACTTGTTCTTCATCCTTCTTTGGGCATGGGTTAGGTTAGCCCTTGCCAACTCCCCGATTGCGCGCCGTTTCTCTTTGAATTTTGAAATGTCAAAGTTCTGTATCACCGCTTCACTGGAACTAGTCCACTTTCCCTTCAATAACTTTAAAGGGCCGCAAATTTGATCTCGAGGGAGAGAGAGATCAGTGACTCTATCGAAGAAGGTGGAACTTAAATTCACTGCCTCATCCTCGCTCGTCACTTCCAGCGGTGACTCTCGTTTCTTAGCTCCCGCACGAGTTAACACACATGAAGGGTACTGGTTGTTGGTGTTATCACTGGTGGACTGGGTGAACGGGTGTTCACCAAAAAAAAAAAACACAATCTGGAAACACCTTGTGTCCCGCAAGATCATTCCCCAGGAGTAATCCAATCCCTGGCAGGGGTAAGTGCGGCCTCACTCCAACAACGACATCACCTATAACTAGACCCGAGTCTAGCCGTATGGTGTGGAGAGGGGCGCTCACTTGGTTTGACTCGATGCCCTGTAAGATAGCATTGTCACCAGTAAACGAATGACCAGCAAGATGTAGGATTCCCTCCCTTAGCAAGGTCAAGGAGGAACCGGTGTCGCGAAGAATTGTTATGGGTCGTGGAGGTGATGTAGATAAGGTCATTAATTTGGAACATTTAGCCCGAACCTCAAGGTTGCTGCTGGCAAAAAGTGGCGGGACTTTTCGCGCATGTACTTTTTGTTTAGTGACGGGGTTGATCTGGACAAAACCAGGAATAATTCACATCAATTGTATATTGATTGTTGGGATTCGCTTGTTGGTAATTAGTAACCTTTTGCTAATTTTGTTTTCTCTATTGTGCTCTTAAAAAAATTGTTTTGTTGCAAAACGTCGCTTCAAAGTAAAAATAATATGTTGTCGGCTGAGTTTTAAATTTTTTGTCATGGCTGGGCTGTACAAAATACTCTCTCTTTCACAAATTATTTAATTTAAAAAAAAAAAAATCAAAGTTGCCCTTGTATATATTATTACTTTTTTCATGATTCTTTTATATTCACGAACAAAAACGCATGCTTTTAACGTAGACCTACCCATGGCAAATTTTGGATACATCATTGAAAACGATTCACATGTTAGAAAGAACTTAACTGAGTTAAACCCCTTAATATAATCAATTTGATCTAGACCTAAATGTAACAAATAAAGAAATAAAGGGTTTTTATGAGTTAAAGCATATTTTAATTTTTCAAATAAATTTTACATGTCAAAATTATGTTTGTTGTAGATCTCGTGTCACAGTGATTCTGTCACCATCATCGACGTTGTAAAATTGTAGAGATCGATCATCTTCCATCAAAGTTCCTTTAAAGTGCCAGACTTGCTGGGTGGCTGGAATCTGAAACTGAATTTTTATTTCTTCTTATAGATCTATATTATCAACTCTTGTTTAGACAGTCCCAAAATTAATTAACAAAAATGAAAATTCACCATGATCTGTAAACATTTTGAGGTTTTTACAAGATCTATATATATAATTCTCTTCTGGGAGCCGTTAGAAAACAAGCTGCAAGCGCCTCCTTGCAGTCCCCTCTCTTTCTCTCTATCACTATCACTACCACCCCCACCCCAAATGGTCTGGTGAGCTGTGGTCACACTAAATGTTTACAAAGCTAAATGTTTACAAATCGTAGAGCCGTAGAGTCGGGTTTCTATTAGTGGCAGATAATTTAGTTCGATTTTAAACTTACAGGAGGTAACTAAGAGGAGGCTGCTTTCACGGGGGGGGGGGGGGGGGAGGTAGGGTCGGGGTTAGGGGAAAGGGGGTGGGAGTTAGTGTTTTAAAGCAGATATTTTCAGTGGCAGCATTGGTACTGTCGAATTCACAAATTATGAATTACTGAAAAGTAGAAAATAAAACAACTAAATAGCGGCGTATGATACGCTGCGGGTCGGCTCGTTTTATTTAATTTGCTTCCTCGTCCAGTCTGTCGTTAGTCTGTCGACAGCCTGTCTATCTGTAGTCATATATCGAAACGTTCGAGCGAAATTTCGGGCACTTCTAACTGACAGATACGTTTCAACGTTGGCATGTTGGTCAAGACATGAAGACAATGCAATCTGACATTAAATTTGACTTAAATGGATGTAATAATGCACTAAAAAAGGGGAAAATAAATGATTTTTTTAAAAAAATATATAATAATACACTACCATTTAAATAACTGTAAAGAAAAGTGTGGGTCTCTTCCTAAATATTATTAAAGTTATCCAATAGATAATAAAGTGAGCCACACTTTTCTTTATAATTGTTTAAATAGTAGTGTATTAGTATTATATATTAAAAGAAAAATCATTTATTTTCCCCATTTTAGTGCATTATTACATAAAAGCTTGTAATTAAAACGTTTTTGCAAGCTTTTATTTAACTTGCTTCCTAATCGAGTCTGTAGACAGTCTGTCTATCTGTCGTCATAGATCGAAACGCTCGAGCGAAATTTCGGGCACTTCTAACTGACACATTTGTTTAAAAGTTGGCAAGTTGATCAAGACATGAAGATAAAGCAATTTTACATTAAATTTGACTTAATTAGATGCCTAGTTATTTTTTTTATTAATTAATTAAAGTTTTGTCCAAATTAGTAGGCAGACTTATCCAACTATTTCCGCACTATATTACGCGCGTTATGTTCATAAGGTGCGCAATAGTTTTAAGTCATGCAACTCTATTGTAAATTTAAAAATGTAAGTACTGGATAAAAAATAACAAGCTTTTATGTAATAATACACTAAAAAATAAACAATTAAATTTTTTCTTTAAATATATAATAATACACTACTATTTAAATAATTTTAAAGAAAAGCGTAAATAGTAGTAGTGTATTATTATATATTTAAAGACAATTATTTATTTTCTACTTTTAAAGTGCATTATTACATAAAAGCTTGTTATTAAAAAGTTTATTTTGATTTTTTTTAAACACGTAGGCTTAAATTAATTATGCTCTAATGTATTTGTAATAATGTATCCACTTACTAAATT